CATTCATCATGTCCTATCCACCCCCTCCAGGTCTCAAACAGACTCCCTCCTCTCTTCCGGCTCGTCCTCCTCCATCCGCCAATGCTGCCCAGCCAGGAGGCAATACCCGCCAGCCGGGCTACAATGCCTTCACGGCCTTTGCCCCACGCTCCGTAGCTTCTACCCAGACCAATCGCACCAGCAGCCCCGTCGTCTCGGCACCACCTGTGTCCAATCCCGGATATGCTGCGCCTGCGACCAGTTATGGAAACTACTACCAACAACCAGCTCAACCAGCCCAACCTTCTTATCAGAGTGGCCCCTCATACTATGGCGCCGGCGCCGGAACTGGCTATAATGAGAACAGCTATGGCCCGACCGTCCCCCACATCCAGAACCCCTTTGGTTCCACGCCCAATCAGTCCTACGGTGCTGGTCGTGGTCGTGGCCACGAAGCTGGTGTAGATGCCGAGACCGAGGCCCAAATCGCCCAATGGCAAAGTGCATACTCGAACATGGGCGACGAGGCAGCGGCTGGAAAGCGTCGTGATGGGGTCCAGCCTGCGATAACCACTACCACCAGCACTTATACGGGTTCGGCAACTCCAACCACCGCCAGCACCCCACTACCCCAGCCCGAGTCACAGAAAACAGTGCAGCGCTCCGGCGGCGGTCAAAATTGGAGTGATACGACTCTGCTTGAATGGGACCCTGCTCATTTCCGGCTTTTCGTGGGTAACCTTGCTGGCGAGGTGACGGACGACTCGCTGCTCAAGGCATTCGCACGATACACCTCCGTGCAAAAAGCACGAGTGATTCGCGAAAAGCGCACACAAAAGAGCAAAGGGTATGGATTCGTTAGCTTCAGCGACGGCGACGATTATTTCAAGGCCGCCCGAGAAATGCAAGGGAAGTATATTGGTTCGCATCCGGTTCTCTTGCGGCGAGCCACGACCGAGGTCAAGCCGGTCTCGAACAACAAGAACCAGAAGAAGAATGGAGGTGGAAACCGTGGAGGCAACCAGAGTGGAAAGGTGAAGCAAGACGGCGTGAAGAAGTCTGGCAAGACTAAGGGTGGCTTGAAGATTCTGGGTTAAGGCTCGCTTCTTCTGTAATAGTAATATGAAACATTTTCTATTAGAAATCCGACCTGCCCAGGGTCCTCCAACCACTCGATATCATGACATTTCAACTGAACTGGATGAGATCGAGAAGAATTTCTTAGGAATGATGAGAATACCTTAAATGTTATAGATCGGTCTGGAACTGCTTCGTTATGCCAACCAATCCAAAGTGGATCTGGCGAGGGCCATGCATCAGCCGACCTTCTGTTCAGAACCGTGGTGAGTGTAGGGTACTTGCACATGATTCTACACCAGTGGTGACATCAGTGAAACACGAGTCCTCCAGGTGTTAGACAATATAAAACAAGTAGGTTGTAGTAGATGGCCGAGAAACCACTTGTGCCCTCCAGAATAATTACTAGTAATTGTTCAACTTGAAGTTCGAGTTTCCCCTCACCAAACCCTATTTGAGACAAAAGTAAGCCGCACCCTCTCGTTACTCCGACGGTCTCCTAACTTCCTGCTTCTCAAGCAATCTATTTCGTCTAGCTGATCTTACACAACCAATATGAAGCTGCTTACTTTGACCTCATTGACTGCTTTTCTCGGAGCCACTGGGGCGTGGGAACTCAGGGCCGGAAACCAGAAATGGACCGGGTCAACCCCACAAGCCTGTCACGCCGTGGTTATCCCGAGAGGCGCGCAGATCAGTTGGCACGGATCTCGTGGGGCTACTACTGTACAATTCTTTAATACTCAAGGCAGCTGCAGGCAGGTGTATCGCACGGTGGCGGGGCAGGGTGATATCAACGCCTCCAACACTCTATATGGATTCATGGTTAAGGCATAAATCTCGAGGGATGGGTAGTTCAGTTTTTATTTCTTAGTATATTCAATCTATATTCAATCTTCTATCTTTCACTGGCAGTCATTAGCTATATAATCCAACGATCCCCGTCCTCAGTACATGAAACTACCCTAAATCCTTAGGGTAACCTCCAGGGCTGTGAGGAACCAATAAGCTCGTGGGGGCCGCCAAGCCTGACTTCGTCGTCAGGTAAGCCTTCTTTCTTCCTGCAGATTTACGGAATTTTTCTACCCACTTTCAGGGGGGGAAATACCTTATAAAGGCTTCTTCTTTTTATTCCTCTCCTACCATTCAGCTATCTTTCATATCCACCCTGCCGTGGGTGTCGTGGATCTGCCAGGCATGGAGGACCAGGTAGACCCGGCGATCAAGCCTGAACGCACACCATCTCAATCTCGATCATCAGCACCAAAAGTCCGACTCAGTTGCGAAGCTTGTCGTCAGCGCAAGGTCAAATGTGACAAATTGAGTCCATGTACCAGCTGCGTGCGCCTGGGTTTCGTTTGCGTCCCCGTTGAGAGAGCACGTTTACCGCGGGGTCGGACAAGGAGGCCGCCTGAGCGGGCACCCAACACCGACAAAGAGTTAGCAGATCGAGTGGCAAAGCTAGAACAACTCCTCAGGCGTGTGGCCTCCGAGCGTGATGGTGCCCCAGTCACCGGCTCCTCTTCTACTGGGCCCAGCACGGGCACTGGCACCGAATCCACTTCCACCGTGGAGCATGGACTACAGACAAACATCCCGGAGCAGGAGGCCGCCTGGCGCGATCAGCATTCACAGCCATCTACTGGTTTTACAATGACTCTGCCACATCGGCCTCGTCAATCGACTTCTTACATGGGTAGCTCGTTCTGGGAAGACATTATGCATCAGGTAAGCACTTTAATTTATGTTGCGCCCCCTGTCGTGATACAACTAAAATCATTGGCTTCCCGATTGACTTTTTTCCTTTGAGGATTAGACTTCAGAGCTTCGTGATGTTCTTGACGATCGATTGGAAATAGAAGATGATACTCGACGTCCTTCGAACATGGGTGCTTCTGTCATTGGCTCCGAGGGCTCAGAAAGTACTGGCAATTCACCCCAGTCGTTTCGAGGCATCACTATCACCCCCCAAGCTCGCCGAAGCTTGTGTGAGATTTATATCCGAAATGTCGACCCCGTTTTCAAAGTCCTACATAGGCCCTCGCTCCGGGCCTTCTTACGCGATGACCAGCCATATCTGGATTATGAACCTGATCACCACGCCCCAGCCACTCTGGCATGGGCTGTCTACTACGCTGCGGTAGTGACGATCGACGACACACAGTGTCAGTTGCTGGTCGGCCTCGATAAAAGAACAGCGGCAGCTTGTCTCCAAGCGGAAACAGATGCTGCACTACAGAGATCGGATTTCGTCACAACTAATGAACTGACTGTATTACAAGCATATCTACTGTCATTGCTTGCTGCCCGCTGCCAGGATCAAAGTCGCCGTGTCTGGACAATGTCAGCCATGGCGCTCCGTGTCGGCCAAGCACTGTGTCTTCACATGCGGGACCCGCCATTCCAAGTCAACCCGTTCGAACGAGAGATGCGCCGCCGTTGCTGGTTATGCATTGGACTTCTAGATTTCTCGGCCTCGCTGGATCGAGCCTCGGAACCGATGATGCAATCCGTCTGGCTAGACTCACACCCGCCTTCCAACATCAATGACGAGAATATGTGGTTCAACATGAATGTTCCAATTCAAGAACCGCCCGAGGGCAGCTTCACTGATCTCACCCTGACCTTGATTACAGCGGCAGCACAGTCCGTCGCAAGAATGATTGCCTATACAGATTTCATCGAGCAAGCTGTCGACGAAATGAGCTCCAGACAGCAAATTCTCCTCAACTTCCAGCACAAAGTCACAAAATTACTCAGCGGATGCCGACCAGAATCATCCCCTTTCCAACTGTATACAAAGCGAACAGCAACGACAATCTACGGCTGGCTCCAGCTAGGCTGTCTCCGACCCATATCTCGAAGTCGCAACTTCGTCCCTCCCACCGTACCAGGCGACGCCCTCCTCAGCCTCGCCGTAGACAACCTCGCCAAGGTCCAAGAATCCTACAGCGACCCAACCACCGCACAGTGGATGTGGTTCGGTGCCCTGTGGGTACCGTGGCACGGCCTGGCCGTCGCATTAGCCGAGCTATGCGTCTGCAAAGACCCAGAAGCAATGTCCCGACACTGGCCCGTCCTAGAACAAGTCTATCACCGCTCAAGCCTCGCAATCGCCGACTCACAACACGGCATGCTCTGGAAACCTCTTGAAAAACTAATGCACCAGGCCCGAGCCCACAAGCGTCAAATGCTCGGCAGTGCCTCTCCAAGTGAACCACCAGTTCACCAGGCCCCGCCACCCATCCCCATGCAACAACCTCTCCAATCGGCCCCCGGAGAAGTCCACGTTCCTCTCACGCCGTGCTATGATCTGAGCATCCAGAATGATCTCGCTGCTGGCCAGCTCGATCCAGCTGTAATGCCGCCGAATATTCTGCTGGAGCCTTGGCCGAATGTTTGGGATTCAATGGATTTCAGTGCGAATAATCTGCCGGGCTCGGTGGATAATGTTGCCTGGATGAATTATGAGAATTTCATTGGGGATGTATATGATAGTGTGGATTCTATGTTCCTATCGCGATGATTTCAATACCATGTTCAATCCTACTCAGGGTCTGGCGAAGTTGTCAGTATATCTTGATGATTACATCTCGCTAGTCCCATCATTATAACGACGAAGAGGAGATTCTCCACTTAATTCTCTTGTTTTCTTTCTTTGAAAATTATGACATCTTCGTCTTGTGCTAGATAGGTACCTGGTAGATTAGTACTTACTAAATACTCCAGGGCTACTAGTACTTAGGTAGTGATACACTAATTGTACAAACCTTGGACTTTGGAATAAGCTTTGGCCCCCGACCTCGGGACTTCACTAGTGGGTTGTGTTACCTGGAAAACCGCGCTGACTCTACGACTAACTTCAACCGGAAGTTCCCACTAGAACCGCTTCAACTCCGCACGCAACTCACTGGCGACCAACTTGGAAGCTTCCTTCCAAAAAGATGTTATCTGAAAGTTTCTCCAGCCTCAAGGGTCTCCGCCCCTCACAGTATATCTTCGGCATGCAGGCGATCCCACTCGTAGCCAGCGGTATCTTCACCTTGTTCTGGCCGTCAGCAGCCGCGGCTTTCCCAAACTCCCCGCTGAAGGATATCAGCAACGGCACAATACAAGCGATCAGGTATGCGCCACCAGTCCCGAAGTCTCCAAGTTCCCCCGCCCCCACATTTTAATCGACAGGGTGATGCTTACTTGACTATGTATGCAGTCTAACGTCTCTCTCACTGGGATCTTTCTACACGATCGCCGCGTACCAAAACAACACCCCAATGATGATCGTTTCTGTTCCCGGTAGACTCCTGGCTGCTTTTGTATTTCATCAAGCTGGCGGGGGATGGCGCGACGTTGCTCCTTTCGAGGGCGTAATGGGCCTTTTCACGGCAGTGGGTATTTATTGGGATTGGGTCGCTGGCCGCTCAGCAAGGGAGGTTAAGGAAGAATGAGCGGCGACGCGTTGAATGGGCACCCCCCGGGCAGCCAATCAATTGTCATATTCTGGTCGCAAGTATTGACCAAAGAGCCATCTCCTCTCGTGTAAATTATTGGCGTAATATTAATCACTTAGTAGTGACCTTGCTCTTTCTGTTGCAACCTTGTAGAGGAGTTTCGCCCAGAGTTTTGAACCGACTGGAGAGTTTAGTTGGAAAAGCTCAACATTCCAGGCCCTGCCAAGGGAGAAGAATACACAAAATGGGAGAGAACAAAAGCTTCGATAAATAACTTGAACCCCACGTATTTGCTCACGTCTATATGACACGTCCTGGAGCCATCTTCAATCTTGATCTACGTATTACCTGTCAATCCAACCCCAAGGTCCCACCCCATCGCATCTCATTCAAGTTCTGCAAAGCTTCAGAGAACCCTTCAAATCCTCGTTCACGCGCTTGCTTAGCCATCGAAATGCGCTTGGCTGCTATTTTCGCCCTTCTTGGCGCCTCTTGCGCAGTTGCCCTCTTCGAAGATACTGGGGCTAGCGTAGCGAAGATGGGACACTGTTTGAGGGAATGCGGCGATGATCTCAATTGTAAAGCCTACTGTCTTACCGTGAGCAATTGATACAATCTGTGGATCTCCCGACTCGGGACTATGCTAACAGAATTGCTAGAATGGGGTGACAGATACCCTCAACTCCGTCTAATTCCAGTACGACACTGGTGGACGGGATGGGTTTTTGTCTACTACTAGCGCTAGTGGTATACATCAATGATGATGAACGTGTGTACGGTGTGATGGGCGCAAATTTGATCGATCTGAAAAATGTATCTCAATACTATATCGCATCAAAGATGTCAGGTTCCAACTTGGTTTCAGGAAAGGAAAGGTATTTCGAGGTGACATGTATCGGCTTCAAGTTGTTATTTAGTATTTTAGTACCTAGAAAGACACTGGCACCTCGTCGCAGCACCTTCTTGAAAATGGAAAAGGATTAAGTTGCATATTGCGCACTTTACGTCTTCACCGACCAAAATAGGCTTAATGCACTTGGTCAAATCCATTCGAAGATTTTGTCGAACAGCCGTTCCCGGAGTAGCAGTTGACGCCGCGTGTAGCCGAATTGACTGTCGATCATCATTCAAGACTCGAGTATCCATACCCGAGATCAACAACAGAGAACCTACCTCAATGGCTTGAGATAAAGAAACCACTCAATTGACCATGAATTTCGGCAAAGCGAGAAAAGAAAAACTCCCAAGCGGTCAATGACGAGAAAGAAGCCTTCCTTGGCATCATCTTGTTCGGCGCTATCGGTACTTGGAAAAATTGGAGAGAACCGCCGACATCGCCAGCTGAACAATCCCTCTGCATGATTTGCTCCGAAATAAAATGGGGGAACTGCTTTGAGTGGAGACATGGAGACGGAGAGGAGAAAATCGCTTTCCCCCATGTCTCATAGTATGTTGGGGGCGGGCGGGAGGTGAGACGGCGATCCTGGCAAATGAAAATTCATGGGGTTCTCGTGTTCGAATTGATGAGATTATCATTGCCAAGAGCAGGATTTCCTAGTTTCATTCTTGGTGTCGTGCAATTCCAGAGGGTATTGGTGGTTGAGTGCCGAGACGAGAGGTACGATGGGCTTCTGGAAGTCTATCCGAACAGCCTCAACCGTAGATCGCAGTTAGTAATTACCTCCAATACAAGGAATGGACAAAATCTCCTCAAGAGGGATTTTATTTTCTCTTTCGCTCCACGCGGAGAGAGGGGGGGGACTGGACTCTGGGGCATTTGATGGGGTACGGGGTGGGCTCCATGAAGAAAAAGGTGGGTGGCTTCGACGCGGAGAAGTCAAATGTATTTCTATTACCCCTTCAAAACTCCCCATTACCCCTTCGAAACTCCGGATGATGGCAAAACACGGGAAGTTAGCGCCCAACGAATGCCTTTTAGGTACAAGAAACAGGGAGATCGCGAGGAATCCCCGGAATCGTCTTTCTCCATCTTCTCTCCACACGACCTTCCCCGGGAACGTCCAAGGTCATTGTTCGGAATGCCTCGCGGCCAGACTCGGCCCGTGAACTGCATAGACCAACGCCCTAATGCGCCCATTGAAGGTTCGGTGGGGAGCACGAATCATGGGTCGATGATCCAAAGAATCCCCACTCATCCTAAAAAGTGGCAAAGGGGGGGGGCGACTCCGCCAGGTGGCATAACAGAACGAGGGGAGAAGGAGGAGAAACAGTAATCAGCCAACCGGGGCTGGCTGGTTGGAGCGGGCCGAGAAGCAAGAAGAATTGAGGCGGGATTTATTACGTTTCGCCGAACGCTAACCCGGAGAACCCTAAAAAGAAGATAGTGGGTCTATCCATCCTAGGGCTTGCTCTGTTTTGACTCCAGATGCGGTCATCGCCCACTTTTTTGAACGATGCTGGAATTTCTTTTACATAAAAACCCCGGGGATCTCGCATGGTACAATAAGCCTGGTGTTCCCCAGAGAACTTGATCATAACTCCCCCGCCTCATTAGGCCTACTTTCTCAACTGTCCACCGCTTTTTTTTTGGCTCTTCAACAAGCAGCTCGATCAGACGATCATATTCTCGGGTGGATTCCGAATAGGGTTTCAAGCCACTCCGGAAGCCTGAAATTTTTGGACGGCGAAATTCCGAGCTTTGTCCGTCATAAGCGTTTGGATCTCTGAGCAAAACTTCTGCAAGCGAAGCTTGGCTTTTTGTAACACACCTTTCACCTAACAATATTTCGGCCTTCTTCCTTCCTCCTCCGTCCCTCCATCCCACCTCTATCCTTTAATTCAAATATGGATCACGACGAGATATCTCATGGCCATCGTGGCCAGCCGGAAAATAGCACGGCCCCGACTGCTCCGACTGAAGACACCCCCAATCGCGATGAGGAGAAGATGCAGCCCACCGAGGACTTTGGAGAGAGAGATATCAAGGTCGGATATATGAACGAGGCGGACCGCCATGTCTATGAGAGCGGTATTCAAAAGTTCAGCCGTCTTGGGTGGAAGCGACTTACCGTTGTCCTCATTGTCGAGGCTATTGCGCTGGGAAGTTTGTCCATTCCTTCCTCATTCGCGACCCTCGGAATGGTGGCTGGTGTTATTCTTACCGTTGGCCTTGGAATTATTGCCATCTATACCAGTTATATCATCGGAAAGGTTAAACTGGCTTTCCCCGAGGTTGCTCATTATGCCGATGCGGGTCGGCTGATGGGAGCGCGGCTGGGTTGCCCTCGGTTCGGGTTTGAGCTTGTGAACTGGATGCTGGCTATCCAATTGCTCTTCCTGACCGGATCCCACTGTCTTACTGGTACTATTGCCTTCCGGAACATTACCAGCAGCGAAATCTGCTCGGTGATTTTCGGTGTGGTGTCTGCGATCATTCTCCTTCTACTCGCCGTCCCTCCTAGTTTCACCGAGATGGCCATCCTAGGTTATATTGACTTCGCCTCGATCATTCTCGCTATTGGTATTACGATTATTGCCACTGGAATTGAATCTAGTCACGAAGTCGGTGGTCTTGCGGCTGTTGATTGGTCTGCTTGGCCGAAAGAGGGTATCACTTTCACCGAGGCCTTTGTTTCCGTGTCGAATATCGTCTTCGCGTATAGTTTTGCGCTCTGCCAATTCTCATTCATGGATGAAATGCACACCCCCCCGCGACTATGTGAAATCAATCTGGGCTCTTGGTCTCATTGAGATCTTTATTTACACCCTTACCGGTGCTCTCATCTACGCCTTCGTTGGCCAGGATGTCGGTAGCCCTGCCCTGCTCTCCGCCGGTAATCTGGTTAGCCGTATTGCTTTCGGAGTTGCTTTACCTGTTATTTTTATTTCCGGCTCGATCAATACCGTTGTCTTCGGACGTCTTGTCCACGGCCGTATGTTCGCCAACTCGCCTATCCGGTTCATCAACACCAAGACTGGTTGGTTAACCTGGTTGGCTGTTATCACTGTCGGTACCATCCTTGCATTCATTATTGCCGAGGTGATTCCATTCTTCAATGATTTGCTTTCGATCTCTTCGTCGCTATTCATTTCTGGATTTACCTTCTATTTCCCCCCCAATGATGTGGTTCCTGCTCCTCAAGGAGGGCAGCTGGCGCGACCCTAAGAACCTCGTCACCAGCTTGGTCAACCTTGCCGTCTTCCTGATCGGTATGGTCATTTTGGTTGGAGGAACTTACTCCAGTGTTGATGATATTGTAAGCACACAGCCCATAGTCCTCGAACGAGTGACCTTATTGTCTTCTCCTCCCATTTCTAATACTAACTCGAACCTTCCAGATCAACAAGTACAATGCCGGCACCGTTCACGGCGTTTTCACCTGCGGTTCCCCAGAATAAATCATGTGTTCTGGATAGACCACTTTGTTATTCACCTTTCAAGCGTGTTGGATGTATGAATGAGCGGCCCGTGAATTTTTGGGCATGAAGCATAAGCCACCGAGTCATGCAAGTTTATCTCGACGAGCCATGAGCGGCGTACAGGATCTGTGTTACTATAAATCGAATTATGATAGACATTTCAATAACATTAGACATTTTCAAGATATGAAATTGTCATGCGAAATCAGATAATGCAAGTATCTCCCATACTCTCTTCCGATTCTTCCCCAGATTCTCTCGAACAGACGTCGTGGTCAGGTTATTTATTTTATGAAATAGCAGACCGCTTGACAAGGATTGGTTTTTTATATTTCATCTTCTGCGGGACAAAAATAAATGGATGCCAGTGAAGAGGCGTCTGTCCTAGGGTGGGCTGATTGAGGCAGACCCCAGCTTGGCATCGATCAGGGGATACGTACACCAAGAGGGAAGATACTACCGAATCAAGTCCCATATCGATTGCGCGAGTAAACAATTTGCGAGGATTCCTTACTTGGATAGAAATTTTGGAGTCCAAGGTCCCAACTTCGTCCATCTTCAGGGATACATGGATTTTCTCCTTCGTTAACGTGTGGAGTTTTGCTCCCCTCGGCTTGACTAGTGTGGATAGAGGTGCCGGCGCTTTCATCAAGTCGTTGATAAGTGCATATTCGTGCGCGATTAATACACTCTGAGCATGGAATTTCACCATTGCAGGCCTTTCGGATATTTGCACAACTGTCACAGGCGCGTCTATGTTTCCCACCTCGTTGGCTTTCTGGAATCTCTTCGCCCCTTTCTTCCCGGACTTTGCATGATTTCCAGTGACGCCGAAGCACATCCCTGGATGACTGTCAGCAGCTCCCTTGGCGAGATTTCTCCAACAAATATGTTTTTGCAGCTATACCACATACCCTCGACTAAATACAGCCCCGCAGAACTGGCATACGTTGCTCCTTACGGCCGTATCTAGCGAAGTTAGTCACCACCCACACTCAATATGATGCATCAGCAAAATCCAATACGCACGAGTTATTAGATGTCGTTTCAGATGGTCCAGGCGCCCAAAGACCGATGGGCAGTGGTCACAGTGCCATTGCTTTTCCTGCGGTGAGACGTTCATCCCGGGGGTCCGCCAAACTTGCTAAACCGCTTCGAGGAATGACAGGCGAGCCAGAACTTAATGGGGGTCTGTGATTGCGAACTCCGAGCTTCTGATTCGCTCCGAAATCAGAGGTCCGAAGATCCGAAATGGGACCTGGAGGTTTCCTTAGCGAACGGTGGGTTTTGCGACTGTGTTCTGGAAGGCCCGTCCAGCGAGCCTCGCGCCCGGCAGAGCAACCGTTTCTGGGTTTTGTTGCGAGTCAGAAGTGGTAAGGGGAATGCCTGAATATTCCATCTACCTGAGACCGGTTCCAAATACTCGTACCGAATGATGGGACTGGGGCTGGGTGAGAAACTCGGATGTCGCAGGTCAATTTGGGGGGGGTCCGTCGCGATTCCCCCGCTTCGCCCAGCCAAACAGCGTCGCGAACAAACGAGCGTTTCCTCCGACGGATTAGGCGGAGGTGAGATCGTCAAGTCCGAAAATTTTGGACTTCACCCCCATTTAAGAATGGTGATATCTTCATTACTTTCTCTTTCTATTCACTTCCGACAGATAAACCGACTTCCAATTGATTCGAATCTATCTTTCATCCCTTTAACCCCTACAAAATTAGTCCGCTAGGACTACACTGGCAGCAATAACACAGATCTAATATGCCTACTTTGACTGGGGAGGCAAATACTGCCGTGGCGAGTAGCTCTAAAGATGTCGAAGAGCACTGGAATAATTGGCCCAACGAGAAGGGTGTATGTTGCCACTTCGCCATGATTAAACCAAACAAGCCTAACACATGAGATGACTATCAGTTTGACCCCGAGTATGAGCAACGTACCCCGGTAGAACTTCAAGTTACGGGCCATTTTCCTGCATATGCTGCCGGAACACTGTATCGCACAGGTCCGGGCAAGAGCCAAGTTCAAACGGATGAAGGCTATCTCTTGCAGGTCTCGCATTGGTTTGATGGCTTCAGTCAAACCCACCGATTCCAAATCATCGCCCCTGATGATTCCGAATCACCACTTCGAGTCCTTTATAACTCTCGATTTTCGACGGATCAGCTTCTTGAACACGTTCGGAAGACAGGTTCCAGGAATACGCGCTCATTTGGCCAGAAGCGTGATCCATGCAAGGCTTTGTATGGCAAAGTCCAAAGCGAATTCGTTCCTGCTGAGGGCCCAGCAATGTCAAATGTCGGCGTTACCCTCTCGGTCAATATGCCAGGTCTTGATAAGCAAGGTGAAGAATCTTTCGATCGCTGGTCCGGTCCCAAGGGAATTCGAAACTTATATGCGAAGACCGATCACAACGAGTTCAAGAAGCTAGACCCAGAAACCCTGGAACCAATTGGTCGAGCTTCACAAAAGGACTTTCATCCTGAGTTGGCTGGGCCACTCGTCGCATCACATCCGCGCTCTGATCCCTTGACGGGGGATGTGTTCAATTTCAACCTCACAATCGGGGCGTCTTCTACATACCGTATCTTTCAAGTTTCAGCAAGCACAGGGAGAACCTCCATCCTCGCGACATTTCCTGGGATTCCAGCATATATTCATTCCCTTCTCCTTACTGAAGACTTTGTGGTTCTTTGCATCTGGAATTCTCATGTGAATCCCTTGAAGGCCGGCAATGGGGTCTTTATGGAATCCATCATGCCTACTAACCCTACGCAGCCCGCCACATGGTACGTGATTGATCGTAAGCATGGCCAAGGCCTAGTCGCAACATATGAGAGTCCTGCTTTCTTCTCTTTCCACACGATCAACGCCTGGCAAGAACCGTCCCCGGAAGATCCATCCAAGGTAGACATCGTTGCGGAACTTGTCAGAAAGGACTCTTCTGTAGTAATCGAACTCCTCAACTACGAATTCCTCAAGTCTTCGCTCTCAACGGCCAAAGAGCATATCACCAACAGAGGCGAAAATATGCAATCCACAATAACGCGTTTCCGTCTTCCGACTCTTCCATTAACGCCGACGGCTAAGCCCCAGAGGGCTATCATTGAATGGTCTTCTTGCATCGAGCTCTCTCCCGAGTTGCCGACAATGAATCCTAGCTTCGGTACTAAGAGACATCGATATGTTTACGCCACCACTTCTCGTGGGGAGGCTACCTTCATGGATGGACTTGTGAAGTTCGACTCCGACAAGCAGGAATCATGGCTGTGGACGCGCCATGGCCACACCCCGGGAGAGCCGATCTTTGTCGCCAACCCAAATGGCACAAAGGAGGATGACGGCGTGCTTCTTAGCGTGGTACTTGATGGTCAGCGAGGAACGAGCTATCTACTCTGTCTTGACGCTCAAAATCTGAGCGAGTTGGGTCGGGCGCATGTTGATGGGGTGGTTGGGTTTGGATTTCATGGACAGCATATCCCTACTGTTGGCCTACCTACTGGTGATTACTAGGCGGGAAAGGAGCGACTCTATTTTTACGGACATCAGTTCAAGGCAGAGATTATCTCTAAAAAATCAAAATCAAAATTATCACTCGATCTCGTGTCTTTCGGCGTATATTCGACAAGTTCTCCCCCCGTTATCATGGATTTCCAGAGCCAATGTTCCGTTCCTGAGACATACCAGCCGACGGAATTTCCCCCAATGTTTTGCCAGACTCCTTGGGCGTAGAAGTCGGATGGCTGGTAGTTTGTATAATATCCCTTGAATAGATCCATTGTTCTTTGGTTCGCTGAGTCTAGGGTGCTGAAGACACCCTCAATAATGAATTCCGATTCCGCGTTGTTCAGCATTCTCTCATGAGCAAGCACATAGACGCATGGCTCTTCGGTGACATTTTCTCCGGTAAAATTTTCATGGGCGATTTGGACTGCTTCAATTAAGTCGGATGGAAATTCGGATTCGCTGGAATTCGCGTATTGGCTCATTTTGGAGTTTTGATGTTGTGGTAGATTTGTTTTATCACTGCAAGTGAAAGTGCTCTGTATTTTGACATGGCTGGAAGGTATCACGAAGCAATAAGATGCGTTGAGTCAAAAACGAATAATGACGTTCAAAATCATATTTCATATCTTTTAAGTGCAGCCCTTGGTTTAATAGTTCTTCTGGTTCCTCGGTGCAAGCTCTCCAGACCCAGCGCTCCCAAACTTTAACGAAAGATGGCTCCGGTCGGTCATCCAGTACTAGTATAATATACTAGTACCTAGGTAATTGCAAATTGTTCAATTTGCTTGTTACTTACTCTTTTCCGAGAAGGCGCAGGTCTATTTACTTTGGTTTTACTTCTCTTAGTATCAGTATAAACCAATAACACTAGTACTAGGTAGTAACTACTATTTAGTAGCTCCCGAGGTCCATACCATCTTCATCCTCTCTCACTGTATACATTAAGTCAAGTAACAATCCAATATAATATACTATACTAATGGGTTATAGTCGCCCTGGGATGTCTGAGGCCTGCCGGTGCCTAGGCCTAGGCCTAGGCTCCCGCCCTCAACAGTCGGCCTTTTTCTCTGATACCGCTGCGAGTGTTGAAACGGTGCAAACGGTGAGGAAGGGTCTTGATATAATCGATCATCGAGAAAAGCCCGCGACGCCTCTGAATATCGTGTCATATCAGTGAGTAAATGTTGAACAAGCTGCAAGTTGAGGGCCAGTTATTTTGGGTGCTTCACAATTCACAGTGATCATTATATCAAAGTCCACGGGTAAGGCGAGTGGTTGGGTATAATACTATAAGTACCCAAACTCTTGCCTGTAGAATATTATTTCTTAAATACTCTCTTTTTTTGTTAGAACAAAGGATATTCAATATTTCTTGATTTCACTAGCTACCCTTTAGTTTAGACTGTGTTAAACTGTGATATGCTTAGTATACTACTTATATTAGTCTAAGCTGCTCTATCATCACTAGCCTGTTCATACCTAGGTATATAATATTAAATCTTATAGATAAAATATAAATAGAGCATATATCTATTCTTTTATACTACTAGTACCTATATATTACCAGTGATATAGAAAAAGCTTTATATAGCTACTTCTTAGCTATTTCGTATTGATAGTTTTAGAAAGAGTCTGACTAAAAATATAGTAGATTATACAGAATATGCTTAAACTAGTTACTAATAGTATATAATAGATAAAGACTACTAACTACTGAAAGATGGGAATGCTCGCTGGCTGTCTGTCAAGCAGACGGGTCGATCGCAGAGGGACAAAACCACCACACATAGTGTGCAGGAGAGTAGGCAAGGTGATGGCCACTAAGATATAACCTCCTAAGGCATCCGAGCCTTCATGAGCAGTATACCGATACCGCTACCGCCGCAGGAACTGAAAAGACTGAATAATGACACTTAACAGGTGTGTGTATTCCTAGAATGCTATCGCGCGAACTAAATATCTCCCTGTAAGCAGACACCTTGTTTCTAAGGCTCTAGTCACATGACTCCGATGTTGAGAGCAGAATCCCCATTACACTACGTATAGTAACTAGTAACTAGTAAGATTAGTAAGTTATTATAGAAGTTTTAAGTGTGAATACTATACTGATAACTCACTTGATAAAGAGCTAAATATTTAGTATAACCTAGTATAAGTCTGTTTAGTTAGCTAATATATTCATACTCCCAATTCCCTGTGCACTTATTCCTAAAAAAACAGATGTGACATATCATTCTTGCTGTAGCAGTGATTTAGATTAATGCAACGGAGTCCTACCCCCTAGAATCCTTCTGACCAGGCCTAGTCAAACTAAATATAATATCAATAGCTGGGATGCTGCTTTAGCTGAAAATCCTACCTTGCTCGATATCCTTAGCGGACATAATCCGGGAAGGTCTGACACCCTCTGATTTGCACCAGCCTCATATCACAACAGGTAAGGTTCATTGCCATTCTATTGACATTCTCCGTCGAGTTCTTCCAGATTCCTTTAATATTGCGAACTGTCGCCTGGACCTCTAGAAAGCCATCTTTGCCAACCTCTTTCGTTATCTATGTGACTTCCTGTGCGAACTGTCGGAGTTGGTCGACCATTGTGTTGATAATTTCCTTCAGAGCAAGAATTTTGCCTTTGAATTCATCTTGCACCTTTTGTGTGAGATCCCCCGTTGGGACTGAAGTTGTTACTGTAGCGATATCACGAACTTGTATTGTCAATTCATTCGCTATGGTATTGATATTGAGAGTGAGCTTCTTCCATTTCCCCCAGATACCGTAGATTCGTGCCTGTCCACCAAGGACATCTTCATCTGATATCTTGAGCCACACGATTGACCTCCGCGGTAAATGTACGGAGTTGGTCCACCATTGTGTTAATAGTCTGCTGAAGATTGAAAATCCCACCTTTAGTATACCGTTCAACCTTCTAACTCAGCTTACTGTGAGCGAATATTGTCGTAATAAGGACAATCTCAAGGACTTAATCGGTGAGATTCGATACCATAATACTAACGTTATCAATGAGCTCCTTCCAAACGCCATGTACCCCCACAATTTGCGCCTAGCCGCCCAGGATACCGTCAGTTCCCACCTCTCGTGCCACTCAGGAGACCTCGTTTGCGAAGACCTGCAAATATTCCATCATTATATTGATTGTAACTTTGAATGTCGTAATATCAGGATTCATTTCGAGTAGATGTATCTGAAGTCTTATGGAAATGTCTCCGTTCGCTACTTGAGTAATAATCCCCCGATTTCCCTAAGTGCTTTTTAGAAAGCTTCATTCATCAGCTGACGTTTTCGCACCTTTTTCTACATACTCTGGAGGTGGGTGATTAAACGGCGGATCAATTATGGAAGCAGGTGTTCCAGTGCCGTCCTTGGCCTGCTTTGCTTTACAGGAAGTCTCCATAATCCATTGTCCGGCAGAGTCTTGGAAAAGTAAGCCAAAGAAGCGAACAAGCCTATGGTTGAGACTTGCCAATTTTTGATTACCAGGAATAAGTGCTTGGAGAACGGAGGCTACCTCGGAAAGCGCCGCGTCTTCCGAGGACATCTTCGATTGAGCGACTTGTTTATAACTGGGCCGCGAATATAATATTCGATGAATTCAACCACGATCTCGGTTATGGAAGACTGAAGTCAATTCGCTGCGGAGAGATTATATCCACTGAGAGGACTTAATCAAATGTTCAGGAGTTGTAACTAGCAAATTCTAGGTTCTCGTATAATTTAGGTGAAGAAGGGTCTCCTTGAAGCAATGAGTTGTAGTTCATTAGGTACACTGAAAGTGACACGCACAGGTAGAACCTTCAAGCTTTTTTTACATTTTTCGTAGCATCACTTGAAACGGAGGCGTGACGTTATTTCGTAGACTTCTCTACACTGATACTTTATGAGCTTCTCCGGTGTGGTGGGACTGCAGCGTCCCTGGCAATCTAGACCACATAGGATCTGAGAATTGCGAGAGCAGCCGACCTGTAAGCACGCCACACGCCCACAAGGAAAGTCTTGCCGAACCATTCCCCTCCAAAGCTTTAGTTGGCACAAGACAAACTTTCCATTTTCATCAATGACGCCTATCACGCAGGATCGGACACCGTGGACGGGCGGGTGATATAGTCATGATGTTGATAGGGCGAGCTATTTCTTTACAACTATCACTCCCACTCAATACTGATTTTCAGATTAATTCCAGCGCATCAGAAAAATTTATAAGCAAGGTATAACTTGAATGCCGGTGGATTCGTGGAATCCGCAGGACGATTGACAGATCATAGTGTGGAAGGTATGATTCTTAAAGCCACGAGCACAAGGTGGGAATGTCGGTGAAAGAAGTCCATGGATATAGATACGTCTGTCTGATGTTTTGGATGGAAAGGGGCATTTTTCATACCCTTTGGAAGCATTTTTCTTCCATAGCCCTTCTTAAATAAAAAACGAGTGAATCCGAGCTCACTACTTCAGCCAAGTAGGCCGTATTACCGTAGCACAATTCTGGAAATTGATGAAATTAACTGATAGCGGAGTCCCGAGTATGAGACAGAGTTTTGGTACCGAGTACGTATTCCTGTTGCGAGTTCGATGAGCCGAACGCTAGACCTTAGCGCACATGCGCACATACTGTATTGGGCGATCATACCAGTCTTGAAGGTAGCTGTTCCTTACGCCAGTGGGTTTGTATTCTATGCTGTGCTTGCAGCTCGTGCTTCAATCTATGCACTGTAAATATGAGGTCAATCTTGTTAAACATCACATTTTCTACGGGACCCTGATCTTGTGGAGTTCGCGGGATGAAGAATCTGATTTCCGACATTCCAAGAGAGTTTCCCCGTCCTTACAACGAGTTCAATCATCAAGCAACCTGCTAACAAAAAAAATTAGCCTGCTTGGGGATATGGATGTGGCAAGCAACCTAAGCATTGGATTAGAATATGGAGGGTGACCAATTCTCATCCTCCAACCTCTCTTCATCCTGCACCACCGTAACCCAATCAATTTCAAAACAAGGAATCAGGATTGTTAATATATTCCTAGGATCTTCGCTACTTTCTGACAAACATGCTAGATATTTCGCTCATTTGTATTCATGTTTCAATGTGAGGAATCGGTGTGATATATCTGTCAAGGACTGTGTCGATGCGAGCTCCTTAAGGCCCAAGTACGAATTTAAGACAAGGCAGAGCCTCAAACTTCAAAAATGTGGAGATCTCATTAAGAATGAACGCTCTAGGGATGCGGGCCGTTGAGAGATATACCTTAATTTACTGCACCCACTCACCAAGTGTAAGAACTAAATTGACTAAACTCATTTCAGCGCTGGAATACTCGAGAGATTTATCTTTAGTACCGACAAACTATTTTCGCTCATCATTTCCTTGGGTTGAATTTCATTCAGGTTGCTTATTGACTTTTCGTAGTAGCCAGTTTGATCGATTTGACCCCACCTCTATACGCCCACATATTTACCTTGATACTATCGTTCTGTTCACTTACAATCGTCGTGAGAGGGCCATATGGAAAGTGAGGCTCTTCTTGACGGCGACTACGGCTCATTTGATCATCTAATTCTCCACGGTGTTGGCCTGTTGGAATAAAAATCGCCGCAACTGTTGCCAGAATTGTTCATAAATATTTTAGGTTCTTTTCGGCAATGCGATTGTCGGATTCCCGGAAATACGATAAATTCCGAATCATAATGAAATTCATTTGGGAGGAGTGTTCACTTTTTGATACATTCTTGTGTTAATCTAGCGTCACTTCGTTTCGTTCACGTGGATTACGGAGGCTATCAACTTCGTTCTGTTCTAAATGACTTGAATGACCGGACTAAAGCTTACAGGCTGCTTTTGAGATATTCAAAGACATAAATTTAGCTACATAAACCAAATGGATTGACTGCTGAGGCACTTGATAGATCTCGTTTCAACTGTATGTTGGGTTACATCGCAGGGTTACGAATTTCTTAAATCATGACCACATCCGTGAGGCCTCGTAAGAGCTTATTGAACAGTACAATGCGTACTATCTCTGTGTTATTACCTATGTTACAGCCCAAATTTGAACGTAATTAGACCTGATGTTTAGGGTTCGGCTTTTTCAATCATTTCAAGTGGTACTGCAGAGTACATACCACCAGTAAAACCATTGCTAGAGAACTCCAGAAATTAGGGGTATTATCTATTCCCCGAAATCTACTACCGTGCTACGTAAATCACAGGTGCACATGTGAGCCATGCACCCTTGGGGCGTGATTTACCTCGCTCAGCTGTAATTGGACAAGATCACGTCTTAGGCACTTACCTCATTGATAGCCATCAATGGCTGCGTAGCAAGCGTAATGTCAATTCATCCTGCATGCCTCACATCTATCTGCTGTTCCTTTTTGTATCTACAAGTAGCAGTGCCAGAGGATAAAAGAGGAAAGGACAAGAAAGAAGCGAAAGGTCCAGAAACTGGGCTGCAAACACACAGTTCAGGTATGCAAAAATCATAAGAAATAATTTTGCACCAATTTCAGTGTCCAAAAGCCCATATCCTCTGCAATAAATTTCTAGCTGTGATATAAAATATACTGAATAGCTGTGGTTAGAGTTCAAGTGATGAAATTCTGACGCTATAACTTGGCAAGCCATGAGATCGATCTGTCCGAAAAGGAACAAGAAGAGATTTTAGGACTCAATTGACTACATAATGATGCAGGTGTGTTACATGGGCGTTTCTAGACAAAGGACAAATCGTACCTTTTTGAAATGCAACTTTTGTGACACCAAGAACGCTAATCGCTTCCGTATTTCATCAAAAATGCATTGAGAAACCCCTCCTCTATAACATTATACATAAAGGTGTTGTGCTCACCATGGTCCTGTTCATAAGAGACCAGAATCATCCAGATCCTAGATCATCGGCACTCAATTTCACCCAGGACGATGAATCAAAAAGCATGCGCGTGCAATCTCTCAAGAGCCATAAAGTGGAATGATCTCAAGGAGCTTATTGAGAATGACGATTTCATCCATAGCAACTGTGTGGCTATTGAGTCGGACCATGAACATATATCGAATGTTCTTCGACAACTTGTTGATTTGGGAGCACCATGCTACCCTTTTTGTATTGAAACCACGCGATATCATAGTATGATTCACAGATACACGCTTGCGTCTGACCAGGCATCGGGTAAGTAAATCGGTATAACTTGATTTCCGGCGACTGATGTTAGTAGTTGACAGATACTGTCGTATATCTACCGAAGGAGCAAGATATGATGACGATAGAGAGTTTATGGACAAGTATGCATCTCCTATAAAGACGCTATTGGAGGGCAAAGAAGGGGGATTCGACCCCAGGGACGTTGTGTCTGGAAGGATTGGGGCTATCTTCCTTGTACCTTCATATCAAGGCAAGAGAGTGGTTTGCCAGAGACAAGGTTCTGACCTTCGGGACTAAGATTTACATGTATTTGCCTTCTGTTACATGTATATTGAAAAAGGAAGTCGTTCTATAGTGAATGTTTCCAAGATGGATTCATACAAAAATTTGCAATGTAGAAAAAGATAGATGAACCTACGATTGAGAGCACTGGGCCCTACGGTCGATAGGTAGACCAATGTACTTCGGTAAAAGCCCTGCGGCGAAGCTAAGGCCAGAGTAAGAACAGGTGAGAAACGAGAAAATTCAAAGTGAATACAAATTGTATTATCAATGTACTGTTCATGTGAAACATGGAATTCAGGTTCGTCACTATTTCCTGCTAAGCTATTTAGATTGATAAGCACCCAAGGCACCTTGTGGCAATGGACTATGATGCGAATGTGTTATGCCATTTCATAAAATACCCGAATATTGCGTCATATCAGTGAGTAAATATTAAACGAGCTGCAAGCTAAGGATAAGCTTTTTGAGTCCTCCATAATTCGCAGTGATTATAATATCGAAGCTGAGTAATAGTTGGGTGTAATACTATAAGTACCCGAGTTCTTACCTGCAGAGTTATTGTTTTTAAATATTCTCTTGTCATTCTAGAGTAATTAATATTAAATACTTCTTGATTTACTAGCTATCCTAAAATATGATATACGTATAAAGAACTAACTACTGTATCATCACTAGCCTGCCTAGGCGTTTATATACAATCTTGAATTTTATAGTAAGTAGTAGAGGGCATACCTAGTCATTTATATGGTACTAGTAATATAGAATATGCTTTACATCACTATCTCTCACCTGCGCATTTATTCCTCCAGGGCTCGATTAACGGACCTCAATAGTTTTAGAAAGAGTCTAGCTAAAAAGATAGTCAGCTATGAAGAATATCCTCAAGCTATCTACTAAAGTTTTATAAGAGACCAAGACCAGCCACTACATACAACAGTAATTAGTAAGTTAAGTAGAGATAGTCTAGAATTTTTGAGCGTGTTATCAGTACTAAAAATTTTCTCTGCAGTACGCTAACCGTTTTGATATAACCCAGTACATATTTCATCAGTTGCCCCAGACATTGTCACTGCCGATTTCGCGTGCACTTCTTCACTGTAAATTATCACCGACGCATCATTCCTGGAGCAGTAATATTACAGTCGACGCGAAGGAGCCCCATCGTTCTTCTAGCCAGGCCTGATCAGGACCTAATGTTGACGACCGGGCCGCTGGGAGCGCTCTGCTTCGCTCGACATCTTCGATAAACACAATCTAGTTAGGCCCGATGGCTCCTGGTTAGCCAGCCCTCCAGTTGCATTCGGAAGTGTTTCATCTCTCCAGCATTACTTTTCCGAACGGAGATTAGTTGTCCATGTATCAGAAACTTGCTTTATTCCGACGGCTATGAACTTCCGATCTCATGCCCGATCAGAAGGTTCGTTGGCAGCCATGAGCCAACTCTACGCTAGATCGAGCGAGCCATCGCAGCATCCATGACAACGAAGAGAAGCCGATCATCGATCACCACTGACAAACACCACGGCTTTTATAAAAGCAAAATCGGTCAGTGGTGCGTCAAATTACTGGTCACAATATGAGATTCAGCTCTGTCAACCCTTAATTATAGCCGAGCAAGCAAAATAACAAGCCAGGCTGCAGCACTGAATCTACACCAGATCTCTCGTTGTATTGGAAGATATAGACCATATCGATTCCCGCGGTACCGAGTGATCCGGGGCCCTCGTGCACGTCGTGCACGTCGTACACGTACAAGGAAGCGACGACTGGATGATTGCTAGTGTGCCCGTAGGCTGACCCCTAAGCTCCTTCCACCGCAGCATGTTTTGACGTGGGAAACTTATCTTCAAAGCCCATGGGAAACCTGCCACCTTTGTCATATTACTATCCTTCTTCGAATGGAGTCGACGCCGACTTTCAGGTCTATCCACTTATATTGCAGCCTCTGGGCTCTGAATACCGGTGGAAAAACGCTTTTCCTAACTGCAAGTTTCGTGTGTTCAGATTCCTCGGAGTTTAAGGGGCCATCTTAACTTTGTCCATCAGGTACAAGATATTCCAGACCAGATAGATACATCCAAATATTCTCAATTTGAGAACTCCGATAATCCGACAATATCGGCATTGCGAGATGGAAAGTCCTGTCTTTGCAAAGCTTGGGTTTTTGTGCAGCATTTCCATCAAAAGGCATGGAGCAGCTTCATATTCACAACCGACCAGATCAACAAAACCATCAACGACAATGAAATTGAGATATCTGCAGTTGAAGCTATGTCGGTTGAAACCTCGGTTCCTTTTTTGTACCCCATCTCAGAGTGTGAAGATTGATTTTCTGATGATTTCCAAGGAGGGCCGCAGGAAAGTCGAGCAATTTCGAGTCGTGGCCCTCAATACACAAGTATAAGTTTGAAGTTACGATGTGTCGGGGCTTTGAGTCGCTTCCAGGGGTAATCTTGGAGAGGTACCTAGGTATTTTGGGCCTTGTGAGAATGGAAAGCCGCATGGAAAGCCATAGGCAAAGCCGTACTCAAATCTTGAATTGACCACGAGGTCATTTACCTGTAACCAACACCACATGATATTTAACCAAGGACATCGTCAAAAGCTTTGCCAAGTCATGCGAAGTGGATCTGTTAAATGTTTTCGGTGTTCTTGGGTGTTTCGACCAGCTCGGTCCAGCTAGTCCTTGGTCATCATGCTCAAAGACATCACGTCTCTCTACCCCGGTGGGTTGCCTACTTCGGAAAGTCGATGGATGGTGTAATTCCTGACCCTTCCTCCAGGGCTGAGCTTCAGGAACGTGTTCAGAACTCGTGTTGAAGTTCAAAATCTCTCTATTCTCAAGGAATTTCCCTGCCTATTGTCAATGTCTTTGTCTCTGTCGATGCTTCTGCTTCCACGTCTACCTCTACTTCTAACCGTGTCTTCCGCCCGCATGAAGCCAAGGTCGCTGAGCTCTTTGCTAAGCAGGATTCAGTCGAGGCAAGGCTGATTGTTGTGATGAATGGCTTTGATGGGCTGACCACCCACGAAGCTGCTAATGGTATGTTATCTCTCAGGAACCAGACGACGACGATGCAGAAGCAGACCGTGAAGACAGTGGTTGATTGCTATCAATGTTTTATATCAGAGATTATCAGTCCTGTAGTATCTGACGGGAGAGAAAAAAAAATTGAACTAGATTGTTGGGCTTTATGCACCCAGTTACTTTGCCCCTACTCCATCCCTATGGTACACGAATCATCGTTGAGACGTAAAACACAAACAAAGCAGGCAACACCGAGAAAGGAAGTGAATCACAAGCAAAGGACAAGAATTCAGACTCTAATTTCCTCAGCCAGACGCCAAAACACATGGAAACAGAAAATCGAAAACCGCCGACCCCGGATCCCACAGCAAAGAACTCCGCTATACTTTTCGCGTATAAGACCACTCACTCTCGGCCTATCATTTCGGCCAATGAGTGTTGTTGAAGAAAATATGACACCACCAGGGAGAATGCCCGTCGGAACCCCCTCCTGGTGAGATAGCCCCAAAAGGACAGGCTTAAGGGGAAAGGGTATTAGTCGTACAAAAGACGGAAAATTGGGCTCCAGGCGAAAAAGAAATCCAGGGCATGAAGATGAAACAGATGATAGAACAGAAGGAGATCAATAGTCAACTTCCTTTTCCATGACCATAATCAACTCCGTCAGCTCCTTGCGTAGAGAACGGTTGCGGTCCCAGACCTCCACGATCTTGGCACGTTGGCTGACGAAGCAAGCCTTCTTCCAGGAGACATTCCCATATTTCAAAGCTTCCCGGTTTGGAAGGCCGCGAGCGATGTTGCGCAAGACTAGGGCTGCCTTGTATGCAACTCCAATGGGCTCGTGCTTCTCGTTGATCGGGGTGTCCATATAGTACCACTTGCGGACTATTCGCTCCTGGAGAATAGGACGCTTGGTGCTTGGGGGTTCCGCATCAGCAGGTCTATCCTCAGGCAGATGAGAGATAATATGACCCGCAACCAAGGAAGTATTGGCACTGGGCCCAGAGACTCGGAATCGTGTGCAGTTATCCCATTGACAACCATGGATGGGGGTTTCAGCAGCTTCCATTTTGAACTTCCCGGGTGTTTCGGTGGCCTGCAGCTTCATGTGCTCGCCGAAGATGTGGTTTCGAAGGTCGGCGGGGGAGACAAATGCACGTTGACACATCTTCGATGGCTTTGAGTTGTCTGCCCACCTGCAGTAGAGATATGGGAAACCGTCGAACGTATAGGCGGTTTCCAACGGCCGAATACCCTTGATAATAAATTTTGTGGCGGTCCCGGGGCCATTAATGACTTGGGCCTGTGCATTCGTAAAGGTATTGCTAACATTCTTAATGAATTCAGCTGCGGGAAGAACACCACTACCTGGAAGTTGAGGGTTGGCGAATCGGGTTTGGTAAGCTTGCCAGAGAGCAATTTGAGTAATTTCGCACTCGGCATCCTCGACAAAGCAGCAACGGAGCCACTGTGAGCTTCGCTCTGGTTCTGATAGCTCCATTAGCTTCTCCAGAAGCTCGTGTGGAACGCGGGGGATATCTGATGGCGGCGGTGCGACCTTCTCTTCTTGCAGAACGGTCTCCTTCTTTGTCGGCCTCGCTTCATATGTGAGTAGTGCGACCATACGAGGGACGAGGATGGTGGGGAAGTTGATCACATCCATGAGGGTTTCGATATTGTCAGGGCTTAGTGTGTATTGGTACCAGAAATCCAGCGCGCCGCTCAGTATGTCTCTGTCGAGATCCAAGAGGGTGTGATAGTACATCTGCTGGAGAGTGGGTTTGGACATATGATCGATGGCTCGGTTGACATCCCCATCCTCTAGCTCCGTGGAAAAATGAGTCAATGCCCAAAGAGCTCGAATGATGTGCGCCCGGTCCGGTGAATCCAAGAAGCTAACGAGGGAAACCCAGAGAGGGTCTTGAGCGTCCGTACGCATGTATTTTGTCACCTCTTCGGCGATATCTAGCGCGTCGTTCTTGATTTCAGTAAATCGAGGCTGGTTTGGTAAATTCATGAGAATGACCAGAAAGTCTCGTAAAAGGCCACTGGCATATCGAGAAACGTAGAACGCATTCTCTGCGAGAAGAACCATGTTGCGCAACACTAAAGTTGCCTCTCTCACGTTCCGAATCAGGTGGTTGAACTCGGAGGTCTCCAGCGTATCGGACGGCAGAGTGATCGGGATTTGTTGGATCTTTTCAAGGACAGTTCGCGTGCCATGCAACGAGTTGAGGACATTGACTCGGTCAGATGGCTTGAGAGGGTCATATTCAAATTCCCATTTGACACCCGTGCAAAGAAACGTGACGTCTAACGCCTTTTGCATAAGAGTTTCTGCGAGCAGTGGAAATCCCTCGAATTTAAACTTGTCCCATCTTTGGTTGGATATCTGGACCAGATGATATAATGCAAAGTCGACCTCATCCTGGATACCAGACTGCAGGCCGTAGTGAGCGCGCTTGTAAATGTGATCGGCTAAAAGGCAGTATTGTCAGTGGCAAGGCGATGGACAAAACAAGAGAGATAACTCACTTCGGGGAACTTCGAGGTACCGGAGGGGAAAGTAAGGATCATAGAAATCAGGGGCTTTGGCTGCTTTATTCCGGGAATCGTAAAGGCTCGCAAAGTGCCCCGGCCGGTTACCTGGGGTTGGAACTTCCCGCACAGACATCGGCATTTGCGCCTGGTTTTTCCCTTCCCAGCTATCGACTGCGAAATGTGCACTCTGCGGATTCGCTGCGGGATTCATGCTCATATGGGGAGACATTTGGGGCTGAGGAGATGTGAAGCTGTGGTGATGCGAACGGCGGGTCGGCGCTGTGTCGGGAATGAAAGGCTGGTTGACCTTAGGGGCCTGGCGCAGGCCCTCTGTATCATGTTAGCAGATGCCGCCTAGAGAATGTTTGTGGGGGTTCCTACGTCGCAGGGATGTTCTTTGAGGTGTTGTAGCAGACATCTGGAGGCTCTGCGGACGCGACAGCTGGACGTAGTGATTGTACAGTCACGGCGTGCAGAAGGGTTGCAATGTTTGCCCTTCTTTACCCCTTTGGCTAGTGTCGCTTTGTATCAAACACCAGTTGGATTGAATCTTCTTCAGGTGCCGTGGATTCGTGGGACGGCGCCGGTAGATAATTGACGCCCTTGGGTTGAACTAGGATTGTGAATCGAACAACCTGAAACCCAAATCGCAAGGTGAGGATTCGCAAAGTGAGTGCTTTCAGGCGGAGGGGGTATGGCGCAGGTCAAGGAGCCTAGATCGATTCGTCATGCGTAGAAGCGTTGGATGGCCTTGTTACCGTAGGGTGCGCAGGCGCGTTCAATAAGAAGGCTCAGAGGATGCGCGGGCGAAGATGAAGGTGAATGAAAAGATAGGGAGAGCGTATGATACCAGGCGACAGGATTGAAAGGGTGGATAATCGTCAATGCCTTATACGTGCCCTCAAGGGCTGAAGGAGCTGTGGCTTTGCGATCAACCAAACTGATCAGCCAAAGTCCGCGCATTTCGCCAGGGCGCGTTGATCGGAGTGGGTTGTTCCGGCCCCGGGCACACTCCCCTTTTGGGACTAGTGTTTGACACCCGATAATTCAGGTGTCACATGATCTATACCAGGAGTATCACGAGTATCTATCTATCTAAATTGTTTCACTCTCCAACTTCAACTCAATTCTGAAGAACAATTATCATGCAGCAACCAAAGTTTCGACAAGATCACCCTTCAGGAACTCGTCTATCGCTGGCTAAATTCTCATACACCACAACGCCGGTCGACCACCCCGGTCCTCTATCCTGGAGTCATATCAATGGCAATGGGGATCTTGTCTGTATCTTCGATAAATTTGCAGCTACCGGATCCGCTTCATCTAAAACTCTCATGAAAGTGATTAGAAATGATTATGTTCTGGTATTCTCAATTCCCCTCCATTCGAACATCATCACTCAAACCAATCGAGATGAAAGCTGACGGCGTATCGAACACAAATAGGAACAGCTTGACATCGCACGCCTCGTACAATCCAACTTGTCACAGAATGGCTCTGCGGCAAAATCCTCATTTGCTGTTGTGGTCAAATCACCTTGCCTGGCCGTGAAATACCCACAAAACGGGTCGGTGCGTATCAGATTGGCGCTCAATGAACAAAAGGAAGGACTAAACAGGCTAATTGACCCAGATTCGTCGATTCCAACTCAAGTTTCTCGCAGATCGAGATTTTTACACGGCGCTTTCACTGCTCAGTGAAATTGACTGCCCTATTACCGAAGGTAACGCAACAGCAGTGCAGCAGCCACCACGACGACTACCGTCCTCATCCTCATGGGCATCATTTCAGGCACCGACTATCATATGGAAGAATGGAAACACAGTAATGACCCCAGAAAGCAACGCTACTGGCCCTTTTCATGTAATGACCCAGGGACCAGCAGGTATAACCTCTACGCACGCCAGCTTCACTTTCTTGCGCTGACATTCTTAGCGCCCTATCCTCCATCGCCGTCGCCCTACACCACTCCAGGTATTATGGTACCCGCAGACCAAGAGTTGAGACCAACAAGACCCATGTCACACATGCCATCCGTTGATCACAGCATCGAGCTGGCACAGCAAGTAGTTCATACCGAGACAAGCTCACGGCCGTCTATAACACAAGGATACCATGACATCCAGGAGCTAAACCAGGTCCTCCCTCCAAAGAGAGACCTACCATTTCTCAAGCCCGGCACAAAGAGAAAGCGAACAGAATCCACAATTGAACAAGCTGCCGAAAAACCGAAATCCTCGAGGGTCAGTCAGCTCGCGAATCAGACGAACCGCAATACACTTGAGCGCAGTGATACTGTCATGTCGGATGCCTCGTCCCAATCACTGGTGGCGACACAACCATACCCAGACCCAGTGGAGCCAGTAAGCACCCAACCCTACTCCCAACCAGACAAGGAGAACCTGCCTCAGCCCCAGAGGCCAATCGAGCACATCGCCCCAACAATCTACACGGCGGTCGCAAGGGATAGTACTTTGAACGATATCCAAGTTCGGCGATCGCAATCACCGATGCAGCCTGGCGTTCCGCCTTCTGTTGAAAAACAACTTTCGGCTTATCTTTCTTCCCCTAATCCCGAACGTGTGGAGTTCCTGGAAAACTGGATGTGCGAGCTCATTAATGACGACAGTTTTATGACTTTGTGCCAGGATGTCGAGGCAACGTGGAGACGCTTTGCCTTTGGTATCAGGAAGTAGGATGTTGATTCTAAATTTTCCCCGGGCTTTTTTCAACCCTTCTCGTTCCTCAGATGTCACGGTTCATGTGTTGCAATTTCACTGTCCCATTATGCGCTGATATATTTATTTTTCAGGTGGGTTTCGATTCTTGATATTGAATTAGGGTACACCAGTCCCCCGCAAACTTGAAGGCTGCTTGAAATAGCATTATAATGCAGTTGACTATCAAACTTTACCCAGTAGGTGTGATACTACCTACCTAGGTACTTACTAGTTAGACGCTATATAGGTACTCCATAGTACTACTCTACCTAGGTACTAGTATTACTCACTCAATCAAGGGCTGGCATTCTTTGCGTCTCCGACCATGAATGTTTCAGGGGAAAAGCAAATATTATATTTCTTTCAATTGCAAACGACTGTCCGAAAACGAAGTAGAAAGTTAACAGAATGCGACAACATTGGAAAGAGAAGGATATATTTAATGGATTTGAGGCACATAAAAGAGACAGAGGTATTTCCTGCAAGAGGCCCGCAACTCCAAACAGAGATAACAGAATTATTGCGGCGCGGGTCATTAGAGAGCAAAAGGTAAGCAATGTCCAGGCCAAATGGTAGTAGTACAACATCTAACGGTTGCGGCGATAGATCAAGCCAGAGAAAACATTCAAGTATCCCTCTCTGGTAAGCATGGTGAAGTCAACAATCACGCGGCCAAGGCCACTCTGCGATTGCATGAGCTGCGGAGCAAGATTCGGCGACCCCTCGCCGTGCTCAGCGGAAAGTCCTGGCGGTGGGGTGGATGGTGCGTTCTGGGCCACGGAGCCTTCGGCACCAACGGCGAGATCGGCAAGATGCTGCAGTGAGCGTTGTTCGTTTGGTCCCATCGGTGGTTGCGAACCGGACCCTTGGCCGGAGACCTTTGCGATGGCGCCAATTGATTCCTGGAGCTGGGTCTCTTGCGACTTGATGCGACGCCACTCGAGGAAGACCCGGATCTTTGCGTCCCAGCTAGGCGTGCCGAAGATGTTCTCGAATTCGGTGCCTGAAGCGGCGCGCTTCGAGCGTCGGTCGAGGATCTCTTCGACTTTTTGCAAAGAGTCCCAACATTCGTTTGCGTATTCTGGAAGGACGGTGGCTTCGAGGAGGGTCATTGATGCGAGGGCCAAGCTGTGCAAGTCGAAGGGGGTTTGGAGCCGGTTCTGGTGGGCTGCTTTGTGCAACTCGTTGATGACTTCTTGGGCGCAATATATGATATCGTATGGGCTGTAGACGAATACATGGCGTTTAATCAATAAACGCACAGTCCAGTAGAGCTGAGATTGGAGGCTTTCGAACAGAGGGCGGGCAGTGCTGTTTTCGGGCAGCTCGTGGATCTTGAAAATGTCCTCCATATCCGAAAGGCGCTCAAGCGAGGCGACCAGATTGGCTCCGACCATACGGCCCAGTCCGGTATTTGTTTGGCAGACGTTAGGCTCGACAGTGGCCAATGTAACCATCTCGGAAAGGAATGTCGAATAAGCTAATGCGCAAATTAGTATTTGTTGTTTCATTGGACGCAAAGAACATTATAACTTACAAGCAATGCCTGTCGTAATTTGACCGACAACCCGTTCATCTTCACGACCGCCAATCTCCTGTCCACTAAGGACAGTCGCATCAGCCACACTGATTGCATACCATCGTGCCAAAATGATCAACGATACGTAAATACGTCTAGTGAGGTTGGCTTCTGAGTCAATATCGGGGTCTGAAGCACGTTTGCTCTTCAACTGGCCCTGACTCTTGGCCAGATCATACCCCAGTTTGCTAGCGGCCGACACCAGAGTGTGCTTTGGCGTGCTATCATTGCCCACCAAATTATCCGGGCCTCGTGTATCACAGTCCATGATCATCAACAACAAACTCTGAAGCCAGATCAAGTTCACAGGTGTCGAATGGACAATCAATGGTTGGCGAGTATGGAATAGAAGCAAGTCTTGTGCATGGTTAAATGAGGACACCCTATCAAAATTTCCCTCAACGCGGGATAGATCCGTACGTGTGACCGTATATAGTGCATGGCAGAAGATTTCTTGGGCTTCACGATGGCATTGGTGGAGAAGCTCCAGCGTGCGCTCTTTGGTATGTGGGAGAATTGGCAAGAGAGTGTGAACTTCTTGGTAGTAAACGTCGAGCGCAGTCTCGTCAAGAGTGACGGGGCTCATGTCTTCGTCTCCTTCATGTCGGGGTAGCTCGGTCATCTCAAGGCCAGTGGGCAGATCTTGCTCCGACCCAGTCGGGTTCCAGAACAGGTTGCCAGGCTTGGGCGCAGTGCCGGTAGCGACGGCAGGATTGTATGGGTCCGCCGTCGCATCTGCACCATCAAACGCATTCTGGGATCCGCGCGCATTGAATGAAGGCTGGGCGAATGAGGAGCTCGGTAGGCCCTCAAAAACGGAGTAGGTTCTCTTGCGATTGGCCGATCCTGTGTCCACAGGCGATGTGAAGTCCTGATAGCCTCTTCCGAGAGAAACTTCGTTCATGCCTTGGTAGGGGACATCTTGGACCATTCCAGGTTGCATCTGACTTTCGAGGGTATGGAGGCGTTCGGCGAGTTCCTTGATGTAGCTGCAAATGGGTTAGTTGAGATATCATCTTGTGGTCGTGTGCGCGGGTTGATCCTACCCTTTGCTAGGGCCGCGTTTCATCGGCACGCGACTGAACTGACAGACGACTCCCAAACGACGACAATTCGAACATGTTTCAAGGCCGGTTTCCGAGCTCGCGTCGCATCGCACCTGTGAGTGAGAAATCGGATTGTTAGTGAGTGGGTCACGCGTCGCGCGGCGAGTGTCTTTGACATACCTTTTTGCGCCGACATTCATCGCAGGCCCTCGAGATCTTGGATCGCTTGCGCGCGCTCTGCTCGCCATAGCTGAGGTCGTGGTTTGGATCCACGCCGACTTGCTGGCTGGGGGTGAACTGATGGAGCATGTGTTGATGGGCGTGTTGGTCCTCCGAAGTGGTACGTCCCATGTCGCCAGGATTGTTGGAGCTCAAAACCATGGACTGACCGTGGTGGACGCCATTTCCCGAGCCATCACCGAGGCCAGGACCAGATGTTTCGCGCGACAGTTCAGCGGATAAGAGCTCATCGGTCGTCAGCTGGCGGTTGCCGTAGTACTGCATCGCGCCCTGGGCCATCTGGGCACCATTGGGAGATGGGTAAGAGGGAGCGGAAGGTAAATCAGACTGCTCGCGGGAGTTCATTTTGTGAACAAAAGAACTCAAATAGCAGAAAAATTGATGTGATGGGGGAGGGTGGGCTTCCAGGGAGATGGAAGGATGTGGTGAGGATGCGAAGTGCCAGAGGCAAGGTTTTTTTTTCCTTCTCCAGACTAAACTAAGAAATTCGCGGGGGGAATTGATCGCAGGGGGCTAGCGCCGCCGCATTGAGCAACACCAACATTTTGCCATGAAGGGTTTATTTCGAATGGATTTACATTTACTACGGAGTCGATAGAGAGTACCTAAAGTTGGTATAGTTCATCTCGGAGCGGAGGACGGCCTTTCGTTTCTGCGTGTCCAGCGGATTAACACTATTTCCCGTCCGGTCTATCTAATATACCTTGGTATAGTATACAATATTTAATATTGAGTATATCTAGTACATACTAGGTAGGTGGTATTGGTTTTAGTATATCTGGTACACTCCAGTTACATTTTGGAATTGCCGAGAATCCCAGTGCTCGAGTCTGTTGGAATACTGACGCTCATGGGCATCTGGTGACCAACATTGACCTATTACTTTGACCACCGGGGCACTCCCTCCCCCCCTGGAAATAGACTATGCATGTGCCCGGTAAGATAGCAGGCCCCGGTATCATGGGTATTATGGGTACATTAGGTACTACTAGTATTTGTCAACTTGTAGTATTCTGCGTGAATCATCCACGCAAATTCAACTTGAAGGTGAATGTTGCCTTGTTTCCGTCTGGCACCTTTGCTCACATCTCCTCGCCTCATACTCTTTGCACTTACATCTCATTTCCCAAAATGTCAATGTTCGACAGAATCAGTGAGCCAGTGGAGGTGGAAGACATCATCATGGTCTTTCCGTCCAGAATCGAAGTCCAAGCAGCCGACATCTGGATCGTGCGATCTTGTCCAGATGGAAACCCACCATGTCCGCGAACAGATTCCATCATGGTCTCCGCGGGACTCTATGCCAGATCGACCACACGAGGTCGGTGGTGTTTGTTCGGGCCAGACGTAGACTACATCCCAGATGAGTTTGAGAACGAAGAGGACATTGAAAATCGAGAACTCTTCTCGCTCAAAGACGTCCTAGACCCCTTGGCCAGAATCCGTGGTCAATACGATAATATCCGAATCACCGTCAATCCCCATGGAAAGTGAGTTGAGCTGATCAGTCCGAACCGTTTCTCAAATACTACATAGCTAGTACTAACTTGCTCTCAGGGATGTGCTTCGAGATTACTTTTTGAGACTATGCCCTCTCTGCAACAATGAAACATGGAACCCCGAGGAAGAATGTCATGATGATATGTTTATCGGTCTTGTCACCACGAACGGTACCGTGATGGACCAGGCATGCCCGGTTTGTATGGGCTATGAGTTCGCCGAGGAGGATATGGGCTATGTGGAGGAGTTAGGGGAACTCAAGCATAAAGTTTGCGATGAGACAAACCCGAGGAAATACGAAAAGGGCAAAAAGAAGTTTCTTGACCTGGTGCGCGAGAGATACACATTGCAAAACAAGCGAAAGCGAGAAATGGGCCTCGAATTGTGGAATCTTGACGACCGAGTCCGACGGTACCGGCGGGGCTGGATTGAGGGCAAGGAGGCCCCAGCCAATTCTTCGACGGAAGAGGAAGATGAGGGCGAGGGAGGTGTTGACGAGGATAGTGTTGAGGACGAGGAGGAGGATGATGATGATGATGATGATGATGATGATTGATAAGGTGCAGGACTCGGAAGATAACGAGTACTACTGTAGCAGGGGATCTTACTCTTACTCTCCTAGCAAAAGGTTCGAACATATCATGATGTGACTAGGTATTACCTAGGTATAGGAATGAACAAAATCAAGGACAAGAATATATGACCCCAGTCCAAGTCCATTGCTAGATCGCATTACATGCATGGCATTCTCGACATGATCCTTGACGCGGTGAGACTAACTCAATTAGTCAAGTTCATACCGACGGGGTCCTTAATTAGAATTTACGATTTAGGTACTCCGTACTGTACTCCCTACCCGTATGCGATGGCCAACGCAGAGCCCGTACAGCAACAATACAGCGAACCCAGTTAAAATCGCCCCTCAGCCCACAGTCCAAAGAGTACGGTTTCGTAACCGGAATCCACACCCTTCGAGAATCTGATTGGCATGAGTTGCCCACAGTTGCATGCGCAGATCAGGGCCCACCCGCTGGCCGCCAAAAACCCTCTGCAGCCCGCCCGAAACAGGCACGAAGTGACGCCATCCGAACCGCCCTGAACCACGCTATGACATGCAGTACCGTATCGTTGCTGTACACCATTACTGTACATGTACTAAGTATGTACTCCGGTACATGCTTAGTACATGTCCCGCTGGCTTTGTCTGGTTTCGAGGGTCACAATCCGACACGAGAAAGATACGCTGAAGCATGCCTTCGGATCGGCCACGACACTGCGCCAAGCTCGAGAGACGCTGGTTGGATTTTGAGTGATCACCCTCCAGTGTGTGCGCCTTGCAGGGATCGTGGAAACTTCTTCGAACATCTGGTACCTGAAATTCCTCATTAGCGTGATCGGAATCCCCTGGCAGAACCAATGATGTTCACCCAATAATCCCCAAGCCATGGTCAACAACGAGAAGGGGGAAAAAAATTAATTCTGAAAACCCCGAAAAAACAAGCGCCTTGAGAACTGGAAGGATCCAAATATCAAATCAAAGGCTTGGAGGTGCGGCCCCAGATTTTACTAGCGAGATCCATTCATGGGTGGGGTTCGAGTTCGTGCGAAGCCCGTGCTCGGAGACTCCGCCGACTGAGGTCCCCCCCCAACGTTCTGTTCGTGGGAATTCTATCTGGCGGTCTGCTAGTCCATCACCGGTGGCACGGCAAGTTTTTTTCTCTCCCTTTTTTCCGCCATCTCCCGTCGTGTGAGCTGAATGATCTCCTCGTGGGAAGGCTGCAAGGCGACCATCGGGTGAATGGGGGGGATCGTGCAAGGCCGCCACGCAAGGCGGCTCCGATGATGTGAGACTGTACGGAGTACAGGTACATAGATACTGTACATATTCTCCTGCGTCTTGCAAGTTCCAAGCAACTTGAATTTGAAACCTTGGCACTTAATTATACCTGTGGACTATGACAGGTACCCGGAATGGATTGCCCTCGCGACCATGCCCTACTCCTAGTACTAACTATGGTTTCCAAGGTTCAAGTTGTGTCTCCTTTTTAGGCTTTATCAACTAGGTACTAGTTTCGCACAATGGATACCATCGGGAATCATGTCCCAAATAAACCCTAAGCAGAGCCATAATACAGAGTACAGAACAGAACAGAACCGCCTGGTGGGACCGCCACGTCCGAGGCTTCGACTACAGTGGATACTTAAGTACACGAAAGGGGGTTTGCAGTCCAGGTCGCAAAAGGAAAATGTACGTGTACTCCGTACTCCACAAACACTCTGGTTTCTAGGAACAATTGGGATTGGAGAACAATGCCAATACTGTATGTAGCAGAGGTAATGGCAATGACAATTGCTGTTACGTACACAGTGCACTGCCTGTGACTGCCTGTGAATGGCATATTACTAAATACACCCGATCAATACATGGTACGTGTAATAATACCGTAAATACGGTCACCCGTTCCTTGTGCCTCTCTACGGCAGACTGCAATCACCACCAGTGCAGTGAAAATCCCATGCCGTTACTTAACCCTCGCCCCATCTTCCTCCTCTTTTCTTCATGGCATAGGGTGTTCCTCAACTCTCTATATCGAACGCTTTCTATCTTGGCCGCCACTACCGGTACTTGGTGTCCTGTCTCACGGCCGGCGCCAAACGGTGCGTAGGCTTGGTCCCCCATTCCCCCCCCCCCCTCTCTCTCCTCTCCTCTCCTCTCTCCAAGCCTCACACTCGACTCTCTTGATACCCTTTGAATTTCTTCTTTTTGGATCTTCCAACTTGCGACCCGTGCGACAAAAAAAGAATCCCTCAGATACGACCTGTATACTGCTGGAACGGCGTTCTGTGAACCTCCGCGCATTGGGAAACCTTCACCTCAGATACCCTTTATACTTCCTTTCTGTTCTCAACCCGCCTCCCCTGCGCGGCTGATCTCTCGTCGATCCCGCCTTGACGGCATCGTGGTCCTTTTTACGACCAACACTTTCGACTTTGAATATTTAACTTTACACCCCCAATTATATCCAACCTTCGCGATTCATCGCATGTGTGCCTCGCAGTAACCACCGTGATGCTTATTGAAGGTGAGAAGTGGGCTTGTGAAGCTTGCGTCCGGGGTCACCGGGTCAGCAGCTGTCACCACAGTGGTACGTCAATTCCGCTCTTTTGACTCGTTCTTTTGTGACGATCCGATCATTTCTAAAACTCACATCTTCACTATAACAGACCGCCCTTTGACCCACATCAACAAAAAAGGCCGCCCAGTCTCTCAATGTACCCACTGCCGCGGCCTACGCAAGTCTCGGACAACCCACGTCAAATGCGAGTGCGGCGACCACAAGAAGAAGAAAACCGACTCGCCCGACTGCGCCTGCAGTCATGGCCAGCGCTGCTCCTGTGCGCTGAAGAAGGAACCTCATCTCGACACTGTACCGGAGACCGGCTTGCCCGTGCCTCATCCGTCGGTTCCTGCTGAACTCCCACGGAAGCCTCCCCTCACGTCAACAAAGTCCGAGTCAACCTTGACGATCTTCCGTGACGGTCACCATAAACCCGCCCATAAGCATAATGACATGGCCCACAAGTGCGGACTGCCATACACAATCCCACGGTCTCATACTATCCACCACCCGACCGATATGCCTCGTCGATCCGTGGACCACCTCCCCCTGACTACCCATTCGGCATTTATCCACGAGCCTCTAAGCCTGTCGATGGACCCTCGATCGCAGTCTCAACAGACCTCGCAGAACGGCTCTCCCGACAGTGCACCCGCTGCATCCACGGAAGATGTTTCCAGCACCACCCCTCTCGGCCCATCCTTCTTAGATAACTTTGCTGCCCTTGCTAGGCCGACCAATTCAATGGATCAAAAGCCCGCCGACAATGCCTCTAACTCAATATCTGCTCCCGCCAATATGGAAAAGTTCCCTCTGGAGCAAATCATCACCAGCGTGCCTCCCCCGCTCGATGTCTCGACATATACTACCTTCCCGACCACGACCACCAACTCTCCGATCGCCTGTATGGCATTCCAGGATCCTTACCACGACCCTTACTTCACTTCCCCCGACTCCGAGGTGCCTCAGGGATCGACCGGCATGGGTGCACCATCAGTTGATTGGTCAAGCTTCCCCTTGTACTCGGACGTTCCTGCTTCAACAAGCACGCAGACACCGTCCTATGCCAGTTTCGACTACAACTCATACCCCTCAGGATTGCCGCCACCGTCTTCCTCTGGCGACATTTCTGAAGTCGATGAGTTTGGACCTCTCCCCGGTCTCGGGCACACGGGCAACAATGACGTGCACGATCTGCACAGCGTTAGTGAGGCATCGGACATGGACCATCTCCGCATCAGCTCCGCTTCCTCATTGGTCGGACTCCCTCAAGCGCAGCTTCTCTCATCAAATGATCTCGCGTCGATCAACATCGATGATTTCCTCAAGTCGGCTAATGAGTCCACCGCCGCGCTCGAGCATCAGCTGCAAGCTAGCATGGGAATCGAGTCCAAGCCGGTCCCTGCGCAGGACATGTACAATCTCCCTACCTCGCAAGATCCGCTCCCCGTCTGGCCATCTAATCTCTTTGATAACTCCACTCCGCCCATGGACGAGGGCTACTTCCGCCAGTCCTGGGCGCAGTAGCCGCCGAAGTGTCATGTCGTTACCGTTCTTCTTTTCTCTCCTTCTCCTAATTCTTCTTTCTCCTCCCCCGGGGTCTCCGCTGTCTAGCGGCACCTTACCACCACCTCAACACCGTCTTTATATGACCTTGATGAGAGATGATGATAAATGCCTTGAATTTTTTTCCTGCTTTCTAGCCAGCCTAGATCTCTTCCATGATAGCATCAATCTAGAGAGGGGTTCCGTGTTCTGGGTTTTACAAGTGCACACACTCACTCAGTCACTTACGCAACAAACTGTATATGATCCTGATTGTACTTTGCTCCCTATGTGTTTCTTCCTTCGATTTCGCTCGATGTATAGACCAATGTGTTATTTACTTGTACAATCTTTGTCCAGCCCATACCGGAATATCACCATACTAGACACCCATCCATCTGACATGGTGATTCTGACTAGTCCCACTGCATATACCCACCAGCAAAATCCTGGTCTGATAAGCATCCACCTGACGCAAATCTGCATCCCCAACGCCCCCACCCCCAACCAGTCGCAAGGGCAAAGAAAGAAAAGAAAAAGCCCCCGTACGATCGATCGTCAACTAGCCTGTTCGTATGTCCCCTTCCCCAGCCACCCTACGTAGCCCCATGGGCACGAGCACTCTCGGCAAAAACATCCGAACCACAAAGAGGTAAGGCGTGGGCGTCAGCGTGGGCTGACATAGGTACTATCGAGTTATGGTTTCACAGACGCATGTGGCGGTGAGTATGCGCTGAATCCACCAAGCCAAGTTGGTGTCTCACCTCAGCTCAAAGCAGGTTTTGACATCGTGCAGTCGGCGAAAGGTTAACTCGATTGTGGCTGCAGAGCGTTACGGAAGATCGGTGTTTAGTACTAGTACCTTGTTTGAGGGGACGTACTATGATGCTAGTACTAGTATGATTCAAATAATGTAGCACTGTTGACAATTTGAATTAATTAATTGATATATCTAGTACTACTAACTACTCCGAGTTGGGACCTGATTCATACAGTCACAGTATACTCCGTTGATGACCGTATCACTAGTTTCTTCATATCCACGTCTCCCTAATGCCAGTGGAACTCACCACAATCGCCGCTTATGAAATATTCGATTCAAGTTCCGAAGCACTTTATTCTAAGTTGAGCCTGAAAGCTTTGCTAAACTCAGTCCTGACTAGAAGGCTGTCAGTTCACAGCGTGGAATACCAAACGTACACCCAATTCAAAGTAGCGGTGAGCACGAAAGACAAAGGAAACAATCATTGGCACAACTTCATCCTGCAAAAAATATCGACGCACAGCTAAGTTCAAGTTAAACCCAAGTACGGAGTACCAAAGCTCGTATCCAACGTCCACCGCAAATCCATTCCACCGAAGCGGGTACGCTGTACAAGCATACCAACCGAAGTGCCGGCGTGAAGCCCGCATACCAAGCATTTCCCCAAGGTTTCTTTTAGTCAGGAGAACTCGTGCATACATAGCTATGTAGCTAGCAAGCCACAGTGGAAAGATCGTCCTCGTACATTGCCGGTACATGATACAGCATGCCATGCCACACGTACGCTGCGTCCGATCGACCCGCTTTCTCGTGATACAAGCCTCGAGTGCATGGGCTTGGCTAATGCTTAGCTGTGCACGGTGCGTCCTGGAACAGGGGTGACCTGGCGGTGTCTGGAGTGCTGGGTGGCTGGGGCTAGGGTTGGGGCTGGTGGGATGTATCACACGAGCAGAAGTGAGCTATCCTGCGAAGGTACTGACCAGTTTTAGACTGGCATTGCCTTGGTAGTAGTCCGAGTGCTACTTTGTAGTTATAGTCGCCCGGTCTATGTTTCGCACGAATTGCTCTATGAACTCATCATCTATTTTAAACTTATTTCCCAGACAAGTGCTGCTCTTTCTGACATCATGTTTCGGATATTGCGTTCGCCATGGCGGGATTCGTGGCTGATGCAAGGGAGATGCAACATTTACTCCGAAGTTCTACCTTCCTTTCCCGGGAATACCGAAGGGCTATGTCTTGTGTGCTATTGAATAATGTATGAATACATTCCAACTCGGGTCGGTCGGCATCTCGTGTACCTGAGTATGTACATTGTACCCTAGAATTGTCATGCTTAGGTATGAGTACCAGAAACGATACATGGCGGCCAGTCGTGACAGTAAGAAACGGCCGTGATTATTTCAAAGTAATCTTAAATTGAGTACTATCTAACGATGGTCTAGTACTAGTACGAAATAGTTGGGCTGACTTCTCCTTCAAGTTTTCATTGACGACGAAGGGCAACTTGAATACAATTGAGAATCAATATCTTTCATCTATTACTCCCGACTTGCTTATTCAAGTTTATGATCATTCCTCCACGGTACATCTCTATCGATAAAGTTCTCAAACAGTTCACTAGCCATATATTGAATTCTTGAAATTAAAAAAGCAGCAGTCTGTAGTCAATGCTTACTACATTGATAGGCAGCAGCTTACCCACTTAGGGCGCCCCCGCCAAGAGCCCACGTAGCAAGCAGATCCTCGCGATCCCGCCTCTTCGAAATGTCAGATCCTGATATGATGTTGGACATGACACTCTCTGGTATTCCAACAGAGCTCATCATTCTTATAGGCCAATGGCTGGCACCGAGTGACCTCAACGCTCTGGCCAAAACAAAGGGACGCTTCTACCAGAGTCTCAACCCGAGCCTGTGGCAGCAAAAGGAAGATCTCGCATTGCTTTGGGCCGCAGAGCATGGCAAGATAGAGTGTGCTCGCAAAGCGCTCGCATTCGGCGCGAATATTAATACCGAACATCCAGCGACCGCAGAAACATTGGCTCGACCGCGGGTATTTCTGCATCGGGAAAAATTGCACAATAAGAGCCGTGCCAGTCCCCTTCTCCTGGCCGCTGCAGCAGGACAGATGGAAATGGTTAATCTATTGGTTGGCGTTGACGGAGTTGATGTTAACCAACAGAATGATTCCGACCAGACGACACCCTTGATGATAGCGATCATCGCCGAGGAGGAAGACGTTGTTCGGGTCTTGCTGGCAGATCAAAACATTGACACCGATATCAAGTACAAATATGTCTATGGAGGCTCATTGATGGTTGCATCAATAGTTGGCAATGTCAATATAGTCCAGCAGCTCCTAAGCCATGGCAAAGATCCGAACAAGGGCAACATGATAAGCCAGTGTCCGTTATACCTCGCAGCCCAGAGCGGCCATAAAGATGTTGTGCGGGTATTGCTGCAGGCGGGGGCAATTCCACACCCACCTGACTCGAGATCAACCCAGGCTACGGCCTGGGGCAATTGGTACGGCAACCCATTCACTCATGCCATAGATAAGGGCCCGGAAATGATGAAAGAATTCCTCAAATCGCCTCTTTTCGATATTGAAAGAGTGAGGGATGAGTTAACTCGCGCTAAGTGTACGGCACTCATGAAGAAAAAGGAGGAAAAATTCAAATATCTCTTCTCAATCGACTGCCACGATATCGATTGGCATAATGGTGATGGCCGGACCGCATTATTCTGGGCCGCTACGTACGGCCAGGAAGAGGCGTTGAAGTTGCTTCTTGCATATGATGGATATGAAAGGGTGAATTGCAATACACAGACGCGTGGTGATATTTCCCGAGAAGATGTTCTTCGGCTAAATAGGGCTGGGTATGCTGGGTTTGGTGAAGGAGTCACTCCGTTGATCAGTGCTGCGAGACAAGGGCATATCGGCGCAGTGAGGCTTATTTTGACGGCAGATGGTATCGATATTCGTCACCGGGATGGAATATTTGGGGAAACAGCGCTGATGGCAGCGAGATCAAATGGCCACCTAGAAGTTGTTCAGTTGCTGCAAACTTATACCGAGGAGTAGAAGTGTTCTTGCGCGGTGATCATCTGCCGAGAAGATCAATTATTTAGATCATGGAATTCCTGTAGACATACTATGCACTTTCCCCATCTCATCTAAGTCATGTATTTTTTCTAAGGAGCATTGAATACATACGACCATAGGGTGTGGAGAACAGGGCTTCCCGTCCGCTCAGCCGTACTTAAGCCACATACTAAACGCAGTCAATAACCAAAGAGCCCTGGATCTTAAATTAGCGTCAGTTTCTGTGTTAGGGTGAGTGCGGGTGATATGGGTGAGAATTCTGGAGACTGGGGTGAGAGAGGTAAGAACGGGGTGAGAGGGGTGAGAATACCCACTGCGATGCGTTGCGTTCTCCTAATCTGCTGTAATGGTAGAAAAGAAAAGCCTGAGGGCGTAACTTTAGTCTGCTATTCCTGAATTTATTTTTCCTCAGCTACTCGACCGAAGATATACCCAGAAGAAATACAAAAGAAGCTAGACGACAGGAAGGCACGTGCCGCGTTATGTAGTTTCATCTACGAGTATCAGAACGCTAGGGAATAAGTGGTCAATACTATCTGCTATAAATAACTCGCTCTAGCTACGCTCTGCAAGTTACCTTAAAAATACGGAAAGCAAAGAAAGTCGACAGGGTATTATGCGAGCATAAATAACGAGGGTAGTGGGGATGTAATGAGAGATTATTTGACCAATGCGCCGCGTGTGCCGTTAGGGTGAGCGAACCTAACTAGGGCATGCCTAGATTCCAAATTCAACATAAAAGTGAACGGAAGATAGGGGTTGTTTTCTTTCCTGATCATTCTGAGGCCAGCTACTGAGAACAAGCTACGCCCTCCATAGATACCCCCAATAATCCAGCGTAAGTGAAATGCAAGAGTGCATCGCATTCATCAGTAAAGAGCGACCATCCGGAATCTTTTCTGCAAGGCCAATTAAGTCAGACTAAAGTTTCGATGACTAAGCATGGGAGCTTTCCACCATTCTGGACACGATACCGCGAGATCCAAATTGGTATGAATCAATTAAAGTCCTCTATAATTCTTCCAAGATCAACACTTGTTCTCTGAAAAATAAAAAGAATACCGCCGAAAGTCGACATTGACAACCACAAGACCTAATTATTGGGCTTATACAACTGAAACGCAAGCAAGAAGATATCTATGCGAGAGAATGGAAGCAATACAATATGGTACGTAGTGTAATATTGGGTAGCGACAAGGAGAAGAAGACGATCTATGAGAGATGAAGCCTAAGTGGTGGGATGGAAGGCACTAGTCCCAAACGGGACACCTCAACACCGTACTCATTGCATAGGCCAATATTTTTGGATGATAATAGAAGTCTTGAAATTCGTGTTGATTTGCTATGGCAATCAAAATAGGAGCTCTTGATTCTCTAAGCTTAATTAATTTTGATCTCTCAGGCCAAAAAATTTGCCGACTAAGCATATAGATATCTGGCCGCCAGAAGCCACCGTATTATAGTATGCACCACATCGAATGCTGTGTCTGAAATTTATCCAAAGATTTGTTTCACGATGGCACCCCGTAGGCCTCTTGGTGTGAAATATTGATATCAAGCCATGGGTAAATCTTGACCTAATCTTGGAAGTATGGCTTCCGAGTTGATGTCATGATGAGCCCCTGATCTGGGTGAAGCGGAAGCATGATATACCTATCTGAGATCCCTACCTAATAGACATTCTCCTCACCAAGCATGCTTCTTTGTATATGCCCTAGCTGAAGCGTCTGAATGTCAATGTGGATGTTCAACCATTGAACAGCACACAGCCACTGACATCACAGCCCGAAATGGAAGCAGGTCTTGCTCTGGACCTACAGAATCAATATCATGCTTGTGTTTGCTGTCAAGTAAGGGTAATGACGCCGTTTAACTTTTGGTCAAAATATTGCCTGAGTAAGTTTGGATGATCACTTTTATCTGTCTTTAGAAGCCGTGTCTAATTTTTCATGGTATATCCGGCAGAAAAGAGAGTCCAGCCATCAGACATCAATCGAAATGAGGGCGACTGGGTTACTTTCGTGATTGAAACAGAAACTACGAGGGCTAAGTACCTGGGCCCCTGCTTTATGATCATCAGGGCCAGACCTACAAAAGCTATCTTTATTCATGAATATTGTTATTCAATCTTCCTTCAACATATTCAAAGTGAAGATGTTGATCTCGAAAGGCTTTTTGTTGTTTGCCAAGATATATGGAGTTTCATATTTGTCTATTCTGGTATGCCTCTGAATACTGTGATGATTTTATAATGGAAGCTCGAACTAATGGAACTTTTGTTTAGAGGACAGACATCGACGATTGATGTTCACAAAACAGCCAATAGTTCCAAAGCCTAAGCGTTTCACGAGGGCTTCCCAAGTCCCACAAAAAGCCATGGCTGTTCCTAGGGGAATGTCTGGATATTCACCAGACTGCTTTGTTTCCCTTCCTATGGAGACAAGGATGCACATTGCCATTTATCTTGCCACTGCCGATTTCCTAGCTCTTCGACATGCATCGCGATCAATGGCAAAGGTCTTCAATATTCAATCATTCTGGAAGTCAAGATTTCATGCGGTGCAAGACAGAGGCTTCCTCGCCTATCTGGCCAATAACCCACAGGATGATGAGACTACAGATTGGCGGCTCATGTATCGCTGTACGGCGAATATTGATCTCATGCTCAAAAGAAAGTTTCCCGAACATTCATGCACACACGAAAGCATCTGGAATATCTGGATTCTAAAATCTCTGTGGGAGAATACACAGTGGTTGAGACAGAGATACTCAATGACACAGGCATCCTATGAGCAGATTGTGCTCTATAATCATATGCTTACTGAACTACATTGGACGGAGTTTTATGCTGGATTGGAATGCAATAGGGCGTCGCGCCAAGGAAAAGACAACGATTTATGTGAAGACTGCGGGGCTGAACATGTTCCTCTCATCCAAGCGATCCCATTGGAACATTCAGTTGTCAGCTTGGCAGTGTCCATTTTAAATGAAGGTCCACAGACTGTTATTACTGGTTTTGAGTTGGTGAGCGGCGAAAAGGACGTGGTAAACAAAGTTCTTGGATATCGCCTGCTAGGAGGGCAAGTGACTATTAGCCTTCGCGGCCAGGAATTGAGGGGATTTTCTATTGTTAGTAGCCGCGGAAATATCCACGCATTGCAGCCAATCTTCTTCAACAACGATGTGAAACCTGGTTGGGTAGGTCAACCAGAGTTGTGTTTCGACGATCTATATGACGAGTCCTACTCTACCTCCAAATCTTGGATCAAGCGCTCATCAACAGAAGTAGTGTTGGAGCGTGGGATTACAGCCTTTTGTGGAAAATTTGATGTAAGTTGCTGCCTTCTGGATATGATAGACAATATTAACTTTCGAATAGTCTTGTAAGATGATCGGATTGTCTATAGCCTAGGTGAGGCCATCTGCTACAACATTCTTCTAGAAGATTTGAGTAGGCAATACGCAAATAGTCACGTGCTGACTGTTTCACGCTGCTTTGAGCGCATTTTACCCAAAGTAGTATAGTCAGCCTTGCCCCTGACGTAGCTGACCTTGTCTGACCTTGCCTAAAATGCGATACTATAACTATTAAAGGTGATAAAAGATCGGAGGTCTTGAGCGGACAAAAATGACTCAATAATTTTCTACTTGAATCAAGAGGTTCAGCACGTTGGTCGCGGGCTGAAGCAAAACTCTACTCTGTAGAATATGATGGGCCTCATGTCTACAGAGTACAGTATATTCGAAAATCACTCCACCGAGGGGGCTGTATGCAGATGCCAAGACACTGGTTATTTCAGATAGAGCATCGTGGCCCAATGGTGTTGCCCTCTCGCTCAGCTTGAAGGGTCAGTGCGGTGGTTACAAGACGAAAAGTGATTCTCACCCCCTCTCACCCTGCTATTGCGCACTCACCCTTCTCACCCCCGGTCGCGCGACGCTAAAGCGGCTCTCACCCATTTCTCACCCTAGCGGCACCCACCCGACTACTGGCCGCATTTAAGCCACACGCCGGCAGGTTAGTAGTATGGTGGGTGACCACATGCGAATCCCTGCTGTTGTATGTTTTTTTTCTTTTTCGCTTTTTTGTCTGTCTTCTGTAGTTTTATTCTTGAAATATTTTGTATACAGAAAACTAGTTATATAACAACCACTGAGTACCTAGGTAGGCAAGCAGAAAAAACAGTGGTACTTGGAGAGAGCCCTGGAGTGTGCGTGCTACCCGCCTAGTGCGAATATAATATACATTGAATTGAAGAGCAATGTTTTCTTCCAACTTCAAGGTTATAATTTCGCAGAGCGCCGATTCTTCGCGGCTTTCTTGACGAAGTCGTCCATGATGAACTGACATGAAGCCATGGCATTCAGTTCCTTGTCATCTCTCAGCCGTTCCAAGACAACAGCTTCGCCAGCAATCATAACATCGACTTCGCCAATCTTACAACCTGGCAGGAGAGTAAACTCGCCATGCGGAGGCACCCGGCCAAAATATGGCTCACGATACGCCTCACACCGGCCGAGGCTAGGACCCCAGTCTTCACGTATGGCTGGGCCTAGACGTGTGTGATCTGTGACAAAGGCATCGAGGGGACCTGCTGGTACTAGCCCCGGGCTCATAGGGTGCATTTGCGCAATCTCGATCATTTCGTGGAATTTCTCTTCGCTCCAGTTGTTGTTACTTCTGCGAATCAGCGCTGCTGCTTTGGCCAAGGCCTCTGGGGCTGGAGATGCGAAGTCACCAGTCTTTGCAGCAACTGGGAATACGTCCAGGCAAGCCGGCATGTAATCGAAAGGCAAAGGTGGTGTCAGGCGGCGGCGTACACTCCCAACGTAAGCGATACGCGTCGTTTTAGGTATAGGCTCCGCGCCAGAAACACCGGGGGCCCATTTGGCCGCGAAGAAACGCTGCCAAGTAAACGCTGTCAGACAGTCGATGGATGATAACTTGGTTTCTTTCGGCGATGCTCTCTCGGCGACGAGCTTCAGTTTTTGGATTGATGATTGAGGGAAGGTCCATATACAAGTCGATAGCTGACGAAGCTTTCCTTCAGGAAATTTGGCCCGATCATTGTCTGTCAAACGAGCCTTGGTGAAAAGGTCGTCTATTGTCTTGGCCATCTTTTGGGGATCGCGAGGGTCGAGGATTTGCCAATGTGGGAGATTTCCCACGCGAGCTGCTAACTTGTCGAGATCATGCTCAGTCTGCACATTAGGCGTCAACATCGAGCGATCCATCAAGTTGGCTGCTATTTGTTGCGGCAGCGGAGGCTCAGGCATGTTCTTTGTCCGCGCATTGGCAACAGCGCACGTTTGACGTGCCCAAGATCCCATCACGTCCATACACTGTACGAGATCGCACATAGCATGTGCGATCGAAATAGTTAACACTATTCCGCCTTCGATGACATTGAATCGAGGCATCAGGATGGGGTCGCCAGTCTGGGTGCTCGGCATGACTTTTGGGCGCAGTTTGCCTGAGACCATCTCGGTCGCCATCACCGAATGGCCAGCCAAATATTCTAAACTCTTCATAAGAAGGCATTTCCTTTATATCTCGGTGGTCGTGGAACTCAAAGTTGACACCGGCGTGTGGCATTGGGCGAATCTCGATCGAGTTGCGTCCAGTTTCATCCTGGATGATTCTACCACAAAGATGTGGGTGCTGGTATATGTAGCGGGCGAGGCCTCGTTTGCAATCTTCGTAGATCTGCCGGGGGTCGGCGTTTGGTTTTAAAGGAAAAAACTTGGTTGGCGAAGGATAGACTGGGGTTGTCAAATTATCCATAGCAGATAACCTGATGAGAGAGGGAAGCACAGGAACCGCAGGCTCAACCCATGAGCTCGGCACTGACAGTGTTTGGGGGTCCATTGAAAAGTCAAGCGCCATCATTCACAGCGAAGAGAGAAGATGTAGAACTAACCGCGTAGGTTTCCAAGGTGTTGAGGTCGCGGTACTATTAGTATGAACACCCGTGGACTTAGATTACAATTTTACTACCTTCCACTCCCCCCCTTCTCCTCCCTTCTCTTCCCTCCTCGTCCCTTCCTCACCGTCTAGCTGATTGTAGGCCGATCCCGACGATCACAGCAGTTCAATGATTCGTCCTTTCCCATAGGGTCCCACAGGTTCATCGTCCTGGGAAGTGGAGCCCCCGATTGCTGCTGTGGGGCCTGTAGGCTCATTTGAGCATTTGGACCCTCAGTCAGTCAATAATGGACGAACGATCGTCGTTTAAACTCCGATAGTTTAAAAAATTTTTTATTTCAACACCAAATAGTACCTTATCCTCAGCTAGCATGCCGTCCTGACAACGGAGTAAATTCCGATAGAGCAATGATTCACGCATGATCGAAGATCGTAATAGAGCATTTGGTAGGGCGAAGTCTGTGCTTTACCCTGTGTTCGTGGCCTTTTTTTTCTCTCTCCAAGGCGTTGTCCTTTTTTTTTTTTCACTCATCAGCTCATCTATTCCTCTGGTTTTGAAAAGATAGGAGCCCATAGCGCAGAATTTACCCAAGATGTCTGAAACCATCACCGAAGCCAATGTGCCGGCCAGCTCTGTCGCAGTCATCAAGCCACACCCAGACACCCACGGACAAGTTGTGAGACTTTCCGCGATCGACCAGATTGCGCCTAGGGATTACATGTCAATATGCCAATTTTTCCGACTGGGTCCAGATGTGGATAAGAGAGAAATCTTCCGCGCCCTCCAGGAAGCTCTGTTGAACATCGTGAATGACCTACCGGAGCTTGCATGCTGTGTGCAGAAACACACCCAGAGTAGCCGTGAAGAAGTGGAGCTCATATTTGACTCCAACAAGGGTGTTGAAATCCATTACAAAGATTATACTTCACCGGAGTATTGTGATCTGTGGAACTTTGGCTCATTTGACCAACTTGAGGAGGAACACTTCCCTCTCAACAAGTTGCCAAGGCATATTGTTTTCGGAACGTCTGCCAAGCTGGTAGATGGTGTGAGGCTTCCAGCCCTTGTCATTCAACTTAATTTCATTCCCGGAGGACTAATCCTTGGAGTATGTCTACATGTAAGTCCTGCACTATCCTGTCATGTTCAATTCTGTGTCGAGAGCCGCACTAACGAAGAAATAGCATGTTGCTGGTGATGGTCAAAGTATTTTCATGCTATTGTCTGCCATGGGCGCTCATTTTTCCGCTGCGATCGATGGGCTAGACAGCAAACCTACCTCGCAAATCCATCTCCTAGAGAGAAGTGGTGTCGTTGACGGCGATAAAAGTGTAAAGATTCAGGAATTCCCTCACTGGAAGCTTGCAGATGCCACTGGCGAGTTCCTCAATCCAACGGCGTACACAGCTAGTGAGGTTTCCACATTCCAATATGCTACATACTTCATCTCAGCCGAGAAGCTCGCCTTGCTCAAACGCCGCATCTCGAACAACGTTCCCGAAACCAAGCTCGGCACAATCGAAACATTGGGTGCCTTTATCTGGCGTCACGTAATCGTGGCCAGAAATATCGATCCTCAGACGTATCCCGAGGCAAAGCTTTCCATCACCATCGATGCCAGGGGCCGGATGAAAGCCCCCAATGTCCCATCCAACTATTGGGGGAACTTCGCGGAACCAAACGCAGTGGCCAGGCTATCCGTTGCGCGTCTTCAGCAAGGCGCATCGTCACCAACATCAGACGATCCCACGAACACCATCTACCCCGAGGCGGCGCGTCGAATCAACAGAGCCATAGCTGCGGTGGATGATAAGGCAGTCAGGCGTCTTGTCGGTATCCTTAATCAGATGCCCAAAAGCACAACATTAACGTGGAATGTCAACCGCTACCCTGGCCCAGACATGCTTCTTGTCTGTCTCCAGGGTCATGCGTACAATGATATCTACTTCGGCAATGAGCTTGGTTTTCCCGCAGCATCACGATTCACTGTCGGTGATACCGAAAGCAAACCTGATGGCCGCTGTATGATTATGCCACCTCGCCGTGGCGACGGGAAAGGTCTTGAAATCGGGCTGCAGTATGACAATAGCACACTAAAGAGGCTTGAGAACAATGCTGAGTTCGGGGAGTTTTTTGTGCGGAGAAACTAAATCCTGCTCTCGGATGAGGGAAGGGGTTGTTCTTTAGACTCGTTGTCTCGTGTATTATAATGGAAAAAGAAGCACTAAGAGCGAAACCAATTTTAGACATGTCAACATAATCATAGTTCTAATATCCTCATAATACAGGATCGATTTGAATAAAATTTCCCCTCCCATTTCAAGGGGTGACAATGTTGAAGGCAGGGTTTGGGACGGTTTTGGGATGGTGACCCGGGATGTGATATCGCTCCAGGCGTCCAGGTCCCCAGATGTAGTGAATTTGCCGACATTTGGGTTATTGCCAGAAGTTGTGCCTCCAACGAGATACACGAGTTCCTGGTGCTTGAGCCAGACAGTCAGAGAAATCCCGGCGTTTCGCGGGTTCGGAAATGCAGTATATGGAACGGCATGCCCCGTCAGGGCAGCGTTGCTGAGTCTCAGGTGCCACCCCGCACCCGGCTTTCCGACTTGGTCCACGTCTTCGACCATAAAATCAATGGTGATTTCCTTTTCAAGATATTTCGTGGGCTGCTTGAACGCCTCTGGCCCATTGATACGGATGACGATGGTGTCGAATAGCTGGTCAAAGCTTAGAGCCATCAACGATTGAGGTGACATTGCGTTGGGGCCCATTCTGCAGCTCGAAAGCTCCGATGAGATAGAAATTGTTGGGTGGTGTCTGACAAGATGTCAGGATTACCGTTTGCTCGTAGAAGTCCTCGAGTCGCAAATTCAAAGTCGTGGTTGCTGTCTTCATACGGGGCTGTGTGGCAACTATAATGAACCGTGAAAGTGGGAGAAAGACTGACACTGGCACTAGTACTGTCACCTGGACAGTTGATGGACTTGAAGTGGTGCAAAGCTAGTAGTAGCAGTTGGGTACTATGCCCAGGTGTTTTGTACTTTCCAAGGTTCTATTTCCCAGGTGGGGGTTGGCCTCAATAATAAGTAGGATTCCAACCCACCCCTTTCCTTTTCAGATGCCTATACTCCGAGTTGGACTATCAATTCAAGTTGGATAATGCAACCTTGGAACACCATTGACAATAACCTTCAAGTTAAAATCACTCGTTCCCCTGATTGAGGATCGTTGCCATTTTCATATCGTAGGACAAACTGTACAAACTTGAACTAGAACCTAGGTATTCCACAAGGCTCTATCTTACTGACCACATCTCATATGCCCCTAGAAATCCAGAGAATACACTCCAAACGGCAGAAAACGGTCAATCTCGTGTATGTACATTACGTACAGGGACGTCATGCATGTCAAGAGCCTATTGTTAGTAAGCAAGTTCCATAAACCTCTCCTCTCCATTCCTCACGCTGTTCGAGAAGATGATTTATCAACCCTTTCATGGGCTGTCAAATCCCATTCAAAAAACATAATAACTTTCAAGCGGTATATGTCGAATTAACTATCTGGTAGAAGATAGCCCAAAACAACCCGCTATGAAGCTTCTACTTGAGTCGGCGCGGGTTGACAATTGAGATGGAGTATATTTCGTTCTATTCTAGCTTGCACAATGCATATTTCCACTGCAAAAAAAACAAAGCTATACGATCCCAGCCTGTTGCCAGACCAAGTTCATGCTGAGGACACTGGCCCGCAAAGCGAATAACCAGCGGGACCAGCACCACGGATATGTGGTCTAGATGGTATCAAATCAAGAGATAAAAAAAAGGAGAGCCCGCGCGGAAAGTAGCGGGCCACGGGAAAGCAAGCGACGAGGCGCAAAGTCATCTCACATAATGTAAAGGGAAGGCCAAAGGGGCTCAAAGGCAAAAGATGCATGTCATCCAAGGTCTACTCAAAGTTGGGCCTTGTTGAGTCCACCGTACTTCTTTATGAACTCGGAGTGGAACTGCACGATGCGCTCCACCCAGTCAGTGCCGGGGGCAAGGAAGGTAGTGCGGAAGTGCAAGGTGTCGGGCTTCTGGCCGAAGCCGGAGCCCGGTACGACGCAGACACCCGTGGCATCGAGCAAGGCAAGGGCGTAGAACTCGTCCGCGGTACGGCCATCAGCCTTGGCGGCCTCGACGGCCTTGGCGGGGAGATGAATGGTGGGGAAGAGGTACATAGCGCCCTGAGGCTCCTGGCATTCGACACCCTCCATACGCTGGAAAGCGTCGAAGAGGGCCAGGGCACGCTTGTGCAGGCCGTCCCGGATACCGTTGTACTCCTTCTGATAGAGCTCGAAGCTCGGGTCGCCCTTCTGGGGAGGGTTGACCATGGTCTCGAGCAAGCACTGTGCGACGACCGGCGGGCACAGACCGATACTTACGACCTTGTAGATCTGCTCCTGGACCAAGGGGTCGAAGCCGACCAGCTCGAAGTATCCGCCGCGGTGGCCGCACTCACCAACCATACCCTTGGAGGTGCTGTGCAGGGAAACCAGCTCCACGTTGTCATACTTGCCGGGCTGCTCCTGCTGGAGCTGACGGAGGCGCTTCTTGAATGAGACAAATTCTCCGCTGAACACGTTGGTTTGGTAGACCTCATCGGCGATGATAACCAGCTTCTCCGCGGCGGCAATGTCAATGACTTGCTTGATATCGTCGGCGCTCAGAGAAGCACCAGTAGGGTTACCGGGGTTGATGACGGCGATGGAGCGCACGTCGGTGCCCTCGGCCTTGGCGTCGGCGATAGACTTCTCGATCACCTTGATATCGGTACCCCATGCCTTCTGCTCGTCCAGAAGGTATGGCACGCAGCGCGCATTTAGGAGGGCCAGAGTGGCGGTATAAAGAGGATATTGGGGGATGGGCACCAAGACACCGGCGCTAGGCTTATCGCAGATAACGTTCAGCAGGGTGGTGACACCGGAAGAGGCACCGGCGGTCAGGAAAAGATCCTGAGGGTTGGCGGGGAAGCCGTCACGGTTTTCGATAAATTTGGCGACGCTGTTGCGGATTCCTAGGGCTCCTTGGCTGTGGCTGTAAGCACCGACACTGCGCACATCGGTCAAGAGAGCCTGGGCCCGGTCAATAACATCCTGGTTGTATCCGAAGGAGGTCTTGAGGGCGGTTGGGTTCTCCAGCAACAGCGGGTTCTCGACGAGACTGAGAACTTGACGGAAGAAGGTGATGGGCTTCTGGTCGAGTTGTTGGGGGTTTCCAATGTTGGCGAAGATGACGCTGTCGAAGGGCAGGGACTTGTCGCCCTTGAGCAGACGAGCACGGTATTCCTCGGCCTTGACAGCCAATTCTCCACGCACAGCGTACTTGGCGGCTCTGACGTTAGGGTTGATGTTGTCAAGGGAGAGGCCCTTTCCGGAGAGGGTGGATTGAGTGCGAGTCATAGTGGGCACTGTGTATTGACCCGGGGGGTTTTAGTTAGTTGAGGTCAAAATAGTTGGAGTAAGTTGAGTTGAATTGAATTGAGGCCTGAGTGACAGGAGTGAAGAGGTGGGAAGCGATGGAACGATGTTGTCATACGACGAAGGATACCCTCGGAGGGGCAGCCGACGTTCATATATAGCGCATATATAAGGCAAACGCAAATCATCCGACGTTAAACGTACCTGACTTGGACTTGGACCAAGCGGAGAATCCCCCCGCAGCCGCGGTCGGGCGATGTAGGAGACCATTCGGCCGGGTCACCGATACCCGCAACGGGGATGCCCGCGCGCGGGAGCCGAGTCGAAATTGCCAGGACATGACGATCAAGGAAGTCAGTTGGGCGTTCCCTTTAGGCTTAGTAGGGATCGATCACTGGTGGCTTGGGGGCTGAAGGGAGGGGGGGGAGGAAAAAAAAACCCTTTTGCCCTGGAGAGTCCTTGGGAGGGCCCGATTGGGCGGTGAGGTTGTGAGTCAGCATGTTTTTCCCCACAAGCGCGATAAAATGCGGAGTCAATTTGTCAATTTATCAATTTATCGGACGAGAACTGGCGATAAGACTATAGGGTATCATTCTATGACTCGAATTGACTATCTGGGAAAGTGGGATAGGAAATATACCTGGGGTAGAGCAGAATGGAGACCAGGTGAAGTATGGGGGAGCCAGTACTGACTAAATCACTCCTAGTCAACTAGTCAACTACGCTATGAATTCCCTCGGGAAGATTACTTGCCCGCGGAGTGGACTCCGTTGGCCACTCTGGAGCCACACCCCATCTTGTGGGGGATCGTAGCCTCCACTTGTAGTGGTTCCGATTATGGTTAGGACATATACTCGCGTGCAAATGAAGATCTGTGTCATTCCATTCCGTGGTTATTAGTTACTCTTAGGTAACCCTCTGATGCCTATCCTCTCTGACCCAAGGTATCTATCTAATCTAACTACGCTCACTGCCACGAAGTCGAACGGCCTGTCCGTATTTCTGGAGTTTGGTAATCAGGGCGTCACCGTGCTTCACCACGTCCGAGTATTGCTTGTTCTTGTCATCGGGTCGGTTGGTTTCAATAATTCCATTGACGCGGTCAATCGTGCAGGAAATGCGGTTGCTGGAGATGAACTTGGCCAGGTCGCTGCAATTGAGAAAACAAAGTCAGTCAAATGGGTCGGGTCATCGCAAGGCAACATTCGAAGCAAGAGAGAGAAAGAAAAACATACCGGTCCAGATAATCCACAGTCACACCAAAGTCGCTAGCCATGCTGTTCAAGCCCACTACCCGGTAGCTTTGGAGTAGCTGCTGGTAAGCGCGGAGTCGCATCTCACGAACAAACCAGGCCCGGTGCTCGTGCAAGTATCGGTCCTGCGTCAGGAAATGATCCTCGACGGCAGCGAGTGCTACGAAGAATGAGCGGTAGTTGCCATTATAGAGACTGTTGACCAGGTTGGCCAGAGGTGAGAAGTCGACAGGGATCTCGCTTTCGGCCTGTGGACCGGAGCCAGTGGCCAGAGTTGTCAGGTTAACAGCGGTCTTGGCACCGCCGGTAGGAGTTGATGTTGATGCTGTAGCATCCTTCATTTCCTCATCCCGAGCACCGGGGCCAGCCGAGGTCTCACCAGCCAGAGCGGCCAGTTGGTCCTCGCCGGCACCCAAGATAGCCTTGATCTCGGGTGCATCCACCACCTTCGCCTTAAAGTCCACCCGCTTTAGGGATAGAGATCCCGCAAGCACGGAGTAGATTACCAACGCAGAGTAGCTGCACAGTTCGTAACTTGTAAAGGTGGACAGACTGTCCAGAAGAAGGGGGGGCGGCAAGGCTGTAGGAACGGATTGTGAGCAGGTGCATGCCCTTGTAGGCCTTGAGGCGATTCCTCCGGTCCCAATCACCACCGCTCTCCACCAGGGTCTCTGCCCGCTCGATGGTCTTCTTGACAAACACGCGGTCTCCAAAGAACAATCCAATGCGGATCATAGCCAGAACCAGGTCAATTTTGGTGCCGAGGAATCCGATCTTATCGAGGAGGGCTTCGTGCGACTCAATAGCTCGGTCCTATACAGGGATGATGTGTTAGTACAAGGAGAATGATATTTTCAAAGTTCTTTCAAGTCGTACCTTATCTCCAACGCGAGCCCAGAACTCGGCCCGTTTCCCTCGCGCGGCTTGTACCTCAGTCTCGCCGGCGGCCTCCTCTGCCTCGTCCTCCTCCTTTTGGAAGGTCTCAAGCTCTTGCTTGTTCTCCTCCACGAGAGATTGATACAGCTGCTCATCCCAAGGAAAGTCGATATTTTGTGGAGACTTGCGCGATGCCAGCATATCGGAGATGATCAGAGGCTTGGAAGTGGCCGTGTGAGGGTGTTGCGTCACACCTTCGCCAGAGTTGTTCAGGATGCCCTCGACTGGATGGGCGAGGTAGCGATAGAAAGGGGCCATCTTGCGCTCCTTGATGGCATCTTGCAGCTTGGACAATGAGGACTTCTGGATGGACGACTCGCATGCAGGGTTGGAGAGGTTGAAGACATGTTGGGCGAGGAGGAGGTCGGGGTACTTGATGTATTGCGGATCAGACCCCATGATTGCGAGGGGCCGATGGAAATGAAGATGTCGAAAAGGAAAGCAGAATGGGAGAGAGGGTGCTATGGGGAGTGTTTCGATGGGATTCGGGATGCATCATCGTAGCTGGGAAGCTCAGCTGGCCGAATGTTTCTCCGGGCCGTTGGGGCCATTTAGTTCAGGCACCAAGGCAGCAATTATTCCGGCCTCAGGATTCAGGCAATAAGGCAGGATATTATTTCTGCCTGAGCTCGGTTCTCGGTTCGCCACGCCAGCCGCCAGCCTCGTACGTATTGGCCGAGAGATTAAATTAATTCAAGCACTAGAGTAGTATGTACAAAGGCTAATCTGTAGGCAGCTGGTCGCGTGCCCTGGTGCAGCAATATGATCTTTTACTAGCAGTATTGTATACATATTCTGTACTCCTTTGTAAATTAGGCAGCCTTATGGACAAAAAACTGCAGTCTTTCAATAGAAGGTCAGAACAAACCAGAACACATCCACTGCTGTACTAGAGTGGTACTTATACTAGAGTAGTATATGGTAGTAATGCCAAGTATATCTTTGTACTATGTAATCCTACTACTAGTTAGTAGTTACTATATGCCAGTGCCAGTGTACCTGGGCAGATCGTTTCTTCTCCCTCACCACCCTTCCCTCACCCACACTGTGACCACTCCCCCACCCGAGGTCTTCACCTTCTCTCACTTCCCTGAATTCTCACCATCCGTGGCTCACACTAACTTTTCCTAAATCCCAACTAAACTAAATTGACAATTGCTAACCTCAAAGGACGATAGTGACTGCCACCACGGCACCACCTTCTCCACTCTTGCATTCCGGCCCCGATCAACGGCCCGCACGTGCTTGCGCTCATAGGATATCGGCTTTCCAATTCACCATCTTACAAGGTTACTATTACTAGTACCTTAAGATACACATGGCCTTGCCGGGTTCCGTTATCAGATCATCTCCAGAATGTTCGGTCCAATCCGATCCAGACCTTGTCGTGTGCACATCCCTCAAGCTGCGAGTATTCGGACACGCCGAGGAGACCCCGTGGCCCTGTGCCCTGTGATAGAAACAAAACTTTTCATTGGCCGCCCCTTTGTGCAAGCTACAATGCTTGACCCAAAACAGCATTGGGCCACATCCACTTTGACTCCAGTTGCTCCAGTTGGCGCCCCACACCCCGCTACAACCTGCGGATTCGGGTGGTACTTGGATGCCGCGATATGATCTCTGCCCTTGCCCTTGTTAGAGGCTACCACTTGCTCTACCGGGCTAGACAATCTACTAATTCGCGCTAACTCTCTCTTACTTTGGCTTGGTTACTCTTTTTTACTCTTTTTTATTCTTTTTTCTCTCCTAGTCTACTTCTCTCAGCCCTTCTTATTCCTCGCGTCTCCCCTCTTTCAAGTTCTTAACCTTTGTTTTCATTCAGCTTCTGCCTCCTCGATCAGCACCTACCCGCACCGCGTCGGTATCGGCGTGATACCGTCTTACTGCACTCGCGATTCCAGCGGTATCGAGTTTATCTACCCTCCATTCACTCCCTCGCAACTCCCGTCAATCAGTCATAATGAGCACTCCGGTCGAACAAGACTATTCCAAGGAGAAGGGCCTCCAGGAAAACCGCTCCGTCGAGGCGAGCCCCGTGGAGGTCGCACCTCTCGATGATCCGACTAAGACTCGCTGGGAGCGTAGCTGGCCAACCATCGCGTGCGGTGCCGGTCTCTTCTCCGATGGTTATCTCAATGGTGTATGTAGCTGATCCCCTCCATATTGCCACCAACTTTTGAAAATCCCTGTGGTCCCACATTCCCAACGCAATCTGCTGACACACCTTGCTCTAGGTTATCGGTCAAGTCAACACCATGCTGGGTAGAATCTACAAGGATAGCTATACATTGTCTACCGCTAGTCAAAATGTTTCCGCCATTGCTTTCGCGGGTACTGTCGTCGGTATGCTCATCTTTGGCTATACCAGCGATGTCTATTCTCGCAAGTGGTCTTTGATGATTTCCACCATCATCCTCTTCGTCTTCGCCGCTCTCTCAGCGGGTTCCTACGGTTTAAATGGCAGCCCGTATGGCTTATTCGCTGCTCTCACGGCTTACCGTTTCTTCATCGGTATCGGTATTGGAGGCGAGTACCCTGCTGGGTCTGTTGCGTGTGCTGAAAACACAGGAGAGCTCAAGGCCGGGCACCGCAACCGTTGGTTTATCATGTTCACCAACTTCCAAATTGACTTCGCTTTCGTCATTTCGGCTCTAGTTCCTATGATCCTAGTGTTGATTTGCACCGAGGATCATCTTCGCGTGGCGTGGCGTGTCGCCTTGGGCTTGGGCGTCATCCCGCCCCTAAGTCTTATCTACTTGCGCTTAAAGTTGAATGAGCCAGAAGAATTTAACCGGGAGCGCATGCGTTCGTTTCCCGTGTGGCTGATCATCAAGTAAGCTGCTCCCGTATCATCACATGTCAGTGCACCGTGCTAATCAATGATCGCAGGTTCTACTGGAAGCGTTTGGTACGCTCACACCTCATTCAAGTCTTGTAGAAAGTATCTCTAGCTAACATTTACACAGGCCGTCGTTTCCCTCATCTGGTTTATCTATGATTTCTCTGCCTATTCTTTTGGAATATACTCTTCGACCTGGATCGATCTCATTATCGGCGATGAGGCGCCGCTGTGGAAGACATTTGGCTGGACTACGGTGACCTACATGTTCTACATTCCTGGCTCCGCACTCGGTGCTTTCGCCAGTGATTGGATGGGTCCAAAGAAAACTCTTGGCCTGGGAGTCTTCCTGCAGGGTGTAATCGGTTTCATCATGTCTGGCTGCTACAAGTGGCTTGCAACTTCCGAGAATGTGGCAGCCTTCGTAGTGGTTTATGGGTATGTCTAATTTCCTATCTCTTTGCCAAGTTTGAATTAGCTAATTGACTGAACAGAATTTTCCTCGCCCTTGGCGAATTTGGCCCTGGTGACAATATCGGCCTGTGTGCGGCTAAATCTTGTGCAACTGCAATCCGTGGGCAGTATTATTCATACGCCGCGGCCATCGGAAAGATTGGAGCCTTTGTGGGAACTTACGTGTTCCCCATCATCCAAAAAAATGCCCCCAATACGACCCGCGCTGGCCAGGACCCATTCTTTGTTTCTAGCGCCCTGTGCATCCTCAGTGCTGCGCTGGCCGTGTTCCTCCTACCAACTATTAACCAGGTAAGACCCATCTGTCCAAAATACTGCAGACTCGATTTACAATTATCTTTCAGGACACTGTTACCTTCGAAGATGCTCGCTTCCGCGAGTACCTTACCCAGAATGGCTACGATACCTCAACTATGGGTACCGCAGGACACGGCGCCCGCGCCGAGGAAGAGTAGCCAACGCGCTCATGACTTCCGCTATGAGCACGCCTTACCTCCAGAACTCACTCTCGTCCAATTCGCCCACGCCCTTTCAGTCTCATTTCTTCACTTTTGACCCATGATGCGCCTCGATTCAGATCCAAACCCTTACGCGACATACACATACAGTAACAGAACGGTGTGATAAGTGACAAGACCTTGCGACGTTTCGACAATGGAATGCGATGAGCCCTAGCGACACGAAATTTCAAGAAATGCCCCCGCGACAGATCGAGATATTCAATAGAAAATTGCAAGCCTTTGCTGGGCTGACCTGTGGGTGGTCTGACTCGGTGGTGTGTTTGATGCGATGATTTCCTTTGCTTGTATTATATCCCACCTTCATACCGTTTTATGGTAGTTGATGGCAGATGATACCACAGTATCTTATTTCTTCTTACGAGAGACGGCTGTAATGAGCCAACGCAATTCAGTTTATCCATGGTGGTCTTTTTTCAGCTTTTAGGTGCGGAATAGCTTCTGTAAGCCAGGGTCTTGGTAAATATTTTTATTAGCGGAATGAATATCAATCCTGTCATAAATTCAAGCAAAACTAAATTAATTACTTAATAGCATAAATGCAGAAGCAAAATGATACTTGTCGCACCTAATCCAATTTCTTCTCCAAGAACTGATAGCGAACACCGACACATCCACTAGAAACCTCTACTCCTCCTCCTCTTCTTCATCATCCTCGTCACTGCCTTCGTCGCTACCCTCGCTGTTGTTTCCAGGACCATCATCAGGCTGGAGTAAAGTGCTAGCAAGGCTCGACTCAGTCTGAGTGCGCAAAAACCCGAGAATCCCTTGGGTTCTGCAGAGTGCAGACTGATCTGGGTCAAATTTCCACTCCGTGACATTGCCGTTGTCCGCGGTGCTCTTAAAAGCCACTCCCTCAATAAACTTCAGCAAGTTCTCCAGGCGGTCGAGATAAGACTCAGACTCCTGGAGCTCTGTTTGGTCGGCCACCCAGCGGTCTGGCCCTTCGTACGGATATTGGTGCCTCCTCTGTAGATCGGAAAAGCTGCGGTAGAAGTTTGAGATAGTATCGGAGCGTTGGAGAATGGGTGGTTCGAATTTGTCGGAATTCTCTCCTTCGCTGCTGGCCGAGTTTGCATCGCCTGACTCCGAGCCCTCACCTTTATTGCTTGATTGATGCATGGTACTAAGCGAGTCTAGCCAAATCACCATCTTTTTGAGATATCTTTGTTGTGCTTCATCGGCATTGACCACCCCGTCAGTCTCTCCCTCGCGGATACATTCCAGGAATAACGAACAGAACTTGGTGAAATCGGAGACTGCGTTCGCTAGCGGAATGAACTGAGCACCACTCTGGCGTAGTTCTAGCATCACTTCGTTGTAGATCATCGCGCCCGACTCCAGCATGAAATCCAAAACTTCTGGCTCGGCAGTCATCTCGGTCTGGATCTTGGCCATCGTGGAACCATGTAGCTGGAAAACAGGGGCCAATTGCTCGAGAAGCACGATGACTTGCTCGAGTAAGTCACCTTCGCCAGGGCCGAACATTTGCTTTGTCATGTGAACCAGAGCCATGGAAAGGCCTTTGTACCCAAATGCACTGAACTGGATAATGGGCGAGTCTTCTGTACGCTCCAAGAGGTTGCATACATGGCTGCACCTGCGGTTGATCCTCTGTTCCGCGGTGCCGTCCTTCAATCCATCCATCATTCGCTCGATGCTGAGAACAAGGATCCGGGCCGTGACATTATAGGCCCAAGTCTCGTCGTCTTCATCCTCGCCGTCTGATTCCTCTGGGCCCCCGTTGACCTTGTCGTGGATCTTGATCGTAATCGAGGTCCCGATCCCGAGGAGATGGCCGATGTGGCTCTGCGCGTTACGAGGGTCGGAGTTGTGGGGGGCCATCTCGGCCAAATCTGCATCAATCTCCCGCACGAGATAATAAGCAAGCAGGAACACAGGGGTCAGCTGTCTCTGATCCTCGCGCGACTTTGACCTGTCGATTAGTGAGGACAGGACCCTATAGCAAATGGTAGAGATAACATTCAACCCCTCCTCATCAGTGTCTTTCTCCACCTTCCCGAACAGCGAGTCCAGGATTAGAATAGCCATATCCGCAGAAGGGGACAGGATAGCCTCGTCGGACTCATCGGCATCGAGATCGCCAATAGCAGTGAGAATCTTGTTCAAAAGCGTCGTCATAAACGACAACGTTTCTTCGGACATCTGCCCCGCGGCCATTGATGCAGTATTGCCCAATATAACAACAGCCGTCTCGAAAAAATCACACATGTGCTTCTCGGTCTCGCTACTGCCATAGTTCTCGAACCGCGGGGTCAGCGTGTTGAGAAACTGTGTAGCAATGTTGACGTGCTCGACGAGAAACCGGTTCTTCCCATACTCGGTGATGTATTCCATAAGGCGGGAGCCCAGTTCTTGTAACTTGGCCTGGATTTTATAGTCGAGCTTTCGACGTTTGAGGTCTCGGTCTGAGTTGGTCGATGACATTGTTTCCTTGCGCTTTGAAATGAAGGGTCCGCTCATAAAGTCGCCTTGTCCTGGGCCTGCTTCGAGCCAGTGTGAGGTTGGGAGATTGGATCGACTTCCGGCGCAGGACGGGCCAGCAGCCTTGTATTTAGGGGTGGGGCCTGAAAATGGGAAACCTGAGTCGGGAGAGTGTGCTGGGCGTTCGTTTCTAGGAAGAGAAAATCTTTCTTCGCCGATTGGTTCTTTGCGAGGAGGACTGCTGTGGCGGTGGCCTTGCAAAGGGGTGTCTGGGTCGAGGTTACTTCCAACGCGTTCCTTTCTTGGTGTAGAGAATCTATTTGAATCGCTCGTTGTTTGTCCTCGGACAAAACTAGGGTTAGAAGTAGCTGAGCGGAGTGGACCTGGAGAGGAAAGATTTGACTCGTAGTTGGTGGAAAAAGCCCCGCCTGATAGACTTGGTCAGTAGGTGATTGATAAATGCTGCCATGAGGAAGGGGAAAATGGTGATGATAGAAGTGTGTTGTGATGACAGATGAGGGCAACAAAGGGAGACTGTTTTATAGTCCGATATGATGGACCTAAGGCATATGAGGCATATGCCTCAAACAGTGGCCGTGGTGATGTTTAACTGGAATTGATAAAGCTTTTAGTACTTACCAGTAGCACCCTCAGATCGCACGATCAGAGTAATATTTGGCCGAACCTCCAGAAAACCTTCACCAATCTTGGATTTTTCAGGGCTCAGATCGGGGAAATGGGTCTCGACAACACGCTGTAAAGTAGACAAGAAGTTTGTGTCCGTCAAAAGAATTTCCCCGTCCTCGGCCGTCTGCATCGTGAGATTCAGAGAATCAATAATATGCAAAGGCCACGGGTTCCACCATAGCGTATCATCTCTGGATCTGATGTGCTTTGTGGCCGCCAGTGCGGTCTTGAGTCGCTCCAGGTTGAGTCTGGCACCATCGAGCCAATTCCCGTCCGTGCTACGGGCTGAGAGCTGCCATTCATCCCTTACAAAGTCGGACAGTCGATATGCCACGGTCTTGGTGGGACTATCTGGGCGAATGATCTGGATATCGATGTTGGGCAGGACTGTGGCCCTGGCGTAATCGAATGGCTTGTCGTCTTCTCGATTGAGAGCCCGAGGCGGAGTACTCGCGGCTGAGGAAACTGAGGAAACACTTTCATCTCTCTTAGGAAGACCCCAGTCACCCCAGTCTCTTAGAGTATGCGAATTTCGAGTCAAAATGTATAACTTCTCCGCCAGGTCATCAATGTTACCTTTCGGGAGGCACTCGGGTAGCTTGTTGAGAAAGTTTCTGTCTTTCAGGGCTTTTCCAAGTCTTTTCTTGAAGTCCTCCCTATCTTTCTTCTGGAAAAATAACTTTTGGGGGTTGAAGGGGTTTATGGGGTCATAAATCTTGCGCAGCATTCGAATTACTGCATGCTTATCTGCGGTGTTCTTGAGATTAAGGTCTTTCAAGGAGAGGTTCTGAGCGCGTGTATAAGCCTTCTTCGGCCCCCCAGCACTTGCTTTGGGCATATTGAGATTACTAGTACTAACACGCGGTACCTAGGTAGGTCTGAAAAATATATATATAACTGAATGAAACAACTTGGGAAATATCTTTCGAGGAAATGAGTAAAGGAAAATCGGATGAGCTGGTTGTTTAAGTATTATCTCAAAGGATCCTACCTATGAGCACCAAAAGTCATAGAGAACTGGAGACTTTTCATTGTCAGATCTTCTTTGCCGAATATAGTGGAAAATTTCTCTTTCACGCTCCAGAAAGAGACCATCGTCGACGGGCACATGTCTATTAGTTGAATGAGGGGCTGTTTCTTTGAGAGTCGAGTAGTAATAAAGAAAGCCTAGAAATTGGACCGTCCGTCCTCACTGAGAGTGATGGATCGGCCAATAAGGGTTACTAATGGATTGGGGGAATTCCATAGCCAAGTACCATAGTATGGATAATCGCTATTTCCTGTGTCCATCTGCATCCCTCACCATATTGGTGGCTCAGTATATGGCATTGCAGCAGTCAAGGAGGGTTTGTTTGCCCTCGAATCAAGGGAGCAAGTAGATCCGAGTTTAACCAGGGGAAGATCACCCTAAATAGGAATACGGAACCCATGAAATGCAGTGGTGACGAAGGTACGAAAATCAATCGGATAGACTCTCCAGAGCCGAGCACAAAGGGTGAATGAAATGAATGGAACCAGTGCACTCAGGTAGACCTCGAGTGAGAGCTGAGGCTGGGAATGGGAGCAGCACAATGCACATAAATGCACCCATTTTTTCTCTCGGAAATAAGCATTTCACATGAATGTCGGCAGTCCGTAGTCCAGCAATGGAGTAGTGTAGTAGTAAAGTAGTTCCGGAGTCAACGGCAGCAGCTCCACCGCTCAACTTCAGCCGAGGTTGCCCGCGGCTCGCAATCGCCGGTCAATTCCCGACATCATCGAGTCAACCTCCCTTTTAATCCCCGTGGGCCCACTTACACTCTTGACATCCCTCCATCTTCGATCCATCTCCAATATCTTCGAGTTAAATCGGGAACATACAAAATGGTCGCCGACGCCCTCGTCTACCACCCTGCTCTGGCCCACTGGCTGCGCTTCGTTGCGACAACCGGTACGTACCCTCGGTTCCTCTACCCCAGTCAAACATTCAGTGATGACGGCACAACCGTCATCAGCACATGCATCAAATCAGAAACCCCTTACGTCCCCCACGGAGGCTCTTCTACAGAACCCCGTACCTTCTCAGCAAACACCTAAGCACATTTCATCCCATACCATTCCCCAAAAGACCACCAAGGATCCAACCCTAGAGTCTATGCTAACCCCATACTCCAACCTCCAGTCGGCCGTGACAAGCTCCTCCGAACCCTCCAATACTTCTCCCGCTTCTACGCCTGGTACCTCTACCGCACCAACAAGCCCCAATCAGCCATCGACCCCTACAACGCCGTGAAGAAGCAATTCGGCACAACGCGCAAGATCCTCCGCATCGGCAAGTTCGCCGAGCACCTGAAGGCCGCCTCCGTCGCCCTCGACAACAAGAGCCCCGTCGACCCTGTCCTACGCTACCTGGCCGTCGGCCGCCAACTCGGTTACGCGGGTTACCTGTCCCTCGACACGATCACCGTCGTCGACGCCATCGGCTACCGCAAGCTCGCCTCCGTCAAGAAGCTTCAGGAGTACGCGTACCGCTCCTGGGGCGCTGGTCTGCTCTGCTCTGCTATCGCGGGCATCTACACCCTCATCCGTCTGCAGGAGAAGGAGAAGACTATCGACCGCAAGGAGGGCGAGGGTGTTGTCGAGGCGAAGAAGATCGAGAAAGAGCGCGCCGCCGCCCGGATACAGCTTGTTTCGGACTTGTTCGATTTGACCATCCCCGCTACTGCGGTTGGTCTTGCCAACCTCGATGATGGTATCGTTGGTATTGCCGGTACTGTCAGCAGTTTGATTGGTACCTGGTCCCAGTGGCGCAAGACTGCCTAAGTAATCCCGGATAATGGCCTGCTGTTGAATGCAGTCAAGAGGCTTTGTAGGGAGTGAGTTGGTGCTGAGGGAGAGAGAGAGAGAGAGAGAGAGAGAGAGAGTCCAGTCGCCCTTTATATCGGCATATAGGGGACTGGACGTTAACTCAATTTGGAAGAAGTGGGATACAGAAGGCATGGGAGATCTGAGATCTCCATCGACTTGAATCCCCCACCACCGCGTTGATATCCTTGTGTTTCATGAACAAACTTGTAACCTTGTTTTTTCTACGTTTTTCTTTGCTTTTGGTTTTTGAAACCGCTGGGCATATTTAGATGTGCTTCTTTCTCATTTGCCCTCGTATATAGTCCAATCCTACGGGATCTACACTGGTCATTACCTGTTCTCTGCTTGCTGCCAAGGTCACGTATTTCAAGCTTTCATATTGCTTCTGCTGGCTAGTGTGTACTACGTAGCAGCGCTGGTATCAACCATCCATCATCCCGCGACTCCTGGAACCCCCCAGCCCATACTCGTACTGCTACCAGCACATATCTCAACGCCACACCAGTATCGTAATCTCGTAAACCGCATCACTCGTCATCTTTCATAATACACCTATGAACTATCTGGTCAGGCGAAACGCCATTCCATATGTAAAGATTCGTTTTTTAGACAGGGCAAGTCTAAAAGCGTCAGTCCGGCTCAACAAACAACAAAAGCATAAACTACTACTAGTAGTAGTGGGAGAATCGACGAACCGCTCCGCAAGATCCACAGCTCTTACCAGCACTGACGAGAGTAGCACCGCACTTGGGGCAGCTAGCGTGACCAGACATGTTTGTTTGTAATGGGTGGTTGATCTGTTGATCTGCGTGGAGTTAGTTAGATAAGGCACGTCCGAGTACGAATACTAGTCGCTGTGCATGAAGGATGCAGGACACAGCAACTCTGGAAGCGGGGGGCGACCTACCTTGGGGGAAGCAGTTTAATATGAAAATATGTAGACGAGTGAGAGGTAGAAAAAAGGTCAGCACTGGTGGAGGGGGAGAAAAAAATAGGCGCGAGCTGATTTACCCCGCCCTGATGAGTCGCCCCGCTTTGGGTGTGACTCGACTCGGATGGATAGCAGTAGTACAAGTAGTATGACTGGGACTATATACCAGGGTAGTCTAGGTGGGCTTACGAGGACTCGGAGTTGGATACATTCCAGTGGTGAAAAGGAACTTGAAAGTTGGAAGCGACCAAAACATTCTCCGAATTCACATGGGTGGTTTTCAGCTCAATATCGCTCAATTTGCAAAACTAGTAGTATATCCGCTATCAAAATCAACCCAAGGCTAAAGGTAAACATTATTATATAAAACTTGAAAACTTCAGGTTGAAAAGCCCAACCTCCAAATCCACTGGCATGGCAGACTCGGAGACATCAACTAATCCCACATGACCCCCAACTGCCTCACCGCATCTCCATACATGCGGTCCCGAGTCTTATTCCCCATCACAAAAGAAGGCTTCTTATCAAACCCATGCACAACGTCCTCAATCACAGTCCCACCAACATGTGCCATCTGCCCCTCGACAGCCAAAAGACGCAACCGTTCCCGAAACTCATTACCCTCCGCTAGTAACTGGTCCCAACCGCACGTGTAGATGGAGACGTTCGGCGGATACGCCGCCAACAAGAGCGATGTCGGCATCAGACCAGGCGAGAGATAAGGATGCGCCATATCAACCTGCTTCGACCCACCTTCAGTCCCAACAGACGCATAAGGCAAGTTCTCCGGGTCAAGATAGGAGTCATCGAACACCTTGAAGACACCCGGCTTGATCATGGATTTCCGGGCTGCGATCGGGTTCGTTGCATCGCGCTGTTCGCGCGTTCGAGTCCAGTTCGTCGGCGGGTAGAATGTGATTAACCCGGCTAATCGGGATTCCAGGATTTCCTCGTCCGCTTTCTCTTGCTCGCTGGCTGGGCTTTGCTGCTGCTGCTGCTGCTGCTGCTTTACGCGTTCGTTGTATAGCATCAAGGGAACTGTCAGGGCTAAGTTTCCCCCGGCGCTGTCGCCGCTTAGGACGAAGCGGGTTCGGTCGAGATTATGTTGATCGGCGTTCTTCCATAGCCATAGGACTGCGTCTGCACTGTCTTGGATCGCGGTCGGGTATGGGTGCTCTGGCGCGAGACGGTAGCCTACGCTGACGACTACGGCGTCGGGGTAGCTCTGGAGTACTTTGCGGAACCAGCGCGCGTCGTCGACGGCATGGCCGATTGTGAAGCCGCCGCCGTGGAAGTTGACGAGAACGGGGCGTTTCGCGGATTGGGGGTCGGGGGAGAGGTCTTTGCCTTGCGCTGTGTAGAAATAGAGCTGAATGGAGCCCGTGGTTTGGCTGATTGTTGAGGGGATGGAGATGTTTAGACAGGGGCGAGGCGGGAATGGGAAGGAGAGGTATCGGTCTCAGCCAGAGACGATGGATGCCAGCGTACGATACCTGCCTGCTTTCTTTGCGAGTTGGGCCCGGGCTGGGGAGAGAACAGGAATTTCTGCCATTCTTTGATCATGAGCAAAGGGAAAGAAGAACTGGGTCAAACAAAAGAATTTGGAGGTGGTCACACTATTCTCACGCGACCAGGGAATGAATGGGTTCTTTGTCGATCGTCGAGGGGGTGTTGGGCAGCTCAATGACGTAGAGCCAAGTTAGCCAAGTGATGATCCCTTGCCTCTTTTTTCCTTGAAAGGACAGCGGAGCCGGTTCTTCATTCTAGTGCCTGATTATGTGCTTGTGTTTTTGTCTGTTTCAGGAAACTTGGAGGTTGGGATAGATTGGACGATTCATTTGATAGATGAAAAAGAGACAATGTTGATTATTGATGATCCACATGCTTATTTCCACCGACGTCAGGGGCGATTTTGCCTTGGCCGGGGGTATCTCCCGTATATTAGGGTGTGCTAGAAAGGGAGAGGGAGTTTGGTATCTAATAGAATGGAAATTAAAAGAAGAGATGAAATTAAACATGAAAATAAGGTCACTTAGGAAAGCATGAAACTAAAAGTCCATCGACTGTTGACAGTGGGCCGACTACCCCAATCGGAAAAACCCCCATGTTTTTCTTTCGTCAAAATCGGCGGAGTACGGAGTGCCAATAATAGTCCCGCTCGTCCTACTTAATCTTTTTATGATTATGGATATGGAAATTTCCACTTACATGTCTTGTGCTACGGCGGAAGGGAGGAACGATTTTGAAGAATCTAGTTTCATTGGCTACTACCATAAGGGCAGTCCATAAAATAGGAAAACTCCGATTTAGCCATCGTAACAACATGTCCATTTTGGGTGGGACGGGGCATATCAAGAACACAAGGAAAATTTCGGGAAACAAAATGAAATCCAAGGAAAAAAGAGAAAAAAATCAAGCCATCGCGCTTGTCCCGAATCAAGCACGGGCGTCGAGATCCGGGTATAGATCGTTCCGACTAAAGCCAACGCAGCACGCCATGCAAATGTCTCAAATATCACGAAAACAACAATGCCAATTTTGCCAAGCAACTTTTCCAGCAAACCCTTAGTTGGTCTGGGGAGCGGCAGCGAGAACCTCGGGGGTGGCTTGGTCGGAGTACTTCTTGAAGTTCTCGTTGAAGAGACCGCCGAGCTTGTTGACCTCATCCTTGAAGGAGGTGGTGGCGGTCCAGCTGTTCGAGGGGTTAAGCAGCTCGGAGGGGACACCGGGGCAGGCAGTGGGAACGGGCAGGTTGAAGACCTCGTAGTTCTCGTAGGTAGCGTTGGCGAGCTCGCCGCTGTGGATGGCGTCCAGGATGGCACGAGTGTACTTGAGGGGGCAACGCTTGCCGCCAGTGGTGGCACCGGCACCGACCCAGCCAGTGTTGAGCAACCAGGCGTTGGCCTTGTGCTGCTTGATCTTCTCGGCCAGCATGGTAGCATAGCGCATGGGGTGGAGAGCCAGGAAGGGCTGAGCGAAGCAGGAGGAGAAAGTGGCCTGGGGCTCAGTAATACCATCCTCAGTACCAGCCATCTTGGAGGTGTAACCAGAAATGAAGTGGAACATGGTCTGCTCGGGGGTGAGCTTGGAGATGGGGGGGCAGAACACCGCGAGCATCGCAAGTAAGCAGGATGATGTTGGTGGGGTGGTTCTCGCTGATACAGGGGATCTTGGCGTTCTCAATGTACTCGATGGGGTAGGCGCAACGGGTGTTCTCAGTGAGGGTGCAGTCATCGTAGTCGACGTTACGGCTGATGGGGTCGAAGACAACGTTCTCCAGAACGGAACCGAACTTGATGGCGTTGAAGATATCGGGCTCCTTCTCGGCGGAGAGACCAACGCACTTGGCGTAGCAGCCACCCTCGATGTTGAAGACACCAGTGTCAGTCCAGCAGTGCTCGTCATCACCGATCAGCTTGCGCTTAGGGTCGGCAGACAGGGTGGTCTTGCCGGTTCCGGACAGACCGAAGAAGACGGTAACATCACCATTCTGGCCCTCGTTGGCAGAAGAGTGCAGGGTCAAGACGTTGTGCTTAACGGGCATCTCGTAGAAGAGGACGGTGAAGACACCCTTCTTCATCTCACCGGCGTACTCAGTACCCAGGATAACCATCTCCTTGTCGGCGAAGTTGATGGCGACGGAGGTGGCAGAGGTCATACCCTCAGTGAAGCGGTTGGCGGGGAAAGAACCGGCGTTGTAGATAACATAGTCGGGGTGGAAGTGCTCCAACTCCTCCTTGGAGGGGCGGATAAGCATGTTGCGCATGAACAGAGCATGGTAGGCACGAGCACAGACGACACGGACACTGATGCGGTAACGCTCGTCCCAGCCGGCGTAACCATCAATGACATAGATGCGGTTGCGGGTGTTCAGGTAGTCGACAGCGCGCTCACGGTTGATACGCCAGACCTAAGAGGATCGTTAGTGATGATGTCATACACGTGACAGTCGCGGGCGCGGGGAAGGCGTGAATAGCCGAGGGGCAAATTGTGAAAGTGAGGGGAGGGAAATCCGAGTTGTGAAATATGAAATGAAGAAGAGGGTAAAATGAAGTGAGGCATTTGAGGCATTAACCGGCCAGAAGGAATCCAGTCGAACTGGACTGCCAGAAAAGCTTGGTCTCGCGGATGCATATGCAAGGGTTCCCAGGTGGATCTCAGATCGGACCATCTGCAAGGGCCACCCTCATTCCACGACCAAGACACATTCCACAAAAAAAATCACGCATAGTATAGTAGGGAAGAGATGATGACTATGAATGATTTTGTAACTCACATCAGGGGTCATGGGCTTGTTAACGGGTCCCCACCAGATCTCGTTCTCAGAGGACTCCTCCTTGACAATACGCTTGTCGGAGGGGGAACGACCAGTCTTTGCGCCAGAGTAGGCAGTCAGGGCACCGGTAGAAGTGATAGCGGTACCAGTCTCGTAGACGAGGGCATCTTCGTAAAGGGCAGCAACGGCGGGGTTGGCAATCTGGAAATGATAGGTTAGTATATGTGATCAGAGAACTTGTCCCGAGTCGCCAACGACTATGTCGAGTCTCAAAGGCAAGGACGGATGATGATGCCTTACAATTGCGACTCGGTCATAATCAATGTGGGCAGTCTCGTGAAGCTCCTCCTCCAGCTCGGTGTGACCCTTGCCAGGCCTAAGACGATGAGGTTAGTATGGATGGATAGTGGCAAAGGGACAAAAGGGAAGGAAGACATACTGAACACCACCAGGGTGCAGAGCAGTACGATTCACAGAAGTGGCAACCATTTTGCGGAGTGAAGTAGAGTGATAGTTATTGTTGCGTTGCTTCGCGACTTGCTGTTGGAAGAAATCAGAGGCAAGAAGACCTGGAGAGGCCGGGCGATCGGGGGGGTATATAATTCTTTCCAGCGGGGGGCATGGTCATGACGGTTCTTGGTATGAAGGGAGTTCTCGTGCACTTTGCCCCTGCAATTCTCCACAGTTCCACGGGTGATGTCGGGCCAAAGGGCCGAGCTGCGGTTGGTGATGGTAGATGCGTTGCCGTGGGTTGCGACGGCGAGGCGCAGTCCGAGTTAACCCGAGCGAAGGTGGACACGAAGTGAAGTCGGGTGGCTAAAGACCGGACTGTATGGAGAATACGTGGGGAAGATATTGTATCAAGAATAGTGGAGGTTGTAGTTGTAGAAAAGAAAGAAGAAGTTGTGAATTTGAAGAGGGCAACTTTGTTGCTGCACATGCTGGGAACGGCTAAGATGGTTTTTACCTAGGTTTCTACTCCGCATCCGGGCTCTCTGAGTCTCTGAGGTCAAAAACAACAAACTTTGTGAAAGAAGGAATGACGATGCCATGATCTCACCATTTAATACAAAGAAACCTGAACTGGACAATAGTACACACTATAGTATACTAGTTTACTGTGTACTGTACACTCCGTATACAGTAGTACTGCTGCGAACGCGGGGGCTTATGTCAGCGTCGATCCCGTCTTCAGCTGCTTCTTCCCTCTTCAACTTTTCGGCTTCCCTTGCCCCGATTACTTTCATCCTTCGGGTTTCCGTGGGAAAAAAACGCGCAAAAACATGGTCTCCCGAGATCGTACAGCTGATGCGAAAAAAACGTTCCATTTTTCACCGATGACGACTAACTGGGGGCATCCATCGGAACGTGCCAAATCAGGCTCCTCTCTACGCCGAACATACTCCAATAACGGCGCTTAACCAAGCCGAGGATGATGCATTGGCAAATTCGATCGCGGCGGCTTCGGCCAATCATATCCCGCACATTTCCACCACCTCAAGGATGTTCGGGTGGGCTGAAGATATTCCCGGCCTTTTTGCGTCCAATTTTCGCTGCCGGACGATAATCTATTCCTCGTTCGCTGGCCTGTGCCACTTTGGTCCCTGGACCCCTCCAATCCAACTGGCCGGTCGGCGCATGCAGATTACGTCGAAGATGACTCGGTCTCGGCCCAGCCCAGCCCAACCCATGAAATGAGGCATTTCAAGAATTGGAACTTCGATCCAGACTTTCCCGGGAGCGGTCAACGTCTCTTCCCCCGGAATTGCGATTTACTCACTCGCTTGGCCTCGGTGTCGGGATCGTGATTTTTCGGCCCTGCCATCATTCTGGTCCACCTTTACGATCACACTCACCAACCCCAGATCCTCTCCCGGTGGTTAGCGGCGGATCCCGACCCGGCTCTGGCCTCGGGAGAGACCTGACTGAGCCTCCCTTGTGTCGTCGCCCTAAATTCCGCAGCGCCTGAAACACGTCTATTTTGCGCGATTTTGGTTCAATGGCTTACGTACGAGCTTCTCGACAGGCATGCACCTGATCCGTGTCACGCTTTGATTCTATTTTCTTTTTCTTCTTAGTCTTCGGCTTAAACCCTCGCGTGACTCGTTCCTAGGCGATAGATGTGAGGAGTCTGGAACTATGCCGGCTTGCCTCCCGACCAAATTGAGCAAGGTTTGGTGGGGAAAGGGTTCCCCCCCTGTCTCTCCGCAAAACGCCTGCAACAAGGAGGGCCCCCTCCCCGGCCTGGCCTACTCAATCGAAGGCTATACTTAGCACCTCTAAACTCCAATCATCAAAGATGAAGTTCACATGATCATGGGGCTTTTGTTTTACCCATTCCCCCCCCACACATCGGCATCTCCCCCTTTCCTTCATTGACGACGTATCTAGCTAGTAGCATCCATCAATATGGCACTACCGGGCCCTGGCCCTGGACTAACGATTGCGATTAACGGCGGAATCAGCTTCCTATTTCTCCCGTGATAATGATTCCTGTTTCCCAATTCGACTCTCGACCTATCAGCCGGTCACTGCCCAACCAGAATGCGTTTCAGAACGGGCTGGTCCGAAGTGCGGAAAAAGGAACGGCGATCGACTCGCCTCCTATTTTCCCCGAGACGGCTTCCCGGAGGTCTAAATAACGTCATGCTGCGTATCCAATCCTCGTCCCAATCGACTGGACGGCGGGTTTCGGACCTTACTCTTGAATCGCCCAATCCCTAGCTTCCTCTGTGCTGCTGACTCGCTGGCTAATACCCCGAAAGCTCCCTTCCTGCCTCATTGGTTTCCTATAAGACATGTCCCCTTCCCGTTTTGGCAGATAGCACCAACATGGTCACAACACCTTTCTCTCTTGGCGTCTTGGCTCTGGGGAAGCCGTCGCGTGGCCCTCGAAAATGCGGGGAAACGCGCGGAGTCGTTCCTCCACTGAGCTTCGTACAGCCCTGCCTGGCATGGTAAGATCCCCTCCCCTCCTCTCCCGGCTCCCATGGCCGGTCCAGGCGATTTGCATCGGCAGCCTACCCGCTGGTAGCCGTGGATATGCTGTGACAGATAGTCATGGCGGTAGGGAAGTAGAACGGCTAAGATGTCTGTGCGGTCTGGCGCTAGATGCATGAACCGACATGGCTTTCACGATTAAAGTAAATTTCGTCATTGTCACAGGATTTGGTGGTAGAATTTTGGTTACATAGTTGCAATCAACCTACGGATTATGTTGCGTGTAAAAACTTCTGCCTAGGTGGTAGACAGTCAGAGACCCCCTGCCAAGTCAAAAATCATAGTAAAACTTAAGTTCAAGTTGGTACAACCAGTCAGTAACTCAGTACTAATCATTCAACTTGGTTATAGTGTATAAGTAGGTGGAACAGTAGTACTTTCATTCATCCTGAGTCACGGTTCGGAGAATACCTTTCATACCCAATCTGGTAGGAACGAATCTGGACACAACAAATAGAAGGGGCGATCAATCTAAACAAACACACAATCAAACAGCCTACCCTCCATGCCCCGGGGGCTTTCTTTTCTTTCTTTGTTGAGGATGGGCGCTTAAGGCACCTGTGCCTCAGGCATTCCAGGGCGCGTGCCTGCCATGTCTAGATAGATTCTCTCTCTCTCTCATCCATATCACCATCTTCCCCCAAATATGGTGTCTCACAGTAGCACACCTCCGATATTTTTTCCCATCCACTTAAAGCTTTGCATTCCCTTTCCAACGCTGCCATTAATTAATTCAGGTTGCTGCCAATGCCAGGTATGTCTGCGAATATATAGCCCGCCCGCGTCCACTGTATATTATTTACTAGACACTGGCAGGAACTCGAATTTGCCTATCTTGGAACAGTATGCCTGAGCGAAAATCATGACACAAGACTTCCACTGAGATCACGTCGATCGATTCAGCAAGGGAACGTCAAGTTGGAGCATCAAGTTCCAAGCCCTAGGGATTCCAAGCCTGGAGATTTGTTCCAAGTCGTGGACCAGGTCTTCCGATAGATGGGGACTACTGGGAGGTACTAATGGGTACCCCGCAGTATGTCTCAGAATTCTGGAAGGCATTCTGTGACATCGGGAGATTCTACTGCCCTGGATATCAAAAGAAAACTTCAAGTTGGTATCTACAGCCCATCATCCATGGACTGGTCATTATGATGGGGAAATCTTGCAACAGAAATTGCCAACAACCCTCATAATATATGGAGCAGAGACTCCGAGGCCCCCTTCAAGGTCTGATATCACCTTGAACTCGATTAGTGGTCGACAAAAACTTGACGACGATACACGTGCCACAGCATTTTTCGCTACACTACATACTAAATTCAACTTGAACTTCAACGGAGCTGCCCCCGATTCCGAGGAGGTCGATGGCACTCATCCCTTTGATTTCAAGGAAGCTGGGAACTGTACTGATGCCCATGGCTTCAAGGAGGGGGATGGTATCTCTGATCCTTATGCTGCCTCTGATAAGGACTCAGACGATGAGGACTCTGATCTCTATGATGCCTCCAATTCTGATGAGGTTGCTGCAGAGTGTGAGCTACTAATTTTGCTCCGCCGTATTGATGGCCAGGCCAGTTTTGAGAGTATTTTACCAATATGTTCTTAGATTCGCTAGACAGATATGTGGACATGGTACGTAAAGTTGGTTGGCATGTTCCTTGTGAACCATCCAGGGATGCTGGTGATAAGGGATGTTGGTGTTGGAAGCTCGACAGCGCGGGGAAGCCTCATATATTGTGGGGGCTGCAAGCCAAGTGAACTGTTGCACTCCCAGAGGCTCATGAAAACATGAGCCGAGATTGGTGCCCTTGATCCGTGGGGGTTTTGGTACTAACTTCACCAAAGGCTGAATCTACGGAAATGAGTTAACCAAGAGAAGGTCAAATGCGAAGGCAGTGTTTTATAGCTTTTAATCTGGACGAGATGAAGGGAAGGCGCATAATACCCTATTTAATTTCAAACGTAAGGTTTTTTGCCATGGAAGTCACTAGTGCCAGTGCCAGTACCAGATAAAATCAATATAATAGAACTGCATTCTCCCCAGCACCACTTGCCTTCCACTCATTCAGCTTACTCTTAACAAGATCCGTCACAGTGTTCGCATACCCCGGCGGGGGAGGCGGGCCATTCGACTGAATCTTTGCCGGATCACTTATAACCCAAGCAATCGGTAGTGAGGAATGCCTAGCAGCAGCCTTACGGAATCCATCTATCTCCGCCATGTCATAACCCCGGCCGAAAATGACCGCCCGTGCAGGTCGGGTGTAGTCGTGCGAACCAATGTCATTGGACGCGGCAGCCTGAGGCTTCCCGCCTGCGAGGAGGGACGGAAGCTCGGCATGAATCGCCTCGCTTGTTTGGAAGAAATGAATAACTGATAACAAAAGTCTTGGGTTATTTGGGCTTGGAAAGGCTACTAATGAGGCGATCCCGAGGGGTTTTGGCTGGTGGAGACCAAGACGTACCCTCGTATTCGGGCAGGAGAGCTTCAGACACCGGCTTTCCTATTGCTGTCGTGCGGCCGCATAGAATGACTGGTAATCTCGATGTCATTATTTATGAGAGTGTAAGTGCTGCTGGTATTATTAGGATGATAGACTCGGAAGATGCGTTGGAGCTGAAATAAAGTGAAATTCACCCCGCTCAAAGAAGCGCTATTTATAAGCTCAGCCCCCACCTGGGCACTCTAACCCACTGGCACCTGAGTTAAGTAGGTAGTAACCTGGGAAGATACTATACCTAAATTTTGAGGCCTAGATACCTAGATATCCGGATACCCGAAAGATGATCTATTAATTAAAACCTGAGTGCTGCTGTAGGTTTCTTGGTACGCCATTTAGATCTAAAAATTTGGTCACCTCGCTCTACCTTGAAGCGACCTTGAAGCTGAGGCGTTGTACAATTAGTAGCTATGTGATTCGACTTTAGCGAACAAAATGAGTGAGAAATCCTAAATGTAGTGCTTATCGATAAATTGTAGAAGTTTCGATTCATGGACGGTTATTCAAAAGCGCCATTTACGCCACTAAGCTTTAATGTCTACATACTATCCCCCCCAAGTCGCACTACCCACTTAATTGAGAAATTTTTGTTTTTTTTATAGGAATTTGATAAAGCCTAATTCTCAAGAGGTAATAAATATGTAGTATTATTGGCAAGGTATCTTTTTTGGAGACGAGCGCTGCACCTAATAGTATCATGAGATAGTCAGGATCTGCTAGTAGCTTCAAAATTGATACTATTTATGTCAAAAAAATAACGTGTCCGCGAGCATAGTACCTAGGTAGCCATTGGGAACTTCAAGGAGAGGATGGATATATGAAGGCAAATTCATTTCGATTAGTAGGGTGGGGTTTCGTACACCTGTCTCGGCTTCGGCTTTCGACTTTTTCACGCCATCAATACATCTCTCGGGGAGATTATAGAAATTTCCATAGGATAACCCGGTCATGTAACGCAAGCTGCCGGAAATCTACCGGCATTATATGGTATCTGAAATGGTACGAAGAATCAGCAATTCTTTGTTGTTTTTGGGTATATTGTCTATGGCGGTGACGAAGCCCTCAGCCTAATTTCCGAAGGTGGATTCTGTTTGCCGACGTCCGCACTCCACCGGAGGAATCCAGCAACGGGAATTGGTGGAAAATAATTGCACGATCTTATCTCGCGGGAAGCTAGTGATTCTTGATTTTTGATCGTGCTATGTGCCACTTTGCGAGTCATAAGGAGGAGAAGGACCGGCATGTCGAACTAACATGATATCACGATGTGATCACGACCTTCAAGACTCGAACGATTTGCGATTTCCCGAGTATCTTGGTTTGGCCACAGGATCAATAAAGGAACGGAAATGCTAGTTGAACTCAAACAGGCTGGAAAAGAGCGGAGAAGCCAAAGACTGCACTTGTGGGGCCATCGATTTCTGGGGTTGCGGGGTATACAGTCTGCTAGATCAGAAATGACAGTGATTGAAGACTTGACAATCAATAGCCGAAATTTTCCCGACTAGATGCGACATCTCGGGGAGGGGAAATCAGAGAAATCCAATTCACATTAGGATTTCTCTTTTCTTTATAATCCGACGAGACCCCTGTTTCCCGCCAGATCATTTGCTTCAATCTTACACGTCAAAATTTAATTTTTTTCTTGCAAAATGAGGTTGGATGGCAAGGCCTTTATAGGCGTATACCTGATAGCTAGTGCCTCGGCTGCTGCTCAAATTACGAAGAATCTCTCAAAAAGTCAAACCAAGTCTCGAATTTAATGTTGGAGGTTTCTGATTGTTAACTGTGTTATCAATAGGTGCGCAGGACCTCTTCCAATGGTCTATGCATGTCAATGACATACGCTGGGACAATTCATACAAGTACATCTGGTACTCTGATCATGGCCCTTGGTCAACTCGATTCACGGCCTGGTATGCTGCCGGTCTGTTATACCGAAATCAGGGAGATGATTTGTCGAATGCTAAAGCAGCAATCGAAAACATGTAAGGCATCATCTACTTGAAAAACTCACTCAAATGAATGAAATTGACCGCAAAATGTCTCAAACTAATCAATGCTCATAGTCTCTCTTGCCAGATGACCGAAAACTACGAGTCGGCCTGGTATGGTACCTTCAAAGTTTCGCCCGATGAACCGTACCCTACTCCTGATTCCGATCTGTATCCCCCAGAAATTTACGTAAGTCTTAATATCACAATTGAAGCAATTATTCCCTGAAAATGCAGGACATCTTTTCTGACAGGTCTCAAGACTTCCTACGACCCGAATTGGAGGGAATTTATAGGGACCCAACTGGTGCAGATTGTCGAAGAATTCTCGGAGTTAATTGGGTCAACCATTGTAACTCAGATTGAAGATAGCCTGGAGCTTGCAGCTGTTGGCTCAATGCGCCGCAATGGCTCATACCCAGAAGGAGACAATTTGACACCGGGTTACTCGAATCCAGCCCTTATGCGCGCATGGTATATTGCATGGCTAGGCCACCGCCGTGACAATGATGTGAGAGAGCCTCCAAATTTCCTACCTATATTCAAGTTCTGTTGAAGCAAACGTGAAATATCCTAATTGAGGTAAAAAGACCCTTATCAGCTATGCAGATGAACAGGCAGAAACCATATTGAAGCTCTTCAAGTCAACTGGGTCAGATGTGCTATCCGAATACAACGCACCTACCTACTATGGAATGGATACATGGGCACTCGCTGGTGCTATTAAATATGGCCCACCAAGCTCCGCGATAACCAAAAACTCCAAAGTCATTTTGAAGGAACTTTGGTCAGATATTGCGGCCCATTACAATCCTTACCTTTCCGTTATGGCAGGGCCCGTAGGTTCACATTTTCATTTTGCAAGACATCACCTATACTTGACTAACAACTTGAAATAGTATGACAGAGCCTACACACGCGACATGCTCACAAACTCAGCTGTGATAGACTATTTTTGGTGGGGGCTATTTGGTTACGGCACAGGGCCTCAGCCTAATAAGCTCGAATCGGACCTTTTGTTCGACGTCTCACAAGGAGCAGCGTTGGCTTTGATTATGGACGTGGTTGCGGAACACATCTCAGAAGAGGACAATAAATGGCTCAAAGCCAAAGGGTATTGGAATGGGGAACGCATGATCACCAAAAAGATACCTGATGCCCTGGGCGACGATGCCGAAATTCGAATCGCCACTACATGGATGAGTGCATCTCTCATGATAGGAGCCCAGCAGGTCAATGAGACTGTCAATCGTGGCGATCAATATGTACCAGCTATTGTCCAATGGGCCGGTGATAGGGACCACAAACCCCATCCATACATGTCGTTTTTCTCGCTTTATCCGACCGCGTCAACAATCAACGCCGTGGCGGGACCCAACAGTCTTGAAGTCTCATATCCCAACATCACACAAGACGGTACCGATATCTTTACCTTTGTGTTAGCGCAGCTCCCACCAAGCTGGACCTTGACAAAGAAGAAGGTCGTTCGTGGTCTCGAAGACCTGCCTTGTCTCGATGTCAATGTCACCGCCGAAGGCCTGGAAAAGCTACCGGTTATCTACGGTGCAACAGTTCAAGATAATCGTGTGTATAATGTGTCCTTTGCCGTTCCATCTGGATTTGCTGGCACTCCCAAGGTATCTTTCAAATTTAATTACACTTGTTAGGAATACAGCGTTCACGTGGACGCAAATGAATATATGGGACTTTTTTCCCAACAGCCATGAGCCCCGGGGTGGTTATTAAACTAGAAGCTACGTGTAGAAACTAAAATTGATATGCATTTCCGAGATGCCCAATCTCAGTCTTGTTTGAATATTTAGTACCTAGGTATGGGATAATATAGTACTAGTACCAGAATGAAGGCTTGCAGATAATTGGTATTCATTTCAGCCGAGGGCACCTTAAAAATCCATCATGGTATTAGAGTTTAAAATTATCGTCGAGCTCTCAGCTGGTTTGATACATAATATCCAGTATCACAAGGCCTGAGCTCGGGAGCCTTCATATTTCTCCATGTACTAGGAACGCATATCACGGTAATATTGTCAGAGGGCTGATAATAAGGGGTTTCACGTTTTCAAAGAGCTCTTGGTTAAGATACCGAGAAAGTACAACATTCAGCAGAATTAAGGGAACGAAAAGGGATCTAGTGGACATCAATGAACCGAAGAATTGAAAACAAAAGTTTTTCAAAAACACACCTTGCTTATGAGACTGAGTGTCAGAATTGAGATTCAACCTCTGCCACAGCCAAGAGGAGGACCCGAGTCGGAGTGTTGGCAAAGATTGGGAGGTGGGTCCAGTTTCTTGCTTGGGATTGTATCCAATGGGTAGGATACCGAGAGCGGACAGCCAAGCAGAATGGCGTAGAGAAGATTAAGATAACGCATTTCAAGGGGCGAAGAAGAGAAATTTGGATTGAATGAGTGAGCAGATGATCGACTAAGGAAAGTCGCTTGAGTTAATATAGCCATGTCGAAATTTAGACTTCTCGCCGGCAGCTCCCGCATGTGTCCATTTATCCCGACATGTCTTGCGTGGACTTAATGTAAGGGTTGATGTAAATCAGAGACCTAGTCAAGATAGAAAAATTTCCTTATCTATGGGAATCGAATAAGAGGTCTGTACTAGCATTCTTCGCCCCATGCGAGTTATTTCAGCAGACCTGCTGAATCAACTCTATCGTAAATTTTACTCCGACAATATTGAGAATGGCTGGAATAAATATAATACGGGAATAGACCATGCAAGCAATGGGTTGCCTAACATTCTTGTCATACATCGGTCAGTGTATGAGCTCTCCAGGGCTACACGTAATCATGTGGTCCGGTAGATCGGCATGCCAGACGCGTGGGTAAACATTCATAGCTAGAGTTTTCTGCGTACTCATTGGATGAGTATATTTTCAACTCAGTAACGCTATGTACAGCCAAGATCAAAGTATGTGCATCACTCAAGGGTTAACAAGCAAATAGCAACATTTAATGTAGCAGAAGATACATTAATATTCAACTCTAGGAGTCCGAAAAAAAGAAACTTCGCTGTTCTACTGCCCTTTCTTACAATGCCGATACTTGTTCGAAAAGAGTTCGACAATTGTCGAGATGTATATCGAGAAGTAAATCCAAAATACGATCCTGAGATAACCACTCGGAATTTATGTGTGCTAGGATTGGCTTCTGGCTGGATTTTGTCCTTGCTCTGTATCGTTGGAGGTTCATTTATAATAACTTCACAAGACTGTATAGCTCCAAGTGAAGTTCAGGGAAAAGCTTTCTTGATTAGCTTTTCAGAATGGGACTTACCACCGGGTGCCAAAAATTTCCCGGGTCATCGAATCCTGCCTCTACGCCCTGGCTTATCCATTCTTTTGAATCTACTCTTGAATCTTTTCGTGACTACCATACTCGACGCGACGAATTATATTCATGACAGTACTCTCAGATGGGTGTTGCACGATGAAGGACGACTGAGATACAACTCAAATATCCGACTTTTCACTAGTTCGCGCCGCCACGGCCCCAATAGCTGGTATGCCAATGTCGTTTCGCTCCTGGGCCTAGCCCTCACTCATGGGTCCTTGTCAACTATTGTCGTCAACGTCGTTGTCATAGGGACTTGGAATGATAAAGCGAATAAATTTCAATTCACCCCCGCAGAAACTGCTGACTTCATCGATATCAATTGCTTTGCAGTCATTTTTCTGGGTGTTGGCATCTTGCTCCAAGCCTGCGTGTCTACCTGCTGTTTAATATGCAGCCGTGGAGTGAAAACATGGAGCAACAGTCTCTTGGCGATTGCGAAAGCACGCTCATACGACGAAAAACTCAATACTGAAAGTTACACATCCCCAGTGCTTCCGAATCGGGAAATTCAGAGCTCAATGCTTGACGCAGCCCCACAGGTACAATTCGTTCGTCGGCTTGTCTGGTGCTTTTCTGGACTATTCATGGCCTGGTCCCTGGGTTATGGGATTTATATCGCAGTGAAAGGCTATGATATGGATAATGTTGTTGCATGGTCCCAGGATGTGCAGCAGTATTGGCAGTTCTACGGAGGAACATGGATGGACTACGGTCGTCTACTCAAATCGACACCCTATTGGCTTGGAATAATGATACAAACAATTTTACAATCCTTCATAACCTTTGCACTGCACTGTGTGGAGCTTTTGTTCAAGATTTCTCGCGATGAGGCTTCGTGGCGCTGCCTCCAATCCACTGGTTCCGAGATTGATCCGCCGATTCTTTCCAATATTCAGTGGCAAACCATGATGATGATGACCTTCAAGGCAGTTGTTCAGTGGGCATTCGGGTATGCGTTTACAGCTGATGAGACATTCAACATCGCGCTATTACCTGCGATCGCACTCATGGGACTTTTTATTTGCTTGATGGCTGCCACTGAATACATGGTAAAGAAGAGGCCCAGGGGTACCCTTCCTGCCACATACGGAGCATTTGACCGAGTTTTGGAACTTGTTGACGAATGGGATCATAAAAGGTTGTTTTGGGGCGATAAAGGAGATCTGGGCGATGGAACAAGACTTGCTGGCACGGCTGGACGACGACTGGCAGATTTGAAGCCAGGAGCAGTCTACGGCTGCCTTGACAATCGCAAAGCCATCACTCCGCCAGAGACATCGCAAGACTAGAAATGCAAAATTTCTCTTTGAATATTGTGCTCAACCTGGGAAATGAGGTCACTGAAATTCACTTCTTAGTTTCGCACTTGCGAGGACATTCTACTACTTTGTTATTTACTCGCGTCTCGTATAATTTCTCCGGTAGGCTGAGTCTTATTCGTCTATTCGCTTGTAGGAGCTAAGCTAATAGTAGATTAAAGGGGAATTGGTGGGGCTCATTTTCCTTCGGGGCTGTGACAACAAGGCTGAGAGGGCCACAGCCCTGCCCTTTTACCCATTGCCGGGCTGACCCCCACTTTTCTTACGGAGTAGATGAATGTAGCTCACAGTTTCTTATTTTCCGAATCATATTGCCCGGCGTGATAGTATTTTCTGCATATTCAAATTGGAATATGTAGTAAAATGAAAGATGGGAGAATCAACTTGGCACTAGTCGTAGGCATGTCGAAAGCATGGTCCTGGGGTCGCTCTCAAGATAGTAGTAGCATCAGTCTTGCCAGCCTTGAAAAAGAACAAAGAATGACTATGAGCCTTGCGTAGTTTAAACTCTGGCACCTGGGCACAGATATCCCCGATGGTCTTATTTTAGAACATCACCATCGGGGCGGTGGTGACCGCCACGTTGTTTTTAGCCTCATTGGTTGAAAGGTATGATACGTTTTTACTACCCCCATATATTGTGGGGTAGCTAATTTCTTACTTTCGCTAAGACGAGCTACCTAGAATTGTATTGGAAAGATTTGAGGCTGATGGGCACCATCTTCAGCATTCACAGGGGACGCAGACGGTGACGGCCCCCAAATTAGCGGGGACGAATTTCGCACTGCAGGCCTGATACGGGAATTAAGGGCGATGATCTGCTAAACGGGCCCACAGAACTTCATCCTGGCTCGCGACTTATGCTAACCTAGTCGAGTAATCGAGTTGCTTAACGCATATATTCTTAGATTGTCGGGGTTGATCGCAGGAGAAGGACATATTATAAGAGGTCGCAAATTTCCCGAGTACTGGAATAATCAATCACATCAACTTCCAGTTCGCATCTTATCGATCTACTGAAACAACTTGAAGTTCAACTTTTATACACCTAATACTACTCGTGAGCCAAATTCCAAGGTTAATATCACCAATCATGCGTTACACATACCTTTTCTCCGCGTTTGGTGAGTTTATCCCTCGAGTTCTTTGTCGTCTGATTGGCTCTCGGTTTCCAAGGCTGTATATTCAAGTTGTTTACTGACGCATAATATAGTCGTTGGAGCGATCGCTGCCCCCCCAAGTCCAGATTCCACGAGCTGAGGTCGCTCGCTCTTCACCCGAGACAGCAACAACTACATCGTCATCATTATCGGGGAAAACCAGTGCTGTCGAGATCCCCGCCGCATGGGACAAAGTGGACTTGGACAAATGGATCAGGCTCGTGTAAGTGCGATATTTCTTTACTCACCAAAACGGAGAATCTAATGGTATTCAGCGTAAACGAGACCATCATTGAGTCAACCACCAATGCCACCGAGAAGGCCGAAAAGGAATCCCACATTGAAACTGCACTCGGTATCATGGAATGCTACTTCGATATCTCCAGCCCTGCTAGCTGCGAGAAGAACGTCCTGAAGCCATTTGCTTATTATACAAGGTTGGGCGTATACTACTCGCGCGAGTGGTACAAGAAGATCTATAACAAGTATTTCGCGCAACTCAAGCAATGGAAGACCATGGCCACATCATTCGTGACAGAATTCACCCACCACGATCTCAGCTGCAAGAAGGGCTGCAATTACTTCGCTTTTGCTAAGAAGGCATTGAAGTCGTGGAAGAGTGTCCTCTCGGGCTCTTCCTCATTGCTCGGTGGATTTAACTTCTCCTCTGCCGGTCTTTCATTCGCATCGGGAGTTGTCGCTTCTACCAAGTTGAATGTGACTGAGATGTTAGTATCACTGCAACTTTTTAAGATGAACATTCAGCTAATGTTAATCCCTTATCCAGCATCCAAAAGGAGCTCAACCAGCCCGACAACATTAAAGAGGCTCTGCGCAGCGCTGCCGGCCTTGTGAAGGATGCCTCTATTAGTGGATTCTACGCCTCTGCTATCAACGTTGCCTGGTCATTGGAAAAGGTCTTTGTTGCCAAGGCTTCCGACGAGATCGATGGCAAGAAGCCTGCCGACATGGACCTTTCGATTCTAGGTGACAATGCTCGCACCTGCGATAACAACGGAACCTGCTACTTCTTCATTGTCGCTCAGAACATCAGCAACATCTCTGGCAACTGGACTGCGGCCAAGGGTCTTGAAAAGATTCAGGAATACAACATTACCCTGCTTGAGCTTGCACAGTCTGCCACTTGGTTCCAGAAAACCTTTGATGGCTACTCAGCGAGCCCTAACGCGACTAATCTCCTGCGGTCTCTCCAGGCTAATGACACCAAGCCAAACCTGAGCTACTTTGTCAATCTGCCTGTTGTCGATTTTGACAATGTCAAGGCTACCAGCTCGAGCAAGTCATCCTCGGAAAAGACTTTCTTGACTGACCTCACTAAGGAGATCAGCTCGCTCAAGGGTTGGCCTTACGCCAAGTCGGCCAACTGAGATCTTGCAGTTGGCTAGACACGACTGGCTAGTACTAGTATGTTCCTAGAAAATGTAATTTATGATACCTGTGGATATGGCTTTGCATTGATTAGTCTAATTAGAATAAATCTTTGATTTTCTTTTTTATTATGTGGAACATTTCCAGTTCTTTCCGACTCCATTCCTACTAGTAGTACCTTATTGAAAATATGATAACCTTGGAAGCAAACTTGAAAGATTAAATTGAATACCAAGCGGAATACTCCGTGCTAGTACTAAATTCAGGTGGAGCTTTCCGACGCCATAACATCACTATCGGATCTCAACATTGACCTCCCCACCCTGCGAATGACTGCCGCGATTCCCCACCGATCCCGTCGCATACCCGCACTCTGCCATGTTACCATCCCGCTTTACCGCCGGGATACATTCCGCTCCCGAGTCCCATGCCGGAGGCTGCTCGGCAAGCCCTTGGCCCAGGAATGGATGCCGAGCATCTTTCCGCGGAAGATGGGGCAGTGGAGCTGTAGGGACCATTGGACCTTTTTTAAATGGTGCTATGGTAATCTATCTACTAGCACAGCCTATTGGTTAAGAAGGCTAAGAATTGGCGGGGCTATTTATTGAATAAAAGGCGGATTTTTCACAGTGGGTACCATCATGCGTGGATTGTACTATAGGAAAGGTGTGGTTGTTAATAAGATTTTGTTGGGATACAATGGCGGTATGTTCTTATTATTGTTGGATAAGGAATGGAATCCCGGATGCTGATAGCGCAATAGGTGTATTCCAGGCTGGCCGTCGACTGGACTTCGGAGACGGCCGCGTTGCATCTGTCACTTTAGTATCCCGGGGAACCATTCGGGCATTCGTTCGGAGAAGAGTATCTAGTTTACCCAGTACTTCAGGGTCCAGGACTGCGCATACACGGGAGAATGTAAGTAGCCTGTCAGCCTAGACCAGGCAGACCCGAGGGCTTGTGCATCAGTTGCCCAACGGATTTTCTTTGCATGTCATCGGCTCGTAGAGAGGCTGTGTGGGACCTATTGCAACATTAAGCTTCATAGCCTTGGTCAGCGCAGAAATATCCAGACAATTGCACCCAATTGCAAATATGCCTTCGAAGCCCGGACAATGTCACTATTATTCCGGACTACAGTCCTCCGCAAGAGAAGGGCTTAAAGTCGGCATAGCGGAAGCAGCACGGTCACGTCTTCGGTTATACAAGGCCCAGGTCGTTGATCTAACCAATCCGGACCAAGGACGATGGCACAGTGAGGATAGAAGGACAAAAAGTGCCGGTCCTCGGCGAAAGTATAGGAGACCGACGACTCGATCGGAGGATCCCAGGCACAGAATACCCCTGCAAGGTCAGACAGTCGGGTCCGGGGGTCCCCCACCGGCGGGCTTTTTTATTCCCGCGGGCTTTATTGGTTGAGCAGACCAGGGGAAATGGAGATCGTGATGGGATGGGAGAAGGGCGAGGCGTATTGTCGGCGGCAGTGGGGCTGATCGATTGGTTGGGACTATCACCTCCAGCTTGATATCCTCGGATAGAATGTCGGGTCGCGGGAGCGGATGAATATTAATGAGGGATAGTCGGGGTTCTGTCGCTTTGACTGCTGTGTCGCCCTCTTAAGCATGGAATAATAAATATTGTTTATTAGTTTTCTTGATAATTGCAGCAGGTTCAATTGATAGGAATGGCAGCAGGGACATGGGAGCCGAGAGTAAGCTCAACGGTTTCCCTCGGACTAACAAACAGAGTGCCCGAGCAGTTCTCGTCCCAAAGCAGACGGAGAGTGGGGACATCTGACTTTAGCTCGTGGGATGGGTCCATGACGTGGGGAACGTGCAGATGCAAGGAGTGGAGGTCGATATTAATGATCGCGAAGTGTCTGTGCCAGAATCAGTGTCACCTTCGGTGCCATGCCAGACAGAACAAGCAGCAGCAGCAGCAGCGGAAGAAGAAGAAAAGGGAGGCCCGTGACCCCACCAATGTACTTGGTACGTAGCGAGGACGTCCCCCCGCATTTCACATTCCTGAAAGCTGGCTGTACGGGGTGCAGTAGGATAAGCCGGGTTTATGATCGACACCATTGGCCCACTTGCGCATCAGGTGGGTCCTCGTTCTGGCGATTCTCGCAGATGTTGTACTGGCATCTCCACCACCGGAGAACTGGCGGCTGTCGGACGAAGGGCCAGGCCGGCTAGATGCTCGGAAGTCGCCATCGGGTGATGTGGTGGCAGTGGAGTATAGGAGAACTCAGAGTAGCGGCAGTGGCAGTCGTTGGTATTAGTTTTGGTGGGGGAATGAGAGAGTGGAGAGGTGAAGTAGACAGAGGGTGTAAAAGTAGTAGAGAGTATATAGACCAACGCAAGTCACCTGGCAGTCACCACCCCTCCCAACTTGAACTTGTACCAAGTACAAACTCAACTCGAACTCTCTCGCACAAGGAAAATCCCCCGCATCCGATTCCGATTCCTTTTCTTCTCCCCTCATTCTCTTCTCCTTTTTATCCATCTACTCTGGTCTTTTCAGTATCTCTACAACCGTTGCTTTTGCTCCTCAACTTGAACGCTTTGTTGCTGCTCTACGTCATCGGTGAGTTTCTCCCATGGTCATCAAGGTGGCTACTAAATCCGCCAAAGAGAACTGAAAGGCTAATGAGAAGGCTTTCTTTCTAGTAATTCCCCGGCTCTGGTCAGTCAAAGAACCTAGACTCCTGTTCCTTGCCATGTCTCTGCTTCTGTGTTGGCTATAGCTCAGCTGCACACAGCAACAAGCCCCATACGCACACACTACAATCCCCTTTGGCAGGAACTAATTCCACTATAGATCTGTGAAAATAATTCAATCATGGCAACCAATTCCGTTAAGGAATCCGCCAGCAAGGCGGCCAACTCCGCCAAACAAGCCTCGCAGTCCGCGATCGAGAACCCTACCCAGACGACCAGGAACATTCTGCAGAACCCCTACATGAAGCTCGCTTTGCCCTTCGTGAATGGTGGTTTGGCCGGAATGACTGCTACCGTTGCCATCCAGCCCGTTGACATGGTCAAGGTTCGTCTCCAGCTCGCTGGCGAAGGTGCTCGCACAGGACCACGTCCATCCGCACTTGGTATCACCAAGGATATCATCGCCGCGGGCAAATTCCTCGATCTGTATACCGGACTATCCGCCGGTCTCCTCCGACAAGCCGTCTACACAACCGCTCGCCTAGGATTCTTCGATACTTTTATCAAAAAGCTCAATTCGCGCGCCGATGCCGCAGGCCGTAAGGTCACTTTTGCGGAACGTGCCGCCGCAGGCCTCAGTGCCGGCGGTATCGCTGCCATGATCGGTAACCCGGCAGATCTGGCTCTGATCCGCATGCAATCAGACGGATTGAAGCCCCCGGAGGCGCGCGCCAACTACCGCTCCGTCTTCGACGCTCTCTTCCGCATCCCCAAAAATGAGGGTGTCAAGGCCCTTTGGGCCGGTGCTCTACCTACCGTTATTCGCGCCATGGCCCTCAATATGGGCCAGTTAACCTTCTTCGCCGAGTCCAAGGCCCAGCTGAAACAACACACCTCGCTCTCGACACAGACCCAGACCTTCGCAGCCTCCGCCATCGCCGGTTTCTTTGCCTCCTTCCTATCCCTTCCTTTCGACTTTATCAAGACCCGCTTGCAGAAGCAACAGAAGGATCCCAAGACGGGCAAGCTACCATACCGCGGCGTGATGGATTGCGCACGCAAGGTCGTCGCTGAGGAAGGATGGTTGCGCTTCTATCGTGGCTTCGGCACATACTATGTGCGGATCGCACCTCATGCGTTAGTTGCCCCCACCTTTTTCCAATTCGGGCGGGCGCGAAGCCCTGCCTCCATTGCTTTTTTTGTCTTGGCTTATCTTCGGCCCCACTGATTGATTGATCTCCGGGGCCGGGGCTTGCTTTTATCATATCTTGCATTTGCATTGAGTGGGATCGAATCATATGCTAACAGATTTTAGAATGGTGACCCTCATCGTGGCCGATTATCTCAACCTCATCACCAAATAGAGTCGACAAACTCACTTCTCCTACCCTAGTGGCTGTTATCCCGTGTTTCCTTATCTGCTATGCTCACAGTCGTCATGTTTCTACGTCTTTATCTGCGCGCCCACCTGATTGCTTGATTAGGCTCTGCAATGACCCTGGAAAGATATCCCGGCCCTCTTTTCCTTCCGACTTATCATCTACCACCAGCACTATCTCAGATATGAGCCCCGCTTATTTTACCCGTGGACTCTCCGAACACCACCGAACTCGGCAGCTGCAGGATTCTTTGTTGGGCGGTTGAGGAGGGCACACTCTGTTGGCTGGGAGCCCCCAACCCGTGGCTCAACTTTGACTTCATCTTCAATCCACCGGTCGCCTATCCCCGACCCCAACATAATCATCATCTCAGTCAACGGGAAAGAATTCCTCGGCAATTCTCTTCGTTCTGCTTTTCCGGACATGCTTCCATTTTTCGGGGAGCTGTCAGAATGTGGCTCGGCTTGTTGCGGTGGGGGAAGCCGGCGCGCTGCGCTGCGCTGTACTGCACTGCAGCTCCGGGTTTCTCCGCGGGAAGCTGATGACCGGACTGAACTATGGATGATAAAGAATTGTCAATCCTCACGCTTCTTTTTCTTCCCCTCTACTTTGCTTTATGTTTCCCGCTTTCCGTTCATCCTATGCCTCGTTGATTTCCTAGTTTTTACTTTCCTCTTCCTTTTTCCCTTTTTTCTTATCATTTCTTCCTTTGACAAGCGAATACCCCCGCTCCCACTCCTTGTCTCGCGTCTCGCGATGTTGCTCCTGCTATGTTACAGTCCGCTGTTCAGGAATTGATTCAGTTTGCCGCCGCTGGGGGCCTGATGTCGTACGAAGGGAGGTGGGTGTTGATTACCTGCATCCAACCCGAAGTATGATGACGATGGGACTCAATTCAAATTAACCTCCGACGGATTCTTGTTTTTCAATTCCAGCGGTAGCTACTTAGATAATAAATCCATCGTCTCAAAAGATTGTACACTGTTAGTAGAAACAAAAATACTTGATCTATGTACATCATGATGGACTGTACTGTACTGTGAGCCCGGTCATCAGGTTAGCTGCTCTAAATCTAGAGAACTGAGACAAGGGGCGGAGTAGAGGCTGAATTTGCAGCGTAACAGTGTGATGTTTCACCTGGAGTAAAAGTCAAACCGAATAGAGATACCATGGCAGGCGGGGATGGGAGGGGATCTGCCCAGGTGACAAGAGGACAAAGAAACATTTGCCACGCTTACTCCCATGGATAGGAATCTCTAGAGAAAATAAGTAAGAAATTGCAAAGTCTACATAGTGAGGAGATGTGCATGAATTATGTGAGTTGATTCGTTAGAAGCGTTAGAAGATAATGCGTGATACACGTCGCGCGATGGAATTAGAAAGAGATAGGGAAAAGGAGAAAAGAAAAGTCCCCATGCGGGGAAGAACGAAAAGGCCCGCCCAGCAGCACAGCAAGATGATGCGAAAGCGAAACACCGGTGGCAAGATTAGGAAGAGAAGAGAAGAAAATGGGAATCACAATGCAAAGCCACCTTCAAAATCCTGAACCTGGCTTTCATCACTCATTAATGATTGATCACTCCTCAACAAAGCCCAGCCTCCCATTGCGAAACGTTTTGTGTGACTTCGGACATTCTCACTGTGCGTCGAGCGGCCTTGCTCCTAGAGGTTCTTTTCAGATATGGGCTCCGCCCATGCGCTTTTGTTCAACAGTACCGGGCGGGAGGACGTCTTCCAGGGTCTCATCGGTACCCTCGATTTCCTCCTCGACTGTGATAGTGTCGCGAATCTTAAGGAAGACGACGGGCGCAGCGACGAGGATGGAGCCGCAGAGAAGACCAAAGTTTGAGGCGTACTCGTTCATGAAGGACAGCTCGTGTCGGTCAAGGGACCACATAACGGCAGAGCCAGCCGACTGCAGACCCTTGTAGAAACCGGCTAAATTAGCGAGCTTGCGGCCAGAGTTGCCAAGAGAACCCATCAACCTATTAAGCAAATTGGTGTTAGCTACTGGTTCAATTCGGCAAACCGATAGTGGGGATGGAGTGGGAAGATAGAATGGTTATGATAATAACATACCAGTAGACAATGCCTTGCCAGACCGCATCGTACATTCCATAGAAGAAATAGAGGAACATGGGTCCAACGTATCCGGGAGTAGTCCAGTCCCAGGCAGTGAAGAGACCCGCGTCAATTGCATCCTTTCCAACTGACTCGCGAGTGTATCGCTTCTGCCAAGCGTAACCGGAACCCCAAATAACGACGGTGAGAACGAAAAGGGAGATAAGAGCAGCGCGAGCACGAGTGGTACGGCGGAAGCGCTCAATATCGAGGAGGGGGCCGACAATGACGGCGGCGACAATCTGCGCAAACCAATAGAGGAAACCGTTCAAGGACTTGGTGCGAGTATCGAAGTAAGCACCGTTAATCCCGTTCTGCTGGTAGATGTAGAACCAGTTAGACGACCAGAACATGGGGAAGAGCAAAACGATCCAGGGCTCCGAGGAAATGGTCTCCCATAGACCTCTAATCTCGGTCCACCAGCTCGGATTCTTCATGAGGATGACACGCGATCCATCGGGGCGAACAATCTTGTCGGCGTCGCAGAGGAAGAGAGCAACGCAAGCGCCGATGAACATAAGGATGATAAAGGCGATGTAAGTACCGTCGCCGACGGTCTTGTTGGTCTTGACGTTGATGTTCTGACCGAGGGGAATCAAACTACCGATACAAGCACCGACATTGAAGATTGCCCAGAACCAAGCAAAGTACCGACCCTTGCGCTGCTCGCCAGGGTAGGACATCATGATGGTGCCCTGAGCAGCCCAGAGAAGACCGGCGCAAACACCCAGCAAAGCACCAGCAAAGATATTAAAGCCAGGCACATAGGCGTGTTCGGAAACGAGAAGACTGATTGAATAGATGCAGTAGCCAACGCCACCAAAGGAGAGGGCCAAGCGCACACCCATACGATTGACAAAGGTACCAGCGAAGAAACCGACGACGGCGAAAGTGGAGTAGAGAGCAGTGTTCTATGGGAAGGAAAGTGAGATTCAGCTTAGATCGACCCTGTATGATAGTTGCGATCGGAGTCAAATAATTACCATGTCATCAGCCAAAGTTGCATCTGCTTTTCCACCACCACCGAGCCCACTAAGCGCGTTGAACATTCCTGGACACAGGAAGCAGACGAAGGCGACCATCCCCAGCTGAAACTTGGGCGAGGCATACCAGCCAATATTGAACTTGCCGAAGCCAATGGACTTGTACATCCATCCGGTGGGGCGGGGGGGCCTCACCATCAGCAGAGACCTGATAAGCGGTTTCAGTGCCGATGTGAGCCGACTTCAAATCGGACTCGGCCATGGTGACGGATGAGAATAGATTCTTGGTGTCAGTAGAAGGTTGAAAACAGAGTTGACACAGTGGGGGGGGAAGAAGTGGGGAGTGTGGAGAGAGGGAGAAGTGAAGTGAGGAGAGAGTTGTTGTAGATCTGGGGGAGGAGGGGGGAATGGTAGGGAAGGAAAGCGCGAAGCTGAGAAGCAGAAGCAAAAGAAAGGAAGGAAAGAGAAAAGGATGATGTTTTAAAAAGAAACCATCTCCAACACTTTTTTTAGCTCTCTCCATAGATGGTATGGAGCTTAGGAATACCACCACGAGGCAAGGTAACATCAGCTTATCCCCGACTTTTTGGGTAATCTTTGATTTTTATTATTTTTATTTCATTATTTTGGCTTTTTCATTTTCACAGCTTAACTGCGGGGGTCCCCTGATTGGATGGGGCCATGACCCTATAGGAACGCCCGCTTTGATAGCAGTGTTGCACTCTACACCTCGTTTACCAGAGAAGGGAGTGGCAGAGGGAACTGGTACATCCAACCCCTGGATACGGGCTAGGACGATATCTGCTACTCAAGTACCGTCGCGTGATGCTAGCGAGGGTGCCGTGGTATTGGATCGGGACGACCAGGTTGCACCCTGGTTTTAGTGAAGCAAAAGGGGCGTCCATGGAACGAATCGAAGGAAGGCCGGTGGGGTTGGAGGGCTTCATTGGAACAGAGGCTTGCCCCAGGAAAGCCTAGTGGAACATCCAAAGGGGTTGGCCTAGACTAGAGAAGACTGAACCATACCCAGATGCCAAATCCCATCTCTCCCCGCGCTATCTCGGCCCACCACCTCGGGTAGACCCATCCCATCCGGGGTGATATCCATATATCCCAGATGCCAGATGCCATTTGCCATCCTATTGTAACAATCATAACCTTTCACTCGGATTCATCACTCGAAATCTCCTCAACCTGTTGGCTCCCATGTGGAATCATAGTACCCTCTCGTTTAATACGTCCGGGCTCAGATTTGATCCGGGTCCGGTCTGACTCAGAATTTCCACCCACATCCATCGCATCGCCATCCTCGTCCGACGACTCGGCATCACTTCCCAATGTCACCTCATTAGCACCACCTTCTCCCATCTCATCATCATCTGCCTCACGCTTCTCCAACTCCTCGGCACGTCGGACCTTACGTAGCAACACCGGATCGGTCCGAAGATCCTCGTTTGTGAGAAGATTCGAGCACACAGGGCACTTTACCGCGCGGAGACGACGGCCTGGTTGACTGGGATTCGGCGCATACCTCCCACTGCGCGCTATCATATCTGTAATGGCTTCACGCTCGAAACTGTGCGGGCATTTTGTGCTCGTCACTGGGTCCTGGAACGGCCGCAGGGTAAGTGGGCATTTCAGGGAGATACGCTCGCGCTGAATTGCAATGTCGTCCGAGTCGGCCGGGGATGGTTCACGTTGGTTTCGCGTGCGCATTTTCTGGCGCGACGAATTGACATCCGAAGATGTATTCTCGCCATTTGTATTTTCCAGATGCGAGAACCAAGTCGAAGAAGACGGCAGTGGCGGTACCTCGTCGCCGGGGAACTTTGAATCGTGTACGATACGATAGAACCCGATATAACTGTTATTTCGGGCGTACCTGCATGGGAAAAATGCGGGTTCTAGTTAGCTTTTCTGTATAAAAAAATGATTGCCAGGACCGACAGTCAAGCGTCTCTTCAGATCGAGACTGAGACTGAATCCCAAGAGCAAACTTACCGCTCGGTTAGCGACAGACCGTCCCATTCCTGTACTCCATTCACCAGTGTATCGTCCAATCTTCGACTAGGCGGGTTCTGCGCATTGCGTTCCCGAATCTCGCGCTCAGGTGTTCCCTCGTAGTCCTCATCTTCTGAATCCTCCTCGCCCTCCTCGTCAATATCTCGTTGTTGTTGGCGCATGCGTCGCTGGCCTCGTGTTTGGCGCACCCCCAGTGCAGCAGTCAGAGCCTCCGCCTCCTCTCTCTCGATCCCTTGCACGGATTCCATCAATTCGGAAAGGCGGGTTTCGGAGTCGATAGTCTTTCGCATTTGCATCTCCATCCGCCCAGTGACGTCGTCTACTTTTCTTTCTTTCTCGGCCAGAAGCTGGAGCTGCTCATCTTCGTTGTCACTTTCGTCCTCGCCAGCATTTCGTCGTTTCTCTTTGTTGGTCTGGTATCGGTTTCGAGCATCGCAGAGTCGCTCGTTGACCTCGCCCGCGGAGTCGGTCAGTTTCTCGGCGGCGTGTTCAAGATGAGTCTTCAGATCGCGTAGATGTTGGGATTGTAACAATGAGTTGAGTTGCCTTTGGCACTCGGCTGTGAGGGGTGCTTCTGGGACCTCGTATGGGGGCAGGTCTGGGATGGTGCTTGTTCGTGGGGTGCCCTGTCCGCGCGCGCTTGGTGGCGGGCGGGACTGGGATGCCGTGGAGCGCTGTCGCGCTGGTGTTGACAGCATATGGTCAAGAGGTGTATGGGGTGTGTTCGAGGGTGTTTTTTTCAGTGAGGTGTCTTCGAGTTCGTGATCGTGTCAAGGTTGGCAAAGTTTACAAAGCAGTGCAATCCAAGTGTCAATGCAATGGGATCCCACGCGTCGCGACCGCGCTAGTCCTATTCGGGTTACAGTGCATGCCACGATAAGCTTATCAACTATCAATCTATAGGAGTATCCTATAGGACCTTAAGGTAGAGTATGAGGGTAATTGGGATGGGATATTGTTACTAGTAAGTAACAATTACTATTGTTAAGAAAAGATCAGATTCTTTCAATAATTCTAGGACTTGAGCACCGTATATGTTACCTACTCTATTCTTAGACAGATCAAAGATTCTTTGTCGAATTACCCAGGCCTAAGGAGTATGGTGCATCGGGAATATCTCTAGTACCTACTGCCTAGGGCCCTAGACTACTCCTCACCGAAGCTCTTGGGGTCCTACTAACTTCCAAGGTTCCAACCTCGGAAAGTTTCAATCTTGAAATCAATTGCTAGTACTAGTTTTATTCTTTAGCGAGCTATTTTCTATCAGTTTCCATATTTTATTGGTAGGCAACTCTCTTCAAGTTTTCTATGCATATTTTCAAGTTGAGGAATATTAACAACGCGATCAGACCTTGTAGAAACAGAACGCGTGGTAGAAGCCTATAAGGTTAGCCTGCTGATCTCTCGAGGCTGGAAGGATAAAGTAAACTTACTAACTGCATCCTTCTCTTCATCGGTCATATTCAGCTCGCCCGTTGCCCGGTTGCGTACACCCATGCGCTCACTTAAAGGGCCCAACTCGCGATCATTCTTCTCGTCTTCCCAGATATCCAAGAAAGGCTTGCGGTATTGGAGTTCCAGATTGTAGTCCTCGGTCAACCTAATCAATATCAGTCATTAGTTGGTGATCAACCGAACGCCTTGGAAATTGAAGTACTCACGCTCGGAATGCTTCCCAGGAACAACATATTCAGGAACCTCTTCAACAGCCTCTCGCATGAAGTAGGTATACCGCCATCCGAACGGCGGGCGGAAGATGCCATCCTCTGGGGTCGCCCCGGGGAATCGTACGCGATAGATATCGTTACCCCATTCACAGCGCTCATCTTCCTGGACTTCACCATCCTCTGGTGCTTCCTCAGTCACCGCAGGCTTGGCAGATTCGTTTTCCTTGCGGTTTTTATGGAAAGTGCTCACACGGCTGCTGATAACATCGGAGTTAGGGCAAACACCGATGAAACGACCACCCTTTTTCAAGCAACCGGCAACATTGCTGAGCATCTGTCGAGTCTTCTCCTCACTCTCAAATGCGTAGTGAATCGCAAACATTGAGGTCACGACATCAAAGCCGCCACCACCACTCCACCGCGAAGCCATAAGCGAACCGCCCGGCCCGGCATTGGAATCAATGCCCACCTGCTGCACAATGCCAACATCACCCAGCCACTCGCCAAAACAGTCCTTGGGATAAAACTCGCCATGGAACAGCGGAGGAGGCGGACGGCCACGACCACGTTGTCCACGACCACTACGCATTTGCCCGTAGCGATCCCGCGCCTGCTCAATAGAGATATTGGCCGGGTCAAGACCAACGTAGAGATCCACCCGCTGCGGCGCAAGCTGCCACTTCCCCAGATCACCGCCCTTGCCACATCCCAGGTCAAGGACAAGCAGCCGCTTATCGTCAACAGGGGCGGACGCTGACCATCATCCGCCCAATCCTTCGTATCATTGAAGCGCGCAGCGAAATCCTCATCAGGCGAGAACTTCTGGATAAGTGTGCTCTTCACCCAATTGTTGAAGCTGCGCAGGCCCTTGATCTTGCTCTCTGTCTTCCGCCACTCCCGACCTCGCTCGGGGACGGCATTGTAGTGCTGCCTCACGACGTCCGAGACGCCGCGGTCCCGCGACGATCGCATGGCGTCTTCTTCGAGGGCACGCTCGCGATCCTCTTGTCGCCGACGCATCTCCTCCGGGTTGACCATGCCCATGCGCGATCCGCCGCCGGGCCGCTTGCGCTTTGGCGCCTCGGGGGTCAGCGAGCGAGGGCGGAGAGGGGATCGAGAGCGTCGGGATAAATTGTCATCTTGAGTTCTGTTGCTGGGACTTCGGGAGCGACCACGTCGCGAGAATACGGATGGTTGGGTTGGTTCGCGCCTGCGTACTTGGTGTCTTTCTTGGACTCGCTTGCGCCTTGGATTCGAGTGGTCGGTCTCGTCGTTTGTTCTGGGCGTGTCGTCTGGTCTTCCATTTTGGCGCGATGTGGGGCCTGGGGAGTTTGAGGTGTGGTTTCTTTCGGAGTTATCGTGGGAGCTCGGCGCAGATCCCCTTGGGCCTGGGGATGTCATTGTGTTTGAGAATTTGTCCGTTGTGCTTGGTGAGTGGTGAGGTATTCGGTGGAATTGAGTTGGAAGTGCCGAAATTGAAAGAGCGGTGGTAGGGCTCGACTAGCCCGTTCAAGAGTAAAAATTGAGAAAGTGAGATGTAAGATTGCTGGATAGTTTTTGAGTTTGGAGGTGGTGGAAGGATAGAGGAAAGAAAGTAATCTTGCGGTGCGGAGGGAGAAGGGAGCTCCCGGTGGGTCAACAGCTGCTGTTGGCGAATCACATCGTGAGTTGCTCGCTTGCCAGTTGGTGGTATTAACTTGTGCTAGTAGCTACAAAAGCTATATTTCGAACAATCTCAATTCGCTGCTTATGTAGCTACCTGGATTCCTAGCCAGATATCTGTTTGTACTAAATGAGTTGGATTACTTTGTAGAACTAGTAGGAACTAGTAGGAGGAAGGGAAAATAGTTGGTGATCAAAAGCAAATTCATTTTGGTGAGCTGTAACTTTTTGGCGAACTGTACCCTAAGCGTAGGTGGAAGTAGCATAAATAGCAATCAACGCCGGCCAGGATCGGAATATCTGAGAGATTTCAACAAAAAAAGCACCGGCCATTTGAAACTTGAACGTAAAAAAACATCAAACAACACCGAACGCACGATGATATTTAATGAATAAGAGATCAATTAAGATCGGCCTTTCCTTCGCCATGGTTCCCCTCCAAGCCGATATCTTTTGGTTCATTCAGCCGTTTTGCCTCAAATTCGAGGCAAGATCGCGAAACTCGATTAAGATTGTTGAGAAGATCAAGCAAGATCAAGCTGTATTCTACACCCGGGTTGCAAACCGCGCGCAAAACATTCTGTTTCGCTTCGCTTTGATTGATTCCTTGAGGATAGAATCGGTGAGAAGCGAGATCTCATCTGTCGTGCGAAGTTCCAGTTCTTCGAAGTCTGGCTGTGATCCCATGGGGTCAATCGTGCGTCTCATGCGCTTGCGAGTGAAAAACTCTCCTTTGTAGTTGTAGTTGTCCGGGTCTTCATACCAAAGCAACGTCTTTCTCCATTTCGGATCATTTGATTGCAGAACATGGTCTGGATGACATAAGTTGTTGTCCTCTCCTCTCTGAAAAAGCAATCTCCTAGCCGCGGTATGGATTCGGCCAGTAGATTTACTGAAGTAAACCGTATATATTTTGCGCACGGTAGGGGGCTGATAAAAGAGAGATGATATCTGTTCATCGCTGAGTTCTGTTTCGGTGCTTGGAAGATCTGTTTCGTCGTTTATGTTGTTAGAGAATACTTTGTTTATGCTTCTTTTAGCTTTGTTGGAAAGCTCGAAGTTAGATATTGGCACCTTTTGTCTTCTGCTTTTGCTTCCCCGGTTCGATTGTAGCTGTACCGCTGATAGTGATATCGGAAGTAAGAATCTTAGGTGAATTGGCCTTTAGGTGTGTGGTGGAAGTCGTATCGGCTACTGGCTGATCAATCATAGTGGTAACCGTAGGATTTGTCGTTGAATCGCTTACTTCAGCGACAGGGGATATCACGGGAGCATCCAAAGCCATCGTCATGGCTGGATCAAGGTTGTCAGGATCGGGCGTTGGTGGTAGAGCGGATTGGTCCATTGCCGATGGCTATTCGAGATGAATGTGTAAGAAAGAAGCGATGTGTAGGTAAAAATGAGAGTGGGCGATAGGGATAAATGTGAGCAGAGAGAAAGAAAGGACGAAATAGGGAAGGAAGAAAATAAGAAAAGTGCGGAGAGACGTACCTAAGGAACATGGGATCCCAGGTTGACCATACCTGTTGGAGTGTTGGTGCCAGGGCAAACAGCGAATCTACCTCTCGAAATGATAGGCGAAACGAATGTTATTCAACGACATTGTTGAGAAGGAAAGTCTTTCAGATGGAGGAGACCAGAAAGTAGGGTAGATGTAGGGCTGCGTCGAATAGGAGGAGTGGGATAATATGAAAAGTGGGTGAAGTAGGAGAAATCAAGAAAGAGAGAGAAGTAGATGCAGCAGATCTGGGAGGCCAATCTTACCGCCAAAAAATCGTCACTGGAACTGGCAGATGAAGGAGACAGAAAGTTGTTTTCAGATGGAAAAAGATATAAGGCTGTGTCGCATAGATGCGGTCGGGTGGTGTGAAAAGTTGAAGAGGGGAAGTGCCCAGGTGTGGGAGGCAGATGTAGTAGATCTAGGAGGATCCTACTCACGAGTAGCTGTCACTGGGAATGGCAGATGAATGAGAACCTTGGAATGATTTGGGTTGGGCAGATAGTTAGGTGGTCGAGGATGAGTTCTCAGTTCCAAGATTGAGAGCGTGCAAAAAGAGTCGCAGGAGATTGGCGGTAGATGAGATACCTAAGGTAGGTATGCTGTGGAGTAAACCTTGGAAATCGGGGGAGTCCTAGCTCTCGTCTGTATGATCAAAGCTGAGCCCATAAGGGAGGCTCAAGAGCTAGTAGTGGTACCACACCCAGCTTTAGAATTCTTGTGAAATCTGGGGATGCGAGACCGGAAGTGTATGAAGACCTCGGATGGTGGCAATTTGCTGCGAGAATCAGCCTCAGAGCTTGGAGTTGTTTCGGAAGTTAGCGTGTTGTGCGGCAGCGAGCTGGATGATTGAGCTATGAAGAAAAAAAGATAGATATCCACGGAAGATACAGCGATAGCTGTCAATGGTCGTTATATTATGATAAAGAGAGTAAATTGCATGCCATGCCCAGAGTTATATATTCGTCATCCTCCAACACCGCGCATATGTGATTTGAAATATCTCACAGAAAGTCAAGAGCGAAATTCATAAAAAAGACATTACTCGGGAGCTGTCTTGCGCGGTGACTTGGTCGTCAATGATTGTCGGATCCGTCGGAGCCTGGCCCACCATTCACGATCAGCCTTCTTCTTGCTTTCTTCGTCACCGCCATTATGAGGATCATCGGGCGTCGGCGTGTTGGCCTCGCTGCGAAGTGTATCCATAGATGCTGCAGAACGGAGGTACCGGCGATTCTTGACTTTGACGGCCTCGGCGACCACTTCCCAACCACTGCGCAGGCTCTCCTTTCTCTCGTTTGCCTTGCCAGTGCCACTCTGGGAGATGGGGTCAATCCATGGACAGTATTCCATGTGTTCTTGTGACACGTCCAAGGAGCTATAGACTGTGACATCGCCGTTGTCCTTGGGTTTGTACATCCAGAGGCCCAGACGACGGAAGCAAGCCTTGCATGAGACTAAGCCAGCAGCCCCATCGCCCACCGACTCCCAGCCGAATAAGGATAATGCTAGCGCTCGTTTGTTGATCAATTGTAGCCTGTCGATTGATGGGGCTGGAACTGATCCCTGATTGTCGTTGTTGACTTGAGCGTCGCCATCCGTAGTGTTTTGTTCGTTCGCGCTCTCTGGGGAAGATGCTGGATTCTTGAACCAGTCTTCTGGAAGTAGTTTGATTATTCCATCGAGGTCACAGCTCTCGGGCGTTTGGATGTTTTCGTCGGCCGGTAATTTATCTTTCATATCCACCAGCTTCAAATATCGGGCCTGGAGACCAGATATAGCCGTATCTGTATTGTTCAATGGCAGGTGTTGGATGGTGTCTGTGAAGAGTCAGAAAGAATGATGCAAGGAAACTGAAAAAAGACATGATCAAAGTACCGTCGCAGGACCTATTCCGCCAAAGGCAGTTTTCCTTGTGACCGTCCTTCAATAATGTTACATATTCCTCAACAAGTCTCTCGCCTACCAGTCGGATGAATGCCATTAGCCAATTTGTACTGAAACCAAGCAATGAAAGAAAAAAGCATGTACTTACGAACTTCCTTGCGCTCTTGAACCTTGTCCGCATCGTATCCATCAAGCTCGTCAATCTCGTCCGGTAACTTCACCACCACTGAGCCCCCACAGCCGCTGACACAGCCCACTCGCGACGTATCCTTGCATACCCAACCGCGCTTTGCCCATTGTACCTCATTGATCGGGGTAGGTTTGGTGGCCCATCTATCCACGCGACGAAAGGTCTCGAGCCGCTCGAGAAAGATGTCACGATCCCATGGGGCGAAAGTCGGGCGTTTGCTTGGGGATATAGACGATGTATGATTTGTGGAGCGGGATATATTCGACAGAGAATTGCGTACTGAGGTCAAGTCTGCTTTGTCATTGTTGTTCAGGCGGACCTTCTTGATGGAGGAGAGGTTGGTTGGTAGACGGTCTTTTACTGTCGCGGGTGTTGCGGTTGATGATTTCGGGGCATTTTCGGGAGTCGCAGGCTTGGATATGGATTCCAAGACGCGGTGGAACTTTCGTTTCTTTGACTCGACGGCGTAGGACATTGCGACGTCTCGGAAGGGAGGGGGATGAAGGCTGCAGATCAACAACTTGAAAGCGCAAGAGCTGAGCTGAGCTTCGGATGTTTCTGCCTCAGGCACCCGGGCACCAATAGTTAACAAAGGCTACTTGCAAGGACCTCTACTAGTACTAGTAGTAGTATTTCTTACGAAAATAAAGGCTTAATAGATTGAACTCGAATATGCCCAATCCCATTTACACATTCTCCAGCCCTGGAGCTCTTACGATATGTCCAAAGCTCATGCAATATAAGTACCTAAGTACTTCATAGTGGCACACTCTTCAGCAGGGCAATTTAGGGTAACAGTTTAATGAATCTAGTACTTGTATGTACACCTGGGCATGTTGACGAAGTTGTGTTATTTGTATAGTATAATAAACAATTCAAAATCTACACTATTCGTAGAAACCTTTAAGAGACATGCTAAATGAATGAAATATAGTATCCCAAGGTAATTAGTACTCATGCAATGCCCACGCAAATCGCTGCGCGCTGATTGGCGCTCGGCCGCGCATCTTATGATGTCCGAGTTCCGAATCTCGACTTTCGTTTCTTTCTCGGCAAGTTACCCTTCCCCCAACCTCGTCGCCATGGCTTCCCTAGGGACTTCGGCGTCATTATGGCGAAGCTTCGTGCCTCGCCTGTCGTCCAAAGAACTCTTCACCTGCCGCCAATGCCTGGGCAACCAGGGTTACGCCAATGCCGCCAAATCCATCCGTCGCTTCGGCGCAATGCCATCCCTCCAACCCAACAAGATCCGTACGCCCCTGTTCTCCGATAAAAACCGACAATTCTTCACTTCCAGCCTAAGAAGGTCCGCGGCTGCTGCTGCGCCTGCCGCGACTGTTATTGCCGAGGAGTCCGCTGCCAAAGCCAAGTCGAGCTTCCCCAAGATCAGCGACAAGTCGGTTGCCTACTTCCTCCTTGCTAGTGCCGCGAGTGTTTTTGGAATTGTCATTTTTGGTGGATTGACACGTTTGACGGAATCAGGGTATGGTCATTGCTCCCTTGCCTCATTCACAATCGAAGAACATAGCTGGACCCTCGGATGCTGACGGAGTTATCGCTCGCAGATTGAGTATCACGGAATGGCGACCTGTCACCGGCTCCATGCCACCCATGAACGCCGCAGACTGGGAAGCCGAGTTCGCCAAGTACCGAGCATCCCCCGAATTTAAGCAATTGAACTCGCACATGAATCTGGACGACTTCAAGTCGATTTACTATATGGAATGGATCCACCGTCTCTGGGGTAGATTCGTCGGCATGTCCTTCGTTATTCCCGCGGTCTACTTTGTTGCTCGGAAAAAGGTATCGACTCCCATGGCCTGGCGTCTGTTCGGAATTGCCGGTCTCATTGGCTTCCAAGGATTCCTCGGCTGGTGGATGGTCAAGTCTGGTCTCAAGGATGATCTGTTTGCGCCGGGTAGCCACCCGCGTGTCAGCCAGTACCGTCTGACGGCTCACCTGGGCGCTGCCTTTGTCTGCTATGTCGCTATGCTGTGGAATGGACTGGCCATTCTTCGATCCAACCGTCTGATGGCTGATGCTGCTTCGGGATTGAAGCAGCTTGAGGCCCTTCGGGACCCACGACTGGCAATCTTCCGCCGCTCCGTTGCGGGTCTTGCTCTGCTTGTTTTCACTACTGTTATGTCTGGAGGTCTCGTCGCAGGCCTCGATGCCGGTCTCATCTACAATGAGTTCCCATACATGGGCAAGGGACTTGCACCGCCTAGCTCTGAGCTATGGGACGCTCACTACTCTCGTCATGAAGATCGCTCCGACCTCTGGTGGCGCAACATGCTCGAGAACCCTTCCCTCGTTCAGCTTGACCACCGCATTCTCGCCATGACAACATTCACCACCATTATGGCTTTGTGGGCTTATAGCCGTCGCTCACCCACCGTGAAGCGCATCCTGCCCCCCCGCCCCGTAAGGGTATGCACGGCGTCGTCGGCTTCGCTTTCATGCAGGTCGGCCTTGGTATCTCCACTTTGCTCTATCTTGTGCCAACCCCACTCGCCTCTGCCCACCAGGCTGGTAGCTTGTTCCTTCTCACTTGGGTTATTGTCCTGGGTAGCCGTGTCTGGCACCCGTCTCGCACAGCTAAGCTGCTGCAAATGGCAGCCAAGGCTCGCAGCCAACAGCTTTCATCTACTTCTGCGTCTGCTGTGAAGAGATTGTAAAAAAAAACAAACAGTCTTTGGATGTACGAATATATTGCTCGAGGCAGATATCGGAGACATCTCACCTTGAAGTTGATTTCCTGATACCATCTCCATTCCTTTTCTATTTTATGGACCACATGCTAGGTCCTATACCTGTATTAAATACTATCAGTTCAAGTTATTAGATCGATTACACTTTCCTTTGCAAAGAAATAACCTTACTAAGACATTAGGTCAAAGATTACTTTACGTTCAAGGTCCATGCTTAGATGGGTATTTCAGACTATGGACCAAATCAACTTGAACTTAAACTATTTTACCTCCAACGCCAAAGTCGTTTGAGATTCTATTCATCAAAACGAGTTTCATATCTCACGTGTTCCCATAATTGAAAAAAAGCAGGTTTCCGATTCGCTGCTTTTTCCGCACACCCACACCAACGGACTGATTTAACATCACTCGCGCAACTGGGCAAATACTCACCTCCTCCGCCCTTGTTTGATGATCACTTCGAGGCCAGTCTAATCGAATCTAGCCCGAGGAGGACGAGCGTTTCGGGTAGGGTTGCGACGCACCCAGTCATGGGGAGTCAAGGTCCCATCAAGATCAATGGATGAAGGCGCGGACACAATCTCGTCACTATCGTCGGCAAAAGCTCGAACACCTGGTGGATTATTCCGAGCCGCCGGCGTGGGCGTCGAAGGTTCCGAGCGAGCGCGAGCAAAAGACAGCTCACTAGCACTCCCCTCCGCCGTAGGCGACGAACTCATCTCCAGAAGAATCCCCGCGGCATTTTCCTCAGGGGATGGAGGAACTGGTGTTTGATACCGGCCAACAAGAATTGACGCCGCAACTTCCTCGGGCGTTTGAGGCGCTGGTGTCTCGTACCGATTGGAGGCTGGGGGTGTGGCAAGAGATTCACCTGCCGAGCGAAGATGCTGTGCCTCCGTGTGCTCACAGTCGAATGTTGAGTGAGTGAGGTCTCCGCCACGCTTCTGGCGACAGCCCTGGCATAGTTGCCAGCCGCAGCCAGCGCAGCGGGTCATGCCTTTGCTATTCCGCTGGTTGCAGGCGTCACACTTCGCTGTGTGGGCGGGGATGTCCTCGAACTTCGTGACGACCTGTTTGGGTAATTTCTGGGGGCTCTTCTGGCGCTTTGGTGCTGGGGCCTCAGACTTCTCGACCCGCTCGTTGGAGTTGTCGAGTTCAGATTTCGGGGTTACTGGCTCAGGCCCTTTGAAGGATGTCTCTGGCGCAGGCCGCGATGGGCCTGGAGATGGGGCTGGCTTGGTCGACTGAGGATCCATGGATCGTGATGTTTCCCCTTGAGAATGATATCCAGTATCCCCCATGTCTGAATGGGGTGCTCTTTGAGCACTTGATGGATTGTTTGGATCAGCATCCTGCCCGAGATAACCTCCCATCTGCGTTGTGTATGGGAACAGGGGCGGCATCGACCACTACTGTATATCAGCTACCATGAAAGAGTTATGAGATCAGGAAGTACATACAGGATCGAAGGATTCAAATCGGGTTCCGAAGCTTTGAAATGGATGTCTGTTGGGAGAGTCCATCGTGGGAAATCGAACTGTATCAGAAGGGCCTGGGGGCGACAGGCCAATCTCCATCACATTTGGATGAGCCTGAATCATCGGTCGTCGTGCTGGAAGGTCTGTCATCAAGGCAGGACGCGGAGTAACTTGGCCGGGATGGATGAGATTTTGGATTTCGAGCTCCCGAAGCGAGGGCAATCTGCCCTGTCCATCGCATGATGTTTCATCCATGATGGATTAAATCGAAATATGGAACAGAAGGTTGGATATGGGCAAGGATGAAGGGTGGTGGGAGGAAAGGAAGATCAAAAATGGCTATGCCCGTTCATTTAAATTATAGCAAATCACTCTGGAAGGCTCCGTCCAGCATTAACCGGTAATTTCCTTGCTTGGAGGGAAACATTGCGCTGGAGCGGCAGGGCAGTTGCGGCATCCGATGGCGAGAGCCTTCAAGCACTTTATACAATTCACAGCATCGCACGTAAAGGACTCATAATAATGGCCCAAAGAACTTCAAACTAACCACTACTGTATTTTTGAGGTAACTGTGTTTGAAATGGGAAATTCGAAACTGTTTTGATTTGTGGTGAAAACACTCTTTATGTCATGCATCTCTCGTATAAAATCCATGTATGTAGACTGCCAAAGACAGTGCACAATCGTCACATATCGGTCTAGTCAATATGGCCCTCCATCAATACCTAATTCAGTTATTGGGCTGCAGATTCAGCGTTAGTGATATCGGCTCGTGGAAATTGCAAGAAACTAATAACATACGGTTGCCATCCTCAGGCTGGGGCTGGGCGCCAGTCGCGTCAAGGACAGACTTGCCCGCCGCGGCGGTCTTGTCATCCTTCATCATGGGGAAGGTAAGCACCTCCTTGATGCTGTAGTTGTCGGTAAGGAACATGACCAGACGGTCAATACCCATTCCCCAGCCACCAGTAGGGGGCAAACCGTACTCCAGGGAAGTACAGAAGTTCTCGTCGATAAGCTGGGCCTCGTCATCACCCTGGTCCTTCTGGCGGGCCTGCTCCTCGAATCGCTCTCTTTGGGTGTAGGGGTCGTTCAACTCGGTATAAGCGTCTTCATGGGGTTAGCATCGGTGTAATATCCCACTCGGGGTTGGGCGAAGAAGCACTTACTGCAAATCTCCTTCTTGCAAACGAAGGCCTCGAAACGCTCACACAGACCGGGCTTGTCGCGAGAGTACTTGGCAAGCGGGGACATCATCTCAGGGTGACCGGTGATGAAGGTAGGGTTGATGCAAGTCTCCTCGATGAACTCTCCAACCAGAGTATCCAACATACGGGCATTGGTCAGGGGTGGTGTGCACTCCACATTCATCTTCTTGCAAATGCGCTGGAGGAACTCGTTGGTCTCCTTGGTGTGGAGTTGGTCACCAGAGGGGAACTTCTCGCCAGTGGCCTCTTCCAGAGCGGGGATCATCTCCACGCGGCGCCAGGGGGCCTTCCAGTTGACGTTATAGGTTTCGCCAGTCTGGGTGTGGTAGGTGGTCTCGTATCCACCAGTGATCTTCTTGACCAGGCCAGAGACAAGCTCCTCGGTCAGATCCATCACATCGAACATATCGGCGTAGGCCCAGTAGAATTCACAGGTGGTGAACTCAGGGTTGTGAGTAAGATCGATACCCTCGTTACGGAATTGACGGCCAATCTCGTAAACACGCTCGAGACCACCGACAATGAGCATCTTGAGGTACAGCTCAGGGGCAATACGAAGGTATTGCTCTTGGTTAAGGTCGTTGTCTTTGAATTAGTAAGTGTAAGGTTAGCAGGCAAATCCTGTAAGATCTGAAATGAGAGGGACATTTCACATACGCTGCCGGCAGAAATTAGTTAGTAAGCGGTTGAAATTCGAAGGGAATTTGCTCAGATTGACATACGTGAGTAATGAAGGGCTTGGCTGTCGCACCACCGGCAATATTGGAAAGGCAAGGGGTCTCGACATCGATAAACTGAAAACAAAATTGACTAGGTTAATAACATAACCGAAAACAGTCTCGGCGTGATAAACATACGCTAGAGAAGAAAACTTAAGTTAGTATGCGACTTGAAAATCAAATGGGAAATATTGAAAGATAGCACATACTCTCGTTCGTCAAGGAAGTCACGAATGTACTTGGTGATCTTGGAGCGAGTACGGATGATCTCGCGGGAGCGGTCGTTCATGATAAGATCGAGGTAACGTTGACGGAAACGCTGCTCCTTGTCCTGGAAACCGTAGTGCTCGGAGGGAATGGCATGCAAGCAGGGGGACAGAAGAACAAGCTCAGTGGCGAAGATAGAGAGCTCGCCATCGTCACGGTTCTTGGGGGAGGTACGGCCGGGGAAACCGACAATTCCGACAATATCACCACGACGGATGTGCTCGTGTTGCTCCTCGAAGGAGGCGCTGCCAGTGGCGAATTGGGCCTGACACATGATCTGGACCTTGACACCCTCGGCGCGGAGATCATAGAAGAGAAGCTTGTTGCCAGAGGAGCGCTTGGTGTAGATACGACCAGCAAGGCTGATGCTGACCTCGGGCTTCTGTTCGCCCTTGGCGAGAGAGGCATAGTCGGTAAGGAATTGGCGCAGATCGGTGTTGACCTGGAACTTGTGGGGGTAAGGGTTGGGGCTCTTGGTCTGGCGCAGCTTATCGATTCTCTTGCTGCGGATCTCGAAGTATTGCTAGATGGCGCGCACACGAGTTAGCCGGCGGAGTCGGACGAGAATGGGGAATGGAGATATAATTGTTCGACGCACGTTGGGAGTCAGGTTGGCCTCGTCATCTTCAGCAGAGGTCTTCTTGACGGCGGCGGGCTTAGGAGGAGCAGCAGCTTCCTTCTCCTTCTTCTTGGCCTCCTTCTCGCGCAACTTCTGGCGCTTCTTCAATTCGGTCTTGGAGACCTTCTCGCCGGTGACCTCGTCGAGCAGAAGCTTGGCCATGGATGCCTCGGCATCCTGCACAGGGTTGGAATCCGCCATAATGGGTGATTGCGATGGGGATCAGGAAGTTGATAGTGGGAGAATGAATGGAGGGGCGCGCGAAATTTTGGGCGGCGGTCATGGCGGGGGGCTTGTCTGATTGGGTCGGGCAACTACAAAGTACATGACTCAACTAGTTACATACAGAATACTTGATACATGAGTCATTGTATAATTTTATAGCTATATAGTGGTACGAACATCATGGGGAACTGTATCGCAGCTGAATGACCTTCGTTTTCTATAAACCTATGTTCAAATGGCTTAATTCCATCCATTTGCATGGCACCATGGGGGGTGCCCAATCTGGAGATTAGGGCTTAGGGTATACAAAAGTGGGGCTTGTACCCCGCCAACCGCCAAGTCCGAACTATACAGACTACATTGATATGGAATTGGAAGAATAATCGGTAAAAGTAGACTGTTTTGGTCCGAGAAACTGGATAAATCCGTAGATTTTACCAGACAGCTTTGAACCTACCTCTATATAGACCCGTCTCCTCCAAGACTCCTAGCATTCGACGTCATTGGACCGGTCAGTGTCAGTAGTATGATTGCAGTATCTAGGGGCGAAATGGATTTTTCAGCCATCGTGTGAAATGCAATATTTCGAACATTATTCTTATTTTCATTTGTTGATTTCTAAAACTTTCATTTGCAAGTATGATGCTGAGTCCAAAATGTGCTATTCCTACATTGGCGAATCAGCCAAGTGAACCCTCCTCAACCTAACCTCACAGAAGTCGCGGCTGCCCCAGCTACTCTTCGGAAGAGCAGTCAGTTCATTCTTTTCTTCCTTCTTTCCCCTTCTTCCCTCCTCCTCTACTCCTTCCTTTCCACCCATTCACTACCCGAACTATTTCTTACCTTCTCACATCTCCTTCCTCTCTCCTCTCTCTTCCTCTTCTTCCCTCCACCCTCCACCCTCTACTCCACACCCATCATTTCCACCAAGTGTATTTTCTTCACATCCTTCAAGCAAACTGTACGACTCCTTTTCTTCCTCATCTATCAACTTGTCCTATCACTTGGCGGTGGACCAGAAAGGCCATTTAGGACAACATGGCGCGTACCCATCGGGTCGTGCAGCCTAAACCCGAAGGTAAACAATCCATCGCTTTTTTGACTTGATCATTTACTTTATTCTAACATCAAGAAAGGCAGGCCCATGATAGACATTACAACCCCAAGCTACATTGTTCCCGTTACGGCCCCCTCTCAGCCGAGTGGATCTGCCACGCTCGATGCCCTCACTTTCGACATGAAAGGTCTGATCAAGAAGATTCAAGACCTTCGAAACTTGGGTATTGAAGATAGCAACATCGCCTTGCCTAAAATCTGCGTCGTCGGTGATCAGAGTACTGGAAAGAGCTCGTTGATTGAAGCCATTTCGGAAATCAAAGTTCCTCGAAGTGAAGGTACATGCACACGATGCCCACTTGAGATCAACCTTGCGCAAAGTGATGTCGAACAGTCGTGGCACTGCATAGTTTCTCTGTCGCGGCCATATCACTGGGAGCCCAACGAGGCCCGTCGACAGAGCTACAAGAAGACTGAAGTCATTGGTCGCTGGGTATGCTGGGGGTCTGGGTCTCCAGACAATGAGCATTTCTGTGTGCTGACGGACAGATCCGAAATCGCCGAGGCGATTAAATGGGCGCAAACAGCAATCCTCAATCCCGACGTGGATTCGCAGACCTTTGTCCCTGGGAAGAATGCCGTCGCCATGCATGACCGCTCACATGGACTCGTGAAGAACACGGAGGAGTTTTCTCCAAACATTGTTCGGCTGAACATTTCCGGCCCTGATCTTCCAACTCTTTCTTTCTATGATCTACCCGGCGTTATTCGGCAGGCGAAGAATGCACAGGAGAATTATCTCGTGCGATTGATTGAAGATCTTGTGAAGAAACATGCTGCCGACCAAGACTGCATTGTCCTATTGACTCGTTCGATGACTGGCGATGCCGAAGTATCAAGTGCAGGTGGCATTATCCAAAAGATCAAAGGCGCCGAAGCACGCACCATAGGCGTTCTAACCAAGCCCGATCGTCTGGCATTCTTCGATCGCGGGTCCAATGGCGTCCCTGAGCATGTTGCAATTCGCGAATTTTCTTCCTTCAATCAGTGGATCGAAATTCTGGAAGGGAAGAGCTTCGCCTTGGGACACGGATACTACGTGGTGAAGAATAACCCTGACCCCGATGTGAGCCACGCCCAGGCCCGCCAGGAAGAGACATTGTTCTTTTCGAACCAAATCTGGAGCATCGCCCCCATGAATCATTTTCGGAGTCGTCTCGGTGTGAAAAACCTCCAAAATGCCTTGTCAAATGTCTTGATGGACCAGATCCAAAGATCGCTGCCATCCATCATCAAAAAGGTCAATGAAAAGGCCAAGTGTATCGACGACAAGCTGAAGGACCTCCCCGAAACCCCACGTGAGGATGCGCAGCGACTTGTGACCGAAATGCTCACAATCCTATACCAGAAGCTCCGGTGCTTGTTGACTGGCAGCGACGCTCCTTTTTCCGAGCAGGAATTCGCCCACCTCACGCGGGATTTCAAGACTGCCTTGTCCGTGAGCATGCCCGCCATGACCATCCAGTCGAGGATCGATGATTTTGATATCATCAAACGAGAACCGGATGTGCAAATTCCGGTCACGCCATCCAAGCGTAAAGCTTTTAGCCAGGATGAAACCTCTCCGCCGACAAGTGCGGCAAAGCCAGGCTTGAAGCCCCCGCCAGAGTACACCTTTCCGGAGTTCGAAACCTGGAATCGTGCAGCTGATCGCTATTCGCTTTCAAGACTACGAGACCTCCGAGGAAAGTTCCAGCGTGCCGGGGCTCCTAATCAAACTGACCCTCGAGCCGTGGATGCCCTCAACAAGATGAGCGCCCAGCATTGGGATAAGCCTCTCGGAATATTTGTCAGTTCGGTCCACCAAATGGCAAAACGCGTGCTCCTGGAGACGCTGGAACATGTCATGGGTCCATACCGCCAAACTGAGCTTTTCCGAGAGCTCAGTCGTATCATTGAGGCGTTTCTGAACCGGCTTAAGAAGGAATACTACGCGAATTGCATGGACAGGTACAACGCCGAGATCGGGAAGCCATTTACTCTGGCTGAGGATCTCCACAAGCGCAAAATGGAAGAGTCGCTGAGGATCCTGACCGATCGCCGCAGTGATTTCCGTCTCAGGCAGAATTTGAAGGAAAATGGCGAAAATATTCCCAGTGACGAAAAGAAATGGAAGAGCCTGAAGGAGAAGTCCGAGCTTGGCCCAGATGAATACTGGCCTGAAATCGAGATGATGGCAGTAAGTACTGTGTTTCCCTTTCTTGATATCATGATACTAATTCTCCAACCGAACTCTCGAGCTTATTACTCGATCGCTAGCCTCCGCTTCGCGGATGTCGTTTGCCAGAGCGCTTACATGAAGGTGTTTTGGAAATGTCAGGAGGAGCTTGTGACCGTTTTGCGTCGTGAAATCGACGCCAATTGTGAGTGCCCGCAGCCATACTGAGTAAATATACTAAGAGTATCTTTTCATAGCTCGTGAGCGTTGCATCCTGCTTCTCTCTGAAGATCCCGAAAGAGAGAAACTTCGACTCAGGCTGGAGAAAGATCAACACAAGTTTGCGCAAGCCCAGCAGTCGCTTAGAGAGTATGAACGAACAGAGGAAATCTCAGAAGATGAGACTATGACGGACTCTCCCGATCCTCTCATGGTTCCCGGGTGGGAGGAGATGTGAGGGGGTGTATGATCTATGTTGATTCTAGCATTGGACCACTACGGTTGCACAATTATCTTGAATTTTGAATGAGATCTGTGATTCAAAATGTGTGGGATTTTTAAAGGGAAATTCAGAGAAGGGGAATGGTCGAAAAAGAAAAGAAAAGTCAAAAAAAAGCAAACTTTGTCAACCGAGTGGTACCTTAACGTTTCCAGATCTATGCTAGGTACGAGTAGAGTAGTAAACTGCTAGAGTAAACAGCCTGAGATATGCTAGATCTCGAGCTTGGCCTTTGATTTTCCCAGAGCTGCCTAGATAGTCTCTTTATGAATTGGTTCATGAAATTGCTCCTAGTACTGGACCACTAGTACTAGAGTACTAATACTACTCATAGAGCATTGATTGTTTACAATTTCTGTATACAACCAAGTCAGGTGGTCCGCCCCACCGAGTCTTGGCGCCCGCAGCCTATCGACGCCCAATCCGGCCTCAAGCTTGAGGCCAGCGTCGCTTTTCTTCTTCATTGCTTCTCTTCTCTTCTCTTCTCTTCTCCTCACTTTCTTCCCAACTCTCTTCTTTCACCATGCTACAAGTGCCAATTCGGGACCAGTCCGGCCAGTCCTCCACCAAGGCTGTCATCTTGGTGAGTGACGCAATGCTTCCCCCGCCACGATACAACTGACAAGTCAACAGGTCGGCGGCCCCTCGCGAGGCACTCGATTCCGCCCATTGTCACTTGATGTTCCCAAGGTGAGTACTAGATCTCAGTGATAATTCACACATCGCGCTGTATCAGAGGAATCTCTGACCGAAATCCCCCGATACTAGCCCCTGTTCGAAGTCGCCGGTCACCCTATCATCAACCACTGCCTGAAGGCGATCGCCAAGGTTCCCGATGTTCGCGAGGTTATTTTGGTCGGATACTACGATGAATCGGTCTTCCGCGACTTCCTGAAGGACTCGTCCAAGGAGTTCCCCCAGTTCCGCATGCAGTACCTGCGAGAGTACACCGCACTAGGCACGGCAGGTGGACTGTACCACTTCCGCGATGCGATCCTGAAGGGCAAGCCGGAGCGTCTGCTTGTCTTGAACGCCGATGTCTGCTGCTCGTTCCCTCTCACTGAGATGTTGACTCTGTTCGAAGAGAAGGATGCCGAGGCGGTCATTCTGGGCACCCGAGTTAGCAACGATGCGGCCAGCAACTTCGGTTGCATTGTCTCGGATTCGCACACCAAGCGAGTCCTCCACTACGTCGAGAAGCCCGAGTCTCACATATCCAATCTGATCAACTGTGGTGTCTACCTGTTCGCCACCGAGTGCATCTTCCCCGCGATCCGCAGTGCCATCAAGCGTCGCACCACCCGCCCGCGACTCCTCTCCTACCCCTCCTCCGACAACCTCGAATCCTCCTTCGTCGCCGCCGCCGGAGACGACGATGAAGCCGAGAAGAGCGAGGTCCTACGCCTTGAGCAAGACATCCTCTCCGACCTCGCAGACAGCAACCGCTTCTTCGTCCACGAGACCAAGGATTTCTGGCGCCAGATCAAGAGCGCCGGCTCCGCTGTCCCCGCCAACGCCCTCTACCTGCAGAAGGCCTTCCAGGCACAATCGGAGGAGCTGGCCCCGCCTTCTGCCACCATCGTGCCTCCTGTTTTTATTCACCCTACTGCGACCGTCGACCCGACCGCGAAGTTGGGTCCTAACGTGTCAATTGGGCCTCGTGCTGTCATTGGCGCCGGTGCCCGTGTGAAGGACTCAATTGTCCTCGAGGATGTGGAGATTCGTCACGATGCCTGTGTGATGCACTCGATCATTGGCTGGAGCGGCCGGGTCGGCGCCTGGGCTCGCGTGGAGGGAACTCCCATCCTGATTGGCAGCCACTCTACCAGTATTGTGAAGCAGGGCGTTAAAGTCCAGAGCATCACTATCCTGGGTAAGGAGTGTGCTGTCGGCGACGAGGTTCGCGTACAGAACTGCGTCTGCCTTCCTTACAAGGAGCTCAAGCGAGTACGTGTATCCCCATTCTCATTCCCCCTCCGCTTCCTTCCGTCCTTTACTAACCAGGATTTTAGGACGTCGCTAACGAGGTTATCATGTAAACGCCCGCAACGCCTATGAATTTGGAATTTGGTTTCTGCGTCCGAAAAATACCACTCCCATCTTGTCAATATCAAGCGCGCCATAATGCTGTTTTATTTTTGTTTTCGTTCTCTCTCTTCACTTTCCCCCTACCTCTGGATGGCCATTTGTTTTCTCCTTGATAGAATCTCTCGTCGGACGCAGTGCTTAGTCCATGCTACCTAGATATGAACCGATAAAATGAGTCTGATCTTTACATTGGGATACGCAGAATATGCCTGGCCTTGCGAGTGATTCCAGAAATAATTGATTTATCTATCGACCCTAGTTAAATGAAGATCCCAAATATCCATCCAGATCGTCAAGTGACCTATTTTCATCGGGCCTCGTAACGCCGCCATATCCATGCAGCCGCGGTCAATCTTCAAGTTTTAACCAAGCGGTCGGAGAGGAACTAAACACACAACTCCCAAAGTAGCAAAGTCATGAAACCCACTGGCATATATGGCCGAATATCTCATGGGATAGATGATCATAAGTGGCCGAAAACGAAAAGAAAAAGAAAAAGAAAAAAAGGGGGGGAGAGGAAAAAGACGCGCTTGCTGAACAGTCTCATCAGTCAAAAATAAAAAGGCCAATCCCCCAAAAGTCATCACTAGTTCATGAAGATGTCAAGATTGATCACCGGTACCCAGCCGGATCATAATGCGTCTGAGACTGAGACTGACCACCATGATCCGAACCAAATCTCACTCGCGGGCCCGTCCCAGCGTGAGCATTATCCAAAAAGCCCGACGACTCCTGCGCCTGCGCATGATCAAGCGAATTCGAATACGAATGCGAATAAGCATGCGAATAGGCTGGGACATCACCGTAGTGATTTCCACCCGCCATGACGGGCGGCGTTGGGTCGGGATCGTACGCGAACGGATCACTGCGGCGATTAGCCAGCTTGACGTCGGCGGGGTCCTCGCCCAGCATGGCGGCGCTTTCCATCGGGTTGTAGACGCCTAGTCTGTTGATGCGGCGGCGGACGATGACGTCTCAGGGCGACGGAGGCGATGTAAGACGCTGTGCCAATGACGGTGAAGGAGAAGAGGGCTTTGTAGGAGCGGCAGACGGCTATGCCGGTTGAGTTGCCCCAGTCGGTTGTTGTGCATTTTGTGAGGATTGTGCTGGACATGCTGTAGCTAAGGAGGGCGAGGGAGAGGAGCCACAGGAGGAGGATAATGATGTTGAAGATTATGGAGAGTTTGGGCGAGAGGCCGCAGCTGCAGTTTATGACTGTTGTGAAGAGGACATTGAGGAGGGAGAAGACGGCTGTTATGAGGAGCTGTTGATGGTGGGAGGGTATAGTCAGCTTGTTGTTGTTTGTGGAGGTGATCTGGGGAGTATCTGGAAGGGGGCCCTACGATCAAAAAGGCAAAAGGCAGTTTGTAGTTGTCGGCGTGGAGATGGTAGATAAACACAGCGAGGATCAGGCCGACGACGATGGAGGAAAGGAGGGCGAAGGCGCGGATGATGTTGAAGGTCAATGCTGGGTATATGGATGGTTTCACCGAGGTGATTTTGGTGGAGCGCATCTTGGAGCGCATGATGAAGGTGAGTGAGAGGGAGTGAGAGTGAGTCCAGACTGGCAAGTTGGAATGAAATGTTATTTGTATCAAGTAAACATGATCGGCGCTCCACTTGACACGTTGGGAGCATGCGTCACCCAGGCGCTATTAATAACCGGGCTGTGTTGCTGGGCATTGGATTCTAGTTATACTTATAGTATAGCTATTAACAGCCCTAGAGCTTCATAAGATATCAGTACTACTAGAATTAATACTTCATTTTAATTCAAACCGGTATACTCAATGCTCCTCTCTGTTTCCATTCGTTTCACACGATCAGCCAGATCGTTCTGTAGCGGCATGTTTCAGATCTCGGCAGTTAATTCCACTAGGACTGTATAACAAATATTTCCAATTCACCTACTCTTCCAGATCAGATAGTCCACACCCAGTCCCCTCAATAATTATTTTGCAGTCGAAGATTCCGACATTGAGGCTCTTGGGAGTCCGAGTCCGTGGATGCATGATTGGAACCATGGTACAGGTACAGGTTAGTAGCCGGCCATCGTCGACACTTGAGTGTGTGTACTGATAAGTCCAGATCACCAACTTTCTCAAACAACAAACCAGTAGTCTTTATCTCACTTTCTTCGTGGCATTGAGCCAGGTAGGAGGTTCATTGAGATAAATAATCGCAGTTTTTCGGGATTGACGGCGCTATTTACCCTAGTCGCTTCCCCACATTGTCGACCCAGAGCAACGCGGGGTACTCCGTACAGCAGAAGCTAGTTATTTAGTATGCCACCAACTTAGTGCCACCAAGTACCGAAGATAACCCGCGATAGGTGGAAATTTACAAGAGATCTGCAACCCGCCTGGTTTCCGCACGCTACCATCGGCAAAGTCCAAGTCGAAGATAGCCAAGTACTCCACCGTTGGTGTGGCAGACCGGTGAACCGGCAATTCCGGCGAAAACGGACGCCAAAGATAAACACTTGCCCGGAGTATGGCCTAATCTTAAAGTTATCGGACCGGGTTTACGATAACCTCTCATGCAGACAACTCTCTTATTTGCAGAGTTTCCTGTGGGGGTACCAGATTCTAGGTTGCAATGACGACCGACGGCCTATTATCCGGAAAAGGCGGCAGAAAGGGGGATAGTCTGCAATGTGGCGCTCAATCTTCGGCACTAATGGAGACCTTACTACTCTAACGAAAGATAATGTTGATCGGATTATCTTGCTCGAGTCCTGAGGGGTACCTCGGAATAGACCCGATGATGAGGGGAGTCTCTAGTACATATACTACATAGCTGGCCCGTCCTAGCTACTGCTCTGCGGTACTAGTACTAGTAGTAGTTTCTAGCAGGACCTGATTTCCCCATTACTATCTACCCAGCTATGAAGTTCTCTCTTGCTCTAACCGGTCTGAGCATCGCCCACCTCTCTGCCAGAGTCTCGGCCGTGCCAACCCAAATTCGGCATGATGTTTCCAACACCTCCTACGCGGCCGACATGTTCACAACGGCCATTGAATGGAGCGATGCCTACTGGGACGAAGATGCCGGCTACTTACTTGCAGCATCCAGTGGTTCTGGCCGCTACGATACTCGCCACAGCGCCTGGTATGCGACCCAACTCCTAGCCAGGAACGAACGAGGCGATGTTGCAAGGGCAGTTCGAATATTCAATAATGTAATCTCGGGCCAATATCTCGACCCCTCAAAGCAATGGTACGGCGACTACCAGCAAGCACCATCTCAGCCTGAACCTGGAACGTCCAAATATCCCGATGAGGGGCCATACAGCTCCGTAAGAAAAGAACGTCCTTGAGGTCTCAAGAGTTTTAGCTAATGAGTTGATATTAGTGGGATCCTAATGTCCGCGACTTTGTTGGCTGCGCCTGGCTGGTAGCTCTGAATGACTATGAGCATCTGCTTCCAGCCACCACGGTATCAAAAATAGAGCGCTCGCTTCATATTGCGGCAAAGGGGGATCTTTACCGTGTGGGTGGAGTCGAAGGCGACAATCTATACCCCTGCTACTCGAATCCTTGGATAATGCGAACAATTCTTCAGAGTTGGGTCGGTACTCGCTTGAACGACAAGAATTTGACTCAAACCGGTGAGCATTTTGCTCAGGAACTCTATGACCTTTGGAGCATTCATCACACACTCTCCGAATTCAACTCTCCAACCTACGCTGGCGTTGCAATGTGGGCTTTAGCGCTATGGGGCCAATACGGCAGCGAGGGAAGTTTGCTGAAAAAATACGCCCCAGAGATCTTGGCCGCCAGCTGGGATGAGCTTGCGCAGCTTTACAATGCGAATCTCAAAAATACGGCCGGTCCCTGGGATCGCACGTATGGGTATGATATGAATTCCTACGCATCCCTCACAGCGGCCGTTATCTGGGGTGCAGTTGGAAGAGAATACGCACCTTTTCCACGACAAATCTCGGGAATGTACCACCAAGAAGATTTTGCATTCTATCCCCTTTTCGCCCTCGCTATGCCTGAGATGCTGAAGTACCTGTCTCCCGAGTCTAAATCAAGCCTCATCAAATTCCCGGGTGATCATTTCTACACCGCGAAGGCATACTCGCCGCCGTTCGATACCTATTCCCGCAATATCACGACCTGGATGTCTAAGGATCTGACAATTGGCGCGGAATCGATTGCGGAAGTGGTTGTTGGAGGACCCGCAAAGAGTAGTAGTGCGTTCAGCCCTGCTCTCATTCAGTGGGCAATTGATGATAAGCAGGTGGGATGTGTTACCCACTGGGTGACCGAGTCTTCGATTGATGCCGTGGCTTCCAAGAATGGCCTGCATATTTCGTATCCCAATGCTACAATCGGAAACGGACCTGTTTCATTCAATTTCCTTGTCAGTGGGCTTGGGATCAATCACGGGGCCAATGTGACCGGGTTGGAAGGCCTTCCTGGGTTGGACGTCAAGGTGAAAACAAACGCGCTGTCGAACTACAGTATCGTTTACAATACGGATCAGGAGGTTAATGAGTTCATTTTCTACAATATTACATATACCATGCCCGAGAGCTTTGATGAGGCTCCCTTCATATCTCTGCAGGTTGTTTGATCAAACATTGGGCTTATACTAGTATTGATAATTGACAGATTAATGAACGAATGGACATCAAAATTGATTCAAAACAAGTGAAATCAATGCCATTCAAGATTTCTTTGTCTGAAAAGTTCCGCATAAAGAAGATTGAAAACCCTAACTCATTTCTTAACCGGGCAGACCTGGCCAAACTCGGCGTTGACATCCGAACTACCACAAACCTTCCCATCGCCGCCCCCCTTCCCGACACACTAAAGAACTTTGAGTTTCGGAAGAAAAGGCTGTGATGGCGGAGATTTATACTTACACTGGTACCGGATCTGCACTTACTAAGTTCTACCAGTAAAGGCTCGACTTATCAGGGATCACGAAACTTACTAGTTGATACCCCCAACCTTGCAAGAGGTCCCATTGCACGTCTGTGTATTTGTTGAATTAGGAGGAGATGTTAGAAGAGTGATTATCTTCAATGGGTAACGTACACCGCAGAATATCCATCCATTTGGACAGGTCCATTTAGCAGCGGCTCCATTGGCCTCGGCCGGGGGCAGCCATGACCATCGAGGCACTGGCCACGAGAGCAGCAAGAGTGAAGCTGATAACATGCATGATGAATAGTTTTGATTTGTTTGAAGTGGAGCGTTGGTTTGTAGATGATGGAATTGGAAGATGGTTCAGGCACTCCATAGACGGAATTTCCTGCATTTTTATACTTCTGGTGGAAGATAATACGATGCAAATCTATACTTCTTCTGGTAAATCCTGAGCTGAAATGCAAGAATGCCTGGTAATTAGGCCGAGCTATTGAGTTCCATGTAAGTAATATGCCCGATAGCATGAAGACCAACACATATCTGTAACAACTCGGATAGTTGCTGGGTCTAGATGCAAAGATCAGCATGTCACCAGCCAATCCGATTCATGCAATAGACTTTTCAGAAGAGCCTCAAGGCCATATGACGACTCCTTCCTACTAGGGTTGCAAGTTGAGAAGAATGCAATCCCTCTTTGGGCAAGAATGAATAACGTAAATCCATGGGCGTTACTATGAAAAAAATTCCAACCCCGCTTGATCAACATGATCAATCCTCTTCTTAGTGATCCAGTCTTTCAATTCCAACTAGAAGGATTTCAGCTCAAGGAGTTAAGAGCAAATCCCGGGCGCTTTTTATTGTTTGACTGAGTGCAGTGTTCAAGCCCGGGTATAGCAATCATGATGCATGTCAGCCTCGCAATAAGTCAAGCTGAGATGCGGAGCCTCAATTCCCAACCTCCAGGGCTCCCGAAGTCCTCCATAACAAATATATGATTGCCGAGTTTCGCATATTTTCGATACGAGTACTGAGAAAGTGTAGTATTGGCAATCTAGTACCTAGATATAGAGTATTACACGGCACAGAAGAACATCTGGCTGTTAATTCTACCGATTTTCAATTCAGACGACGGCTAAAAAGTCGCCGCTTTGAGGCTGGTTAATATTATGTAGTTTGATGGTATTTCACTCACAAGGGGGAATTTACTTGGCGGCTGTAACGCGCCCACATATCGCATCCTGCAGGTGTGAGGCGATCATCAATGTTTGATAGATGGGTGGGGGTTTCACCTGCATTTGAGGCTCGCAGCTTGTGGGGCTGCGGTTCCGCATCCTAGCAAGCTGCGAGTCTTAACTAGCGTGTGCTCATTTGGCCCCTAAATTTGCAGTAAAAACATGCACCCTCTTTTAATCATTGGGACTGGACGCCTGATCTAAAGATGCACGAGTTTGACGAGCTGAAGACTCTGTTTTGCCAGAAGCTACGCACGTGGAAGTTAGACACCGAAAGTGGTGATCAGATGAGAGAGGGAGCGAGCGAAGCTATCTCCACAGAAGGCACTGGCGGCCTGTGGATGTTTGAGGCTACGGGTGCCTGGGGTGCCCAAATGCCAGAGATTCAGTGCTGTTGGTTTTTGTGGACAAGATAATGTTATTTGTCGAGGTCTGTGTTGTAGTAACATATCACTCTGTCTTTTGTGAGAACTTGAATGAGCTTTAGTACCTCCTCCGAAGTAATCATAGCCTTAAGATTGCATAGAAAATAAGACACTCATTAAGTTAGCTTATATTAACGCAAATGCTGGCTATGATATAGCTACGACCCCAATTAACATGGTCTTTTAACTGCAACTGCCGGTGCTGAAATGATGGGTATTCAATCTCATGCCACCAAAATGAATACATGGATGCATAGTATTGTGACAGGCCCCTTCCAACTGGACATATCGTCTTATCGGGAGGATATATTCTAGCTAGTACAATTGCTGGAAGTGTCGGCTTTCTCCCAAGGTCGTCATATATTCCATGATAAGAATTAAATAATTGTTCAAACTTAAAGCCGCGAAGGTTTCAGGTATTCGAAAAATAAGGTCCGAAATGGAGTTTCCTAAGCTGGTGGGACAAACATTGATGATTCTCCCACTCAGAGCTATTTAAGTCAAGCTTGATGGAAGAATTTCGACCTTTATGGTTAAGGATAAGATCACTTGCCCAGTTTAGTGGGAAATCGTTTCGATAAATTCTGCGATCCTGGTCTTGTTGAGGGCTGGTGCCTGGCCCGCACCGGCGCCTCGGGCATCCAGGCCGCCCCTGCCATGTTTAGATAGCCTCGTCTCTCTGTCTCTCTTCTCTTCATATCATCACCATCTCTCTCATGCCATCTGATTCCTCCACATTAGCATCCTCCGACAGCTCTCGAAGCTGTCTGGTCTCCGCTTTGCTTAAGCAAGTCCGCAGGTCTGGGCCGTCCAAGGAAACAAAATTCAACGCGCGTTGTGTATTAAGGGATTGACTCTATGAGGTTTCAGATATCGGATTGTTAGGTCATTAAAAAAAATGACTGAAATCATAAGGAAAAAAAACTGTCGGATTGATTGAGAATGCGCTAACTTGAAACCGGACCTCGCCGGCTCGTCAATAATAACCCTGGAGCCACCCACTTGTAGCCCCGGCCGGGCCTACCCAACTTGAAGGCAGCGATCCGACCTATGCCTGATTGAGGTAGCTTCAATCCTGAGGTCGAAAGGGGTCCATATAAATATTTCTAGTGCACGCTAGACCATCTTCCATCGCATTCAACTCGCCATGCGGCTCTCAATTCTTCGACCCCTGATGCGGGCGCGTTTGGCCCCTCAAAAATTTTCACCTGCAGCCTTCGTGCTAGCCAGATCTTCATTCCATAAGACCGCTGTACTCAGACACGACGGTCTTTGGACTTCAACGAAGAGAGAAAGCAATGAGCCATATCTCCACCTGGAAGCTGTCCAAAGTCCAATCAGTGCGGCCCACATCCAGGCACAGGATCTACTCGTCGGTTCGTCTACAAATTCACAGGCCAGCTATCTCAAATTATGAGAAGAACCAGCTAATATGGGAATAATTTACGATCCAGTTGATCGTATTCTAGAGCCTCAAACGGTTATGCAGTTCGTTGGGTTTCTATTCGGAAATCCACTTCCCGATGGCACTCGCCCCTCATCAATCGCTACTCTACCTGTAGAGGAGCTCGCTCTGATACAGGGCGGCGATCCTGTACTTGGTGCTGATAACAAGACTATCATGCACCGTATCATGGGCTATATTGGCTCCAACGAGGACACCAGTCGCCTCTGCGGTGTTGGCAAGAATATCCAGTCTCTCAAATCTCGCCTTTGGTCAGGCATCACCCCCTTGAGTGATCAAAGATGGAAAGAAAAAGGGCTGCATCTTCCAGAAAATTTTGATCAAGCCTGCCAGAATCTGGGAGCTGTGGTCTCGGTGTTTGAGTACTTGAATGTCCCGGAGGTTCAAAATAATCTTCGCGAGACGTTCAATCTCATTTACGATGCCTGGAGCGATCTAGAGGCGGTTATTAATCAACACAGAGCTGGAACGGGTGCAGAGCCTGTCGTTATCGCTGATCTCTGGACTTTGTTCATGTCAGTTCATCTAGAGGTCATGACCCAACGGGCGCATAAATGGGTCACACACCATGTTGATACCTTGCGAGCCCCATATATGCAAGATCTATTGACCTATGAGCCTTCGGATCAAGTGACTGGTGAACCAGATGCAAAGCAGTGGCAATTGGGTGATGCGCTGCATCTCCTGCTGGAAACTTCTATTCGGGCGGATCATACAATCATGATTCCAATGGAAGGCTATAAGGGGTATAAAGCTACAAAAAAGGAAAGTGGACCACCAGAAATGCACTCTGCTCAACATAGCGAGAGGGGAGCGGCGTATTCCCAGCGTGTGAAAGATCTCAGCCACAAAATTCCTATAGACAGATTGCTTGAGGCGTTTGCCAAAGGTGAAAAGCGCAGGGACCTTACTTTCTCGGAAAGCCTCCACGGGGGTGCAACAGAGCAAATTGATGCTCAGAGGCAAATTAGGAGAGAGCTTCGTGGCAGTTCACTCGATTCCACTTTTCAGGAGCCCTGGATGATGTCCAAGTTGAAAAGGCTCAAATTATTGGAAGAGAACGATCTACCAAAAGACTCTGGTCTTGCCATTTATCGTCTGACCCATGGACAGCCTGAGTCGGAATGGTTGGAATTCGTCAAGAGACTCGAAGACCATATATCTGATTGGGGGGCCGGTCAGGATGGCAGTGATTCTATCAAGCCATATCTGAAGCTCCACTGGCTGGATGGGAAGGAATTGGGTTTGGCAGAAAATGACATCGAAGCAGCAAAACAGTATGTGATTCTTCATGTTAATTAATGTTTCATTGGCTAACAATTGGTATAGACATTTTAACGAGACGTTGGATGGTTCCGAGTGTCACAATACGCCTCCCTTAGCGCTAAATTCTAAAGCAATTCTTGCCATTGATTCAGCCTCCTTTGCATCATATATGAGCAACTCGTATGATGCTAAAAGGTCCTCTGTGCTGCCGGGTGATTCAACGGGATTCGTTCTCGCTATTGACCCCGAATTTGATCCTGAGATTGGATTCGATAGACCGGAAGAATCCCCCGACTACAGGGGCCAGATGCGTATTCTCGGAAGTCTGGTCTGGGGCGACTTGTATGCTATACTGGAGTCGCAGTCTGGGGGGCTCGGAGACCTCTGGCCTCTAGCCATGCACCATCCGGATCAGGTTTACGTTGGTCCAGTCATCCCAATACAAAGACTTAACTGGCAGGCCCAGAAAGAAGGTCAATGGAATGTGGTATCTGAGGCAATGGGCTATCTGGGGAAATCTTTGAAGTAACTATCAGGACATAGGGCCGGTGGATGAGAAGTTGAATGAATGTACTACTAGTAGAACTTTGCCAGCGTGTACCTCCTACATATCGTTAGGGGATTTCATATTTTCTAGATTTCCAAGGTTTATAAGAATCTTATTCTAGATTTAGAATTTTTTAAAAATTACTACTATACTACAAGACTATCTAAAGAGCTTTCTTCCAACGAATGCGTAGTGACTAGTCATTTGCATAGTTTTCTCCAGCCGAGGTTTGAACAGAATGGACTTCATACAGAAAAGGGTCAATGGAGCTTTGACGTAACTGCACTAGTTTCAGTAGAGTTTACGCCTGTCTGGTTATTGAGTGAGGATAAACTAATTCGACAATAATAAACCAGCTAGCACGCATACTAAACATTGCGGTCACCCGGAGAGAGCCGATACAAACATACTAGTATTTGTTGAAGTTGAGAGAGCCTAAGCTTAAGGGCATGTTCGAGATAGCCAGGTCGCAGGGTTTTGCATCTTAAATTTTCCGACTGAGAAGACGCGCTATGCTTGCAGGCCGAATGTTCCTCTCCGAAATCGAAGGCCCTCAGGATAGCGTCAAGCTTTTCCTCTAGATCCCTCTATTGGATCAAGTCTTGGACTCAGGACTCCTGTCTAGCTAACTATATTCGAAAATGAAGATTTTTGTTTGTGGGGTGCCTAAGTGGTGACAACTTGAAAGTAGATAGTAGACTCCGAGACATAACTTGAACTTGAACTTGCCATTTTAGGTCAGTTCCGCTCACGAACTTTCGGAAAGTTTCAGTCTAACTTCCAATGTTCGAGTCCTGGAGAATCGACAGCTCCCGCTTTGCGCATTCCAAAATACCTATCTCTCTTTCCGTATCTCTCACCAAAAATCAGAGACCTATGTCTTAGCCATGTCATTGGTATTTGATCCCGTTTTATCGGCGCACCTTCACAATCAGATCCTTGAACGGGCATGAATTGGAGCCGGACGAGATGCTATTCAATCCCGTCCAAGAGCTGGTGGGAAGAGTCCTCGCCTATCCCATTCGATATCGCATCTCGACTCAATCCGAACTTGATCAGGTTCCTGCGGTCGGCAAAAGCCGTTATTTTTGACCCTGCTTCGGATTTCCATCTCTTCTAGTACATTATAGCGCTTAATGACAGAGACGAACTCCTTTCTAAGTCTTTGCTTAGAAGGTGGGGTGATCGTTATGTGTGGTTATACTTCTCAACACGAATAAAGAGTGATGAAGATATCGGTATATTGTAAGATTCTTAAGCTTGCTACCTATGAAGATGAATACTCATACGCCAATAAGATTCGATCAAGAAACTGAGCTTGCAGCTTATGCTCCAGACTGGGAAGACATGCTTTTGTCTGATAGGGAACGGTCACGGTGGCCATGGTGACCGTTGCAAAATATTCTGCGAGTCTATTTAGGCATATCAGATGAGAGTAAAATAACAACATATTCGGATCGTCGGAAGGAATCTGAAGATTATTTTTTTGCGGTATTTCCTTGGCAGAATCACCAACATACTGCATTATATGTTGAGCGGGCTGCCAGTGCCTTTGCTCGTCTTCTTGATGCTATCGAGATTCGACTCCCGTCGATTTCATCGCATTCAACACACAACAGTGACCAGAAACAGCCAAGCTTTAGAGGAAGCTTTCATAGAAGCAGACTCGTTTGTCAAATCTTTTCTTTCCGCTCTTCCTAACCGCTACCTCAAATTTCGCCATAAAGCCCCTGGCATTCAACTCCAAACCCCCATCGAATTCACAAATCAACCATTTGCTGACCGCCGCTATAATGTTTTCTTTCCAACCTTATATCATACCGACCAGGAGACATATTCGTTCCCTTTACTCTTATTCCGAGAAGAAGGAGAGAATAAGCCACCCTGGACTCGGCCCTGGTTTCCTGACGGGAACTTGAAGGCAGAGAAGATCCCCTCTGGCTTGTACATTGAACCTACTGAGAAAGATTTTAACTGGGTATGTGGCAACCGGAGTCGACTCTTGCTGCCGTTTCGCATCGGCAGAAATGGGTTTGCTCGAAGTAGCATTGGTATTCCATTCCAATATACGAGCTGTGCGGGGACTGAGTGGCCTGGTCAAATTTACCACTAGGGCTTGTTCAGTGGCTTTAGTGGCTATTTAATTTGGGACTCCCGTAGCTCGTATCCACACATATTTTGGACAGTTGGGCTGAACAGGTGGAAATGGGTGATTGGCAGGTAGACGAAGACGGCGTTATCGGTGGTATTGACAAGTTTAAGGAGGCTGAATAGCATTGCAGAGAATATCTTCTTCCTTGATGAGACCGTTTAAATGATAGTGGAATTTGACGTAAACAGTCGGTTGCTTTCCGCAATTAAGCAAGAGTCATCAAACCGAGTCCCAATACAACTTGAAGTCTTCCAAGGTTCAAGTTAGTAGCTACTATGTCCGAACATCAAAACCCTACCTGCACCGGCCAAACGCCGAGAGAAATTTTACAGCATAAATTCTTTCGGACTTAACCCAAATTACAAATCAGTTTTGTCAGCAAGCCTGGTTTCAAGAGATAACTTCTGGCCGAAGTGAGCGAGGTAATGCCAGCCTCGTGCATGGTAGTTGCTCGGTTTTTGGAGCCGCTAAATCCGCCCGCGACTCTTCGCATTCTGCATCTAATACTATCTCTATCGCGATTCATACTTTGAAGAATGGTGTGAATAATAGCCTCGGAATTAAAATCGCAATTTTGAGAGTTTACCACTATATGTATCTCCGAGGGACCCTGAGCTCCTTGGTCGTATTGTTCACAGTACCAAGACCCTTCACTCAATACTACAAACGCAAGATCAACAATTAACATTCCAAGTCCATCACTATGGCTGCAAATCAATGCCCATCTACTCGTCTTCCCAGAATGAAAGAACATGCCCTCATCGGCGATGCTACGAAAATTCCCGTCATCGATGCAACCCCCGTTATCTCGATGAGCCCGATTGTTCTACCAGCACCAGACCGTATCATCGATTTACACATGAAAATTTCTGCGCCTGCAACGGGAACTAACTTACCAATCATTCTCCTTTCTCACGGTCAAGGCAGATCAAACTACCTGTCCTCACTCGACGGATACGGTCCCATCGCCAATTTTTGGGCGTCCCATGGCTTCGTCGTGATTCAGCCTACTCATCTCAGCTCTATGTCCCTGAGGCTTAGTGATGATGCTGTCCATGGAGATGGCCCGATGTTCTGGCGCTCTCGTGCTCAGGATATGAAGCATATCCTTGACCATTTCGACGAAATCGAGGCCGCTTTCCCCCAGATTCAGGGACGCCTGGACCACAATCGCGTCGCTGTTGCTGGTCACTCTATGGGTGGTCAAACAGCCAGTCTGCTCATGGGTGCGCGTACTCGTGATTCCGCCACAGATTCTCTCGTTGATGCCTTTGAGCCCCGCATCAAGGCGGGTATATTGCTCGCTGCTCCGGGTGATGGAGGCGACGGCGTTAGCCAACGTGTGAAAGACAATTGGACATTCCTCGCGGAACATAGCCACGCCGAGATGAGAACACCAGCCCTTGTTGTCATTGGAGAAAATGACGGCGCACCCTTTTTGACCACGCGAGGTGCAGCATACCATGCAGATGCGTATCATAGAAGCAAGGGCCCAAAGTCTCTGCTCACAATCGCCGGAGGATATCACGGTGTAGGCGGTGTTTCTGGTTATGATTCAAATGAAGCCACTGATGATGAGAGCCCGGAGCGATTGGGCGTGACTCAGAGGCTCACTTGGGCTTATCTTCGCAGTCAATTATATCCTGGAGATCCAGCTTGGTCGGTTTCTTGCAATGCCCTGTCGAAGCTTCCAAATCTGGGAACAGTCGAAAGCAAGTTGTGATGCTATAATCTGAGGAGCTTGTAAAGTATTCAGTCTAGATATAGCCAATGAATCCATGTAAAGCCCCTTGTCACCGAATAGTTACCTATACTAGTATTCTTCAAACATATAGGTAGCACATCATAACTACTACTTCCACTCGTGGACGCAACCAAATAATAGAAATTGAACTCGAGCAACTGATATTCATTCACATTCAATCTACTTTCATATTCTAGCAAAATATCTCAGCAAACCTCTCATAAGCCCTCACTACTAACTACTAGTAGCTGCTACCAGCATGGCTGGAGTGGATGCCAAGCACGGCCCGTCTCCACGCCGCGTTATCGCTCTGTTGCCTCGAGCTCGTCACCTTTTAAACCTCCCAACACCATCTTCCTACCAATACCTTGCATTAGGTTCACTTGCCCATCCCGTCAATTTACACCCGAGCGTGCAACAAGAACACCAGCCTGTCAGCCCGTGTCACCGCAAACAAACGGGGATCTCCCCGCACAACTCATCCTCCCCTCCACCCTCTCAACTCGCCAAATTCTCAACATGTCGACCTACGAAAGTACGCAGTCAAGCTCCCACCACATGTCTACTATACAAGAAGGACCGCAAGAACTGGAAACTAATCAAATCAAGTTGAACACAACACCACCGACCCCTCCACGGCTTCCTCCGCCCCGCGTCGCCGCAGACCCGACCTCTCTACCTTCTTCTCAACCCTCTCAGAAATAACCCCAGCTCCGGATCACCGACCTCATGCCGTCCCAGTGCCAGGCGACGTGAGTGCAGCCTTCTATTCGCTCGCCGAGGCCCTAGAAATGATGCGCCGCGAATCAGGCACCGCCGAACCACTCCCCCAGACCGGCGACAACACTGCCGCATCCGCCGAAACAACCGACGACCTCCTCACGACAATGATCCAGAATCTGCTCAATGGCGCCGAGGCACCCCCACGAGAGGTAGAAGGCGTGAGCGAAGAGTTTTGCGACAGTAAGTCTCCCACAATTAGCTGCGGCCGACCAGTCATCCGGCCGCAACTTCTCACTCCACCGAAGCAACCCCGCGGGGTCGAGTCAACGTGGGCTAATTCGCGGGTAATTCGTTTCCCTTTTTTTACAGTGCTTGATCGTGTTCCTAAGTCTTCTCTCGACTCTTCGCAAACTTGCCCCATCTGTAACAATCCTTTCCTGGAGGATGAGTACCCCCTCGTCGTTCGACTGCCCTGCCACCCGACCCACTTGTTTGATCTCGAGTGCGTGCGTCCCTGGTTGCGGTTACGTGGTACCTGTCCGCTTGATCGGTTCGATTTCGCGAAGCAGCAGCGTGAAAAGGATGAGGAGCGCAAGCGTATCGCTGACGAGGATGAGGAGGAGGAATGGGATGGTATGTATGGTTAAATATGCGCTTGGAAAGTCGAGGTTCGTTACATCTAGAGATGTACGGGGGTAGCGCTGGCGTTGAGATGAATGCACTTGTGAGGTTGGTTGATGTTGCGGTGCGGAGCGAAGATATGATATTATGACAGCATCTGGATTCGATAATCATGGAATATATGTGCACAATGCTGCGTGCGCGACTGCTCTTCCAATGTTGGTGATTCAGCGTATGCATTCCAAGGTTGATAAGACTTGAAGTTCCCATGATGTACAAGACTATTCGATACCTATCAGCATCTTACGGTTTAATGCAAATGAAGAAGATAATCCGAAGCGAAGAATGGTTTTTTGGTTCCTTGCTTTGTATTATATTCCAGAGTTCGTATTGTGAAAGAAATTCGCTTGATGCTTCGATTTGAGGGGTATAGCAATCAATATCTATGAACTATTGAGATCCCAAATCACTACCTTAGTTTCCATCCTTGGGTTTGATGGACAGCTTTCCAGCTTCATTGATCATGGCATCATAGCCACTTCGTTCCAACACACCTCCCTCATCCTTAACAACCTCACGAGCTTCGAGCTCTTCAACAAGTCGCTGGTTTTCGCGATTACCCTCGAGCAAGAACTTAAGACACATAACTGCATGCTCCTTGATGTATGGGTTGTGCGCATCGAAGGCAGTACAGCACAGGATGGCTTCAACGCCGCCATAGCGACGGATTTGTTCTTGCACTTCCGGGCACTTCCAGACAAGTGAAGAAAGTACCAGCACAACGAGCTTCTTGAGGTTGCGCCACTCAAATTCGGAGGGATCTTCGGTGATTGGCGGGGACTCGGGCCGGGAGTCAACGCTACCGGCGTTGTCAATGGGGTCGGGATCAGTTGGATCGTAGGGACGCTCAACGGCTACCGGTGCTGGGGCGGCTGATTGACTGTCAGGCGAGGAGCTGCGAGGCGGTGGAGGTGGAGGTATACCGCCGAATGACATATTGTTGAGTTGGCCCTTAGGGATGCTGGCTTCCAGTTCCTTGATTAAAGTCACGAGGTCGTACACAATCTCCCACTTCACGAGGAGATTCTTCCAATCATTGTTCTCGGTCAGCACGGCAAAGAACTCGAGGAATTGGTACACGCCCTCGTAGACACGCTCCATGTCCCACAAGTTGAGTGGGAAATCCTCCGGCAACGCACGTTCGGCGCGAATCTGACCTTGCAAGTAGATCAGGGCGCAGGTTTCCGGAATGATGTTACCGCGGAAAATAGTGAAGATGTATCGCACAGTTAGAATATCCACCCGACTGAGTGGGGATGGTGTGCGTGGAATGCTATTTTGAGACGAGCCAGTCACTGACGCTGGTGAGTACTTCGCCCGGAAAATGTGGGTGAGAATCTTGATGACCACTGCTTGGGCTGGGGAGATGATATCCTTTGGCTGGCCGAAATCAGAGTATGCGTGTGACATAAGTCCATTGCGGAGCACAGCTTCCATAATCTGGACCATCATCTTGAAATAGAGCTCATCGTCAGGAAGATCCCAGGCTGCAATGAAGATGAGAAGTTCACGCAGCAAGTTGCGACCAGTTTCCTGCGTGAGCAAAATGTGGCATCGAAGAGCTTGCATATTCCGCGAGCCATTGCGCTCTCCGCCTTTGAGGCCGAAGCTGTCAACAATTCCAGCTTGAACGATCATCGGTAAAGCCTCAATTTCTGCGGGGCCTAGAACAAGGGGAATATCGGTCAATAAACCGCGCTGCTGGTCGCCAGGGCGGCCACGATAGTCGTCGTCGTCTTCCTCGTCATCAACTTCTCCTGTATCATCTCCCCCATCTACATCGTCACCGTCGTCTTCTTCATCGCCTTCGATGCTTCCGTCAGCATGGCCCTCCAAACTGTGCGAGTCATCGTCTCCGACCGTTCCAACATCGCCAGCGTCATATTCACCATCGGCGTCACCCAGCTGAGAAGCTTCTTGGAGTCGAGCCATTAATTCATCCTTAGCCTCTTGTAGAGTTTCAGCCGCAGATTGGGCGGATCTAGGCATGGTTGTGTCCTCGTCGCTAACCGGAGAATCAACAGAGTAGTCATTTATTTCAGGCAGATCGGTCCAGCACAGACGCGGAAATCCAGCTGTCATGCTACGGTCGATTGTGAGAATTGTCTTCTTCTTAGTTGGTTCATGCTCCTCTTCTTCGGGCAAGGCAGGTGGCAATTCACGAGCTCGGTCTTGAAGATCGGACCATCCATCAACCTTGGCTCCCAAGATTGAGGTCAATGCAGCACGAATGTATTTGACCTGTTCGGGGTCCCTGCCCATCTCTTGGATGTCAGTCAGGTCCCGACCCAAAATCTTTTCCATATGGTCCTTGATATTGGCCAAGAGCAACATTGCAGCCTCTTCCTTAATTGTAGAAGGCTCCCGCGGGAATTTCGCAATCGTTTCCAGCAGAAGATCTTCGGCGGTCTGGTCGTAGAGTGCTCGGATTGGAGGATTGATCACACGCTCCCCAACCCGGACAATAGGTGCGACACCCTCGATGCGTGCAGCAGGGTCCAATGCCTCCTTCGGCTTGATGATGTTTGTATCGGCGGTAGAATGGTAACCAAACAAGTCCAACCAGAGAACCATCTTGCGCTGTTCGTTATGCATGATGAAGTTGTGAAGATATTGTAGACAGGTAATCAACAGTCGCTTGTATAGGTTGACTACCTTCTGCCAGCGTTCCTCGTTCCGCGCATTGGTCTCCCCATCGAAGCCACGCGCTGTAACTCGTACGCAGGTATCAATCAATGCGAGAATCCGCTGATCGAATCCTTTCTCCGCGGCCAGGTTCTGGGCCTTTTTTGTTGTCGCCAGCAAGTTGCGGGCGATGGTACACAAATCGTTTAGACGTTCGATATCTTTGACCAGAGAGAAATAGTTGAATGCGATCAGGTTCGACGAAGAATGCTCGTAAGATGCTGCCGGGCTCTTCCAAGCAAAGGATTGTGATTCGAGGACCGGGATCGCTTTTGTGAGAACATCTGTAAGGCCTTGCCAAATGTCCGGCGACATACCCAGATTGTGTCTATATGAAAGATGTGATCAGCAAGGGTACCGAAGAGCGGGACATTCTCTAGGAGGAACATACCGAACTTCACTTTCCTGGTGCGTCTTGTACAAGATCTGCTTGCCAGCCGCGAGCATATGCTCGAGGCGTTTCTCGTCAATCATTCCCCGAGTCTCATAGTGAGACAACGTTCCAGCTAAAACAACCTTTAGCATGAGCTCCGGTGGAGTGCACAACGGCTTTGGGTCAGCCATTTTGCAGGTGAGATCGTGAGATCGATTGAACGCCGGATGGTGGGATGAACAAATTCACGGGCGGGCAAAACCCATTTTGTATGGGGAATTGCCTCTGACCGCCCTCGACCGCCCCCCCTGACCGCCTTCCATAAACCCTTGGACAATCTATAGATCTCGAGAACTTGCATATTTTATTACCCAGGGTATTGACTGAGGAGACTATTTCCGTAGCTGGATCTCTTTTTGAACTCTGAATCAATTTCCAAGGTTGGAATCCTACTCGTGGCCATTTAATCCTGGAACTTGAAGTTCGGTACTATTATTTCAACCCATTCAAGTCGTCGATCACTGTGATAGGTTTTAATGGAGGTTGTGAGTGATACAAGCATGGGCCTGGAGCATGATTCCCATGGATCTTCAATCTTGGAATTTGAATATCTTCGTTGGTCCCTGCCAGTGGCAATCTGGACTTTGATTTATTATAGGTCGGGATGCGTTCGTGCAAGAGTGCCGAAATACTGGAAATTCAATTTTATATTGGTAGACCCACATCATGATTGATTATATACCTACTACCTAGTACTGAGGTACTGGCTTTAGTTGATCTTGAGAAGCTCAACTTCACTGTGAAATGGTTGATTAGTCTCACCATAACACAATTTTGTGGGTGGTAACACTGTAAACTTACAAAATGAGAGTTGAGCCTGCGGGGATCTTGCCGGCCGCCCTGTACGGAGAGTATTGTTAAAATAAGGTTCTTCCAAGATAGACATCAATCATCGACTAGATATCTTCCAATTACTTACTTGTCACCATAGGCATAGTCCCTAAAACGCAATGTATCAGTTCTATGATCTCTTATCACTCTCCAGATGGGTATTTAACTTACGGGGTAATGGTCAAGGTGGACTTCTCGCCGACGCTCATCTCCATCACACCCTCGTCCCAGCCTGGTAATAGTTAGCACTTCAATCCAATATTCTAATTGAAAACATCCAAGACAATCTTTCAGGGGCCTTTAATAACAAGCTGGGCCAGAAAGGAGCGACGAAAAGAAAAGCGAAACTTTACCCTTGATAACCTGGCCAACACCAATCTGCACATTGAACGGGCCACGACCGGGCGAGCGGGAGCTATCGAACCTAGTATCTTGTTTAGTTTTCGGAGTTGATTTGGCCTGGCCCAAAGACTTTGACTGGAATATGGATCGGCGTACTGCTTGCCCTGGAAGCCCTTGTTGGCCTTCTTAGGGTCGTAGATCCAACCAGTGTAGTGAATCGAGACCTTATCGCCTGAGGCGGGAGAGGCACCGCTGCCGCGAGTAATGATCTTTCTTTCGACACCCATTTTGAATGATGGACTTGCACGAAGTATTAAGGAAGGAAGTTCTTGGTGTTGGTGGAATGAGGGAGGTCAACGGAGGCAAGAGGCAACGTTAATTCGTATTTTTCCTCGAAGTGGGGGAGCGGCGGGATGGGCTTCCCCGCGGTTCTACTGGCCAACCAGCAACAATAGCAAAAACCAACAACGCTGATCATGATTTCGAGAGACAGATAGTACTATCTCACCACCACAAGATTAAATTGAACAAGATGACAATTTTTGGTAATTTCTTTTCTAGTTTTGAAGCATCTTTGCCTTATATAAATTGCTTTATTTACAGTTCTTCCGACGCACCGAGATCCCTGCAGAATCCTTCAGATTGTTCCAAAATCCCAAATCGTAGATGTTGTCAATATCCTTCATACTTTGGACCGGATGCCATCGTGGATCTATCGGCATATCTGTATCGCTACGATATTCGATCCGGTTGGTTCCGGGCACCAAGATATACCCATCCAAAGGAGGCTCATCGTCAGTGACTAGCAATTGATCACTCTGGACCGGCCAAGGACGATCATTGAAGTCTATAAATGGCTGTGCATCCTGGATCTTGCCACGGTTTGATTTGAAGACAAACCCATCCTCGACATCTTCCTTCCAATCCGACCATTTGGCACTCTCGTTGGTCGTCATACCTGCCCAGACAAGATAACTATGGTATACCAAGAAGGCCATAGCCAGTGGAGCTGTCATGAACATTAAAAGTGTCACAGTACCAATCCTGGGATCCGATTGGATCACAATCGCCCAAATGTTGAAATACATGATCCAGCCCTGCATTTCTGCTTGGATATGTACCGGTATCATCTCTTGCAGGGTTTGGCGGAGCAAAGAGTACCCAAGACAAGTGCCATAGATGAGCAGCACTGATAAGGAGAGCAATAAGGCTAGGAAGTAGATGTAGTTGTTGGCACCAACACAATTCATCAACCACACGCAATGATGATCTTGACGGGAGATGCAAGTTTTGCAGAACTTGCAATGCTTGCTGCGTGCTGGCTTGTGGAGGTTGCAAGTACTGCAACGGTAGCCTGCATGGAATAGCACCTGGTCGTATGGATAACGTTTGATCTCCATGTGGTGATTTTCCGTTGTGATATTAGAACTTGTCGTCACACATTTGTAGAGGAGAAAGTATGGCATGAAAACCACCAAAGGAACCCATGGGTAGTGAAGACTGGCAAACCGAGGCCAGGCGGCTGGCAAAAAAACAACCTCGCCTCCGGCAAGGAGTCCTATGAAGAAGAGCTATCCGGGGGTCAGATGGGAAACGCCGGGCGGTGGGAAATGCAAGAGCAAAAATCGGGAACCTCGAAGCTTACCAAGACCAATGGATGATTCTCATACAATATATACTTGCCAGATTGGTTCCAAACTCGGATAAGACGGCCACCGAGCAAGCGCGAGTCAACATAGACAACACTGTTGGGGAAATACACCCAGACCACCCGGTAGAAAAACGCAATGGGTGTTTTCCTGGAATCTAGTCAGCGTATGATGTCTTAATTTCACAGAGATATAATCACCTAAATGCAGGCAATCGGCCGAAAAGGGCGATGAAAGTGAAAGTTGAAATGGCCAAGATAACCAGCGCAATAGTGCGAAGAGATGTCATCGTGACAGGCGCCGTGGCTTTCTTGTGTGGGCCTTGGGGGAATTCAAAGAGCACAAGCGGTATCCCGAGTCAGATTCCTATCAGGATATCGTCGCTCCATGTTCCTCCTTCCTTATCAGTCGGGAAGTTGACGTTCCTAAAGGTTGATGACTTGTCAGCGTTCCTCCACGCGGCGCGACCAATGCATACCACGTGACCACATCCTACCAGAAACACGGCATCGACAAACCTGTGTCAAAACAGCCGAACCATTCTTCATCGAACACTCAGCTTGAGACACATGGACCAGATAACCTGGGAAGCCAAATCTGACTTTCATACTCGCATCTGATATCGAACCTGCTGGCCCCGGCCAAAATGCCCTCTGTGACACGTTAACACGTGATAAATGGCTAGCGCGTACCTATCAACAATAGTGCATCGATAATAGCCGCCTTCTCTTTCAATTCATCAAAGGGAAACCCGGCTGAGGATAATCATTCGCAAATCGTGAAGATGTCAGGTTCGAGTGCTGGCCCGGTCAATATTTTCCAAGGCCAGCGGTTCTGGCTCTCTCGAGAAGTGCCTCAGCGATCATGGCTCAAAGACCGCATCACGGTATGTCTATCCCTACTCGGTGAGATCGGAATAAAAACTGATAATTATCTAGAAACATGGCGGCGTGATTGTCTTGATGGAGAATGACGCCGAAGTCATGTTGGTTGATCATACAAAAAAGAACATCCCCACTGGCTGGTACCGTCTCCACCGCTAACATCCATATTGCAAAGACGCCGCTAATTCCCCTTTAGTCATTCCTACAAGTATGTCGAGGAATCCATTCGAAATGGTCAAATTGTAGATCTGGATACACATCGCGCTGGTTCCTCCAAACCCCGTGCAATGGGTGCATCGAATATTCCAAAGCGGGGCACCAAATCCATCTACACATTAGAAGATGATCAGCTCCTCTATGACTTTCTTTACCCCTTTGAGAAGGAGGATAATGCCCCTATACACGGAAACAAAATATACCAGTTATTAGAAAGAAGGGTAGGTATTCCTTTCACCACTTGGCTGACCTATGACTGAGTATTGACTGACATCTGATATCCAGTTTCCCAAACATCCCTGGCAATCTTCAAGATCTCGGTATTTGAAGAAGTTACGTGGTAACCCTCGTCCTGGCGGTGGTGCTCCTAGAACAGATCTATTGCGATCTGAGCCTCAAGCACAACCGCAGGACGAGGCACGAAGATCGACTACGCCATCAAGGCGCGCTGCTCCATCAATACCGTCTCCGGCGCCAGCACACACTGTGATATATACCCAACAAACTCCCATACCACCGCAACCCGACTCATCGATCTGTCCCATTGAAAATCAAACGAAACCCAAAAGAAGGCACAGCCCGGCGCATGAATCACCATCGGCACCACAGGCATCGCCTTCCAAAAAGAGGGCAGTTTCACGGCCCCGACACATAGATAATCCTCGACAAAATTCTCCTCGACAACCTCTTGAGCCCATTACGCGGCCACCCGCATTGACCAACCCTGCGTCAACATCAAATCAGCAGCGCAAGCCTTCAGTACAGGAAGTACCCCAGAACCTCAACGATACTGAGAACGTCGACAGAACCGAGGAAGAGGGCGCTATGCTTTTTATGGAGTTGCCGTTTTTACCTTCCTCGCCAGAGCCCGCCGATGAGTCTTTCGACGAGAAAAATGACGACAGAGGCAGTGAAAGCGGAGACACCGACTTAATAAGCTGGGTCGAGGCACAGGTATCACGGGGCTTTGATGATGCTGTCATAGACGATGCCCTGTGCTGCACGAGCTTGAATTGCGAGCTCGCCGGGAAGATCTTGAACATCCTGGCTGCTGGGAAACCCATTCCTAATGACATACGCGGGGTGTGGACCTCTAAGGATGACGAAGACCTGCAAGGATCCAATGGCCGCGAGGTCGAGCGAGTTCTCAAAAAGCATGGTGAATATTCATTAAGTGAAAGGTGGACCTATCTCAGTGAGGCGAGGGAGAGAGACATGATTTAACGCAAACGATGAGATGACAGGTCTGCAATCTAAATTACATGAGATTCCCTTGGCTGGTATATCGAAAGCGCCCGGGCGTACGAGATTGCAACAAAAAGAAATTCGTATATCACACGAGCAAAAGATAAAAATAAAATCACAGACATAAATCTCATATGGGAAATGACCCATCCCGAATCATATCCTACAGAAAGGAAGCATAGAAGGAAAAAGCTGATTGAAAATTTGACCAACGCCTATAAGCTCCTTGAAATCAATGGTATTGCTCGCAAATAACAGCCGGAAAGAGACAGCCATGGGCATGCCGTCCCACGTGCCGAAGAAAAAACAACTGAATGGTATTCAACCATCCTTGAAGACGCTAGAAAATATTCAGCACGCATTCTCGAGGTTGAGTAATTGAGATCAATAGACTTACAGGTGCTTCTCGTAGAACTTGAGCATCTTCATAGGGCACTTCTCGTAGCAACTCTGGATATGGATGCGCGACCGTTTGCCATTGTTCCAGAGGAGAAGAGCATAGAGCCCTTGGTCATTAGCATCACGGATAATGGTATCAACCGTTTGCACCTCCTTGTCCCAATTCTGGCTCTTGGGGACCCAATCGGAAGGCTCGTCATCTTCAGTCTCTGCCGGGGTGTTTGCTTCAGCCTTGATGTCGTCCTTGGATTCGTTCTTCCCTGCGGATTGGCGACGTCTCTTAGTCTCAGTCGTTGTTGTCGCTGTTGGTTCCTCCTTCTTCTCTGCCATCGACTTGCGCTTTCGACCGGGGCCCTTAGCTCCCTTCTCAGGCTTCCCGGCTGGCTTCTCGGGCCTACCGCCGATCTTCTTGTAGTAAGCCTTCAGTACTTCTTCGGCACCCTCCCTAGATAAGTGATTCTTAAGGTTAGCAAGTGCCCAGCCTTGTCTTATCAAAATGCGTTGTCAATAAAACATACAGGAGTCCGATCTCAGGCTCCCAGGTATGGTCCTTGTAGGCCGGGTAGCCTTTCCATTTCACGAAGAGAAATATTGTGCCCTGTTGGACGAGTAGTCAGCGCAAATGAATTGAGAGCCAAGAAAGGTGTGGAATCAATTGAACTTACATCAGGTTCATATTTGTGTTTCCTGATCTCTTCAACGACGTAGCTGCGCTGGATTAGTCGAGCTGAAACATACCACCACAACAGCTGGGCCGAACTCACAGTCCCTCATCTTCACCGTCATCCTCTTCCTCGTCGTCGTTTTCTGATTCTTTCTCATTATTCGTAGTCTCTGAAGCTTCGGGAGCGGTAGTGAATGGAATATCACCACCAGACTCCTCGTCCGACCATTCCTCCACGGGAGCTGTATGTAACAGAGTCAGTTCGGGCGCGCGCGCGACATAAACAAGGCGCATTCACTTACGCGGCATCCTCGCTCGGAGGGGTGAGGTAGCGAATGAAAGAAACCGAGAAAACAGTTTGCCGTCTCTCGAAGTAGATGGTGACAATCGTCGAATCTGATAGAGCTGGCACTGCTTTGCGCAAGTTGGAGAAAGCGGAGTGCTGCGCATGGGCAAAGCTGGGAAGGCGGACAGGGCCAGCACTATCCCGCTTTGGGCCGCCCAGAATTTAATTTGCGTGGGAGAGCTTCACCCCTCCGCATCGCTCGGAGAAATAGGTTTCTGTCTCGACTTTTGACGATCCTTTCACTTCGGATCCTTTTATTTCACTTTTACCTTTCTTTTCAAATCTCTAACCATCTGCCTGGTGGCAGTCCACCGTCAAGATGGCGATGAGTACGCTTTCCCCTGTCCCCCGGATGCCCCTCATTAAACACACCCCCCGATGCATTGACTAACTTATGGATTTTTATAGATCTTGATCTTTCTCAAGGTGATTCCTTTTCGAACCTCATCCTCGACCAATTCAGCCAGCATTACCACTAACACTCCGGGTAGCTTCGGTGATGAAGGATGAACAGGGACGCCCGTTCATCGTCGTTCGTGAGTACGTTCACCGATAAACCCTCACATTCGCCTCCCTCGCTACAATTGGATTTGCGGAGAGAAATGAAAAGACCCAAGTTTTGCTGATGGGAGTTTACTGTACAGCCAAGGAAAGAAGAAGAGACAACATGGCACCGAGGCCGTGAAGTCGCACATTGTTGCCGCCAAGACTGTGGCCAGCATTGTCAAGACTTCTCTGGTATGGTCTTCCACATCTGAAGAAATGGGGAAAGAATTAATAAAGGAAACTAGGGCCCCCGTGGTCTGGACAAGATCTTGATCTCTCCCGACGGCGATATCACCGTCACCAACGATGGTGCTACTATTCTCGGCCAGGTTCGACCCCCCGACCCCTGATCGAGGCCGTTCGCCAGTTCGCCGGATTCTAATACGCACGGTCTCTATAGATGGAAATCACAAACAACGTTGCTAAGCTTCTTGTCGAGCTCTCGAAATCACAGGATGAGGAGATTGGTGATGGTACAACAGGTGTCGTCGTGTTGGCAGCTGCCATGCTGGAGCAGGCCGCGGACTTGATTGACAAGGGAATCCACCCCATTCGGATAGCCGACGGTTACGACCAGGCCTGCGAGATTGCTGTCGCTGAGCTGGACCGGATCAGCGACGAAATCGCCTTCACACCCGAAGACACCACCAACTTGCTCAAGGTTGCCAAGACCAGTCTGGGCAGTAAGATGTACGCAGCCTCCTTTTTATCCACCTAATACCCTTTAGCTAACCCAATACCAGCGTCTCCAAGTCTCACGACCAGTTCGCTAAGATTGCTGTGGATGCTGTTCTCTCGGTTGCCGATCTCCAGCGCAAGGATGTTGACTTCGAGTTGATTAAGGTGGACGGCAAGGTCGGAGGTGCCCTCGAGGACTCTCTGCTCGTCAAGGGTGTCATTGTCGACAAGGACTTCTCTCATCCTCAGATGCCCGACGAGGTCCTGGACGCCAAGCTGGCTATCCTGACTTGCCCCTTCGAGCCCCCCCAAGCCCAAGACCAAGCACAAGCTCGACATCACCTCCGTCGAGGAGTTCAAGAAGCTCCAGGATTACGAGAGGGAGAAGTTCGCTGAGATGATTGAGAAGCTTAAGAGCTCCGGTGCTAACCTCGTTATTTGCCAATGGGGTTTCGACGACGAGGCCAACCACCTGCTGCTCCAGAACAAGCTGCCCGCCGTTCGATGGGTCGGTGGTCCCGAGATCGAATTGATTGCCATCGCCACAAACGGCCGTATTGTGCCGCGTTTCGAGGACCTCAGCGCCGACAAGCTGGGTTCTGCTGGACGTGTTCGCGAGATGACTTTCGGAACCACGAGAGAGAAGATGCTGGTCATTGAAGAGTGTGCCAACAGCCGAGCGGTCACCGTGTTTATCCGCGGAAGTAACAAGATGGTTAGTCCAGATATTTTTGTACATTTAAGCACTTCTAACCACAATCCCAGATCATCGATGAGGCCAAGCGATCACTACACGATGCGTTGTGTGTTGTCCGTAACTTGGTTCGCGATAACCGTGTTGTGTACGGTGGTGGTGCTGCTGAGATTGCCTGCTCCATCGCTGTTGAGGATGCCGCTGTCAAGGTCAGTCATTATCAATGTTCAGTACGCTATACATTTTCCTAACATTGTTTGATTTTACAGAGCCCTGGTATTGAGCAGTACGCCATGCGCGCCTTCGCCGATGCCCTTGACGCCGTTCCCCTGGCTCTGTCTGAAAACTCTGGCCTGAGCCCTATCGAGACCCTCGCGTCAATCAAGTCGCGCCAGGTTAAGGAGAAGAACACCCGTCTCGGTGTTGACTGCATGAACACAGGTAGCAACGGTAAGTCACTGTCGCCCTGTGAACTTAAATGCACATCTGCTAATAGTCATAAATCATCTAGACATGAAGGAGCATTTTGCTATCGATCCCCTGATCGGAAAGCGCCAACAGCTTCTTCTTGCTACCCAGCTCTGCCGCATGGTTCTCAAGGTAAGCTTGACTGAACACTACTTTTATACATCATTTGTCTAAAACTCTAACCAAATTATAGATCAACAACGTCATCATCTCTGGTGACGATGACGCCGAATATTAGGTTATCCGCACATAGTCTTAATGCCCTATAGATGGTACTGGAATGACTTGTCCGGAGCATCGCCTTTGAAAAAAATTACGATTGTGGTTGGACTCCTATGTAAAATATGGTCCTTTACATAGAAAATTCGAAGTTACAATGAGGAAAGGATTTATGATCTCTCGACATCTGTCTCGCGCTCGCCGAGTAGAAACAGCGACTCGAATAGAGTATACTCATAAAGCATCGCTGTTGTTTACTTCCAATCACTCTCGGTCCAGCCTAGCGCGTCCAATTCAAAGAGTACCATGATACTTAGCACCAAGCAACCTCGGAAAGCGGCCTTTGAGTATCTCCTCCGGGTATCCCCTCAAACAACGTAATGTACACGCGAAAAATATCCAGCCATTCATGTCCAGAAATTCCCGGTCTCCGAGGAGCCCGTGCCGCTGATCTGGGAGTATCCGTGCTACTAGTATGTTCACAAGGGTGACTCAAGATGCCGAGGAACAGCCGACGAAAAGCACACACCGGCATCTAGTTGAATGACCTCGGTCTCGCTTCGATCCGGAGAGGGGATATCGTTGATCATCTCGCTTTTGAAGGATTCGAAGCTTCTGATCTATTGATCGCGTGGCCAGTTTTTCTGCTGTCCATGTTACTCGAATACGAGATGGTTGGGTGCTGATACATCTTCTTTGGGACTTGATTCCGCAATACCTAGTAGTGGCTTCGCTGTGCATGTCGACTTTGCAGTTCTGGTTAGCTTTGCATGGTGGATCGTTGTCCCTGTGCCAACCTCGTGGGAGTTGTACGCGTAAGGTTTGTAAAGTGCTGCGGAAGGGGTACCTGCTTTGTCTTGTGTGGAGGACAAGGCGATCTGCACTGCTGCTGAAGAACACACATGAGGTAATATGTAGCACATTCGATCTGAAGTCCGATACCGTGTAGTGGACAGAGAGAATGGATCGGCGTCTTTGTTTCAGGTTGTCGGGATTTGGGACATGTACTAGGTGACAACTCTTTTCGATGAAAAAGAAAAGGCCTCCTACACCTTGGCACTTGATCCGCTCGGGCTATATTGGTTGTATATACTTGAAGCACTAGATTCCCAACCTATGGGAGATGGTGGAAGGCTATGAAATGGTATAACCATAAATTGTCTGTTGACACATGAAGCCCAAATCATAATATCACAGGAAACAGCGGCGGTTAATTGGCCATACCGCCATAATCGCGCCCTAAAACCTAATGCCAAAACATCTCATTCTAGATCTCAAGGGTAGCCTAGGGCTATATTCTTGTTTGCTTCATTTCTTCAGAATGGATCAGTCAACCTCCGCCCACATTAGAGATATTTCAGGGTTTAATCCGGTCCGTCCACGGTTGCACAGCGCGTGGAAGCGTGACCCCAGTTCCGCGCGACTCGTGGTTCACAAGAGTTTCCAATTCTACGATCCACTGCGGCTCGTCGATGGCCAAAATAGTCTTGGTCTTTCTTTCCTTTTTTTTTATTCCTTTTTTCTTTCGGTCTCTGTTTTGCCTCGTCTGGTTCGCTGTTTTATTTGTGACATGTGAAGCAAGCTATCTTGTGCGACCAGTAAACCCTGTTGTAAAAGTCGACACTGAAACTGGGGATCGCATACCCAGGTAGCTAAATTACTTGCATTTGATTCTCCATTTCTAAATTTCATACACATAGTATAGAGCGGTCTAGACCCCCCACGGTGGTCGACAGTCTTCAGCGGTCAACCCTCTAAGGTCCCACTCCCTCTGCAGGAAGGCTTGACAGTGTGATCACTTCGTATCTAAAGACAGCATGTTGATACATCGGGTAGTAGATGTTGGATATGCCAGATATCCATCGCTCTGTGATCTCGGAGCACGCCACTATTTCGCCTTTCTGTCATGTTCTAAATATCTCGCAAAGGGATATTCTGTCTGGTGAATATGGATCCACTGATAGTGCTGCAGCTACAGTGTTGACAGAGATACTATACATACATAGATAGAGCCCTGGAGCCCTTGTTAAAAATGGCAGCGGTAACAGCGGGTCCGGATAAAGCTACTGGTCCTCTGTGAGAGGTTTAATTGTATAATTATGCATGGGTGCAGCCGGTGGGCGCCGCTACGGGGGGGGAAATGTCAGCTTGGCGATTTGTGTTTAGAGAAATAACCGGCATCGGTCGAGATGCAAAGCTATCAACTGCGGTGTGACGAGATAGACAGGTACGCACAAATCCGATCTGGAATGCTCTTTTTTTCTTATTTCTCATCGTTGACGAGGTCAGGATTGGAATTTGTGAGACCCAGTTTTCTCTGAGGGGCCTGGGCCTGCGAACAAATGGATATATGAAAAT